CTTATGTAATGTATGTCAATAATAGGTGGCTTTGGCCAGTCTATGAAAAGTGTATTTGAAAATGGCAAATTTGGGCATTTTAGCAAAATTTTGAATTTTTGAAAATTCCCCATTTTCAAAGTTATTTTTTTAATTTTTAAAGGCCAGCAAAAAATAATATTTTTTATGTTTTTCAATTAATCAAGATTTGGGATTTAGCAACATACAAATATAAAATATGTGTTTAACCATGTTTGTTATTTTTAATATACACAAATATGTAAAATGTGCAATTTGGTTGCCGCCATCTTGGATTAAGAATTTTAAAAATTGAATAATTTTTTGAAAAATGTGTTTGAAAAAAATTTTATTTTTGATTATAAAAGGACAGTACATGTACTTTCTTATGTAATGTATGGTGATAATAGATGGCTTTGGCCAGTCTATGAAAAATGTATTTGAAATTTGCAAATTTGGGCATTTTAGCAAAAATTGGAATTTTTGAAAATTCCCCATTTTCAAAGTTATTTTTCTAATTTTTAAAGGCCACCAAAAACATTTATTTATATGTTTTTAGTTCAAATAGGATATGATATGTAACAATGTCTGAAAATGAAAAATGTTTATTTATCCACATTGATGGTTTTTTTAGCTCAAATATAGCTGAAATTGAAATTTTGCAATCTGGATTCCGCCATCTTGGGTGAAAAATTTTAAGTGCTGTTACCATGGTAACCGAGGGTGATTCAAACAAACCAATATCCATTGTGTTGGTTTGGGGCTATAATGAACAAATACACCAATTTTCATCAAAATCTGAGAGGGTCATGTGCCACCCTATTCTGAACCTTACAGAGACTTCCATTGACGTTTAGTTTGAAAATTCAATGTAACAATTATTTTCATTTTTTTTAAATGCAGCTTGGTGGAGGCGGAGGCGTAGAAGGAGAGGAGCAAGTTTATCAAAGAATTTGGACAGTGAAGACGACGCAGCAAACACGGTATGCTAAATATTGTTTCAAAAGAGATGAAATATTATTCAGTTAATGTGAGAATCATTCACAGGTCGACCAGCACGTACCCAACGACATGTCAACATTCAGCCTGATGATGTTCTTGTGACAAGCGAAACGTAGCAAATATATATATATATATATATATATATATATATATATATATATATATTGTTCCATAGAAAGTCACTAAATAGAAAATCTTGGAACCAAGAAATATCTAATACGTAGGTCAAATATTGTTATCAAGCCCCAGTCTGTGACAAAGAGTTTTTTATTACAATCTTAAGAGTTTATACCAAAAATCACTTAAATGCACTTATACCAAAAATCACTTAAATGCACTTATTTTAAATGTTGGAATGAATTCACTATCCTTTGGTAAGTATGGGGAAATCGTCGTTTACCCCGGGAAAAACTGTTTTTAGCTAAAACGACCAGTTGTTGTCATTTTAAGAGAACTGCATATACAACGTGAATTTTTATTCATTCATTCATTATACTAACTTAAGTTATCACCATTATTATTTTGCAGAACCAGCTGTCTGAAAAAGAGCGAAATATGCTCATGGATCTGCTTAAAGATGAAATATTCATGAATGATGACGAGATAGATGACGAAGATGAATGAAGTGAAATGACAGGATTTTTTTATTGAGATTCATATGTACATTTTTATAGCGCTTTTTAGAATTCAACTTTTTCGATATAAAGTTGGATTTACGTCTCTGTATCAGAAAAGGGATCAATTTCTGAGATACGATGGTTAATAATGTTTACAAATTGTCTAAGTTCGTTCCAATTTTTTTTACTGTGGGAGTGAAGTATATATGCCTACAAATATTTATTCATTTTTTTTGGACAATTATAGAAAGATAAAACAAGGTTAGGAACCTACAATATGTATACAAAATATTGGTGATGAGAAGATAAAAGTGTCAGAAATTGAGTGGAAAGCTTATCGGTAAAGGAAAGTACCTGGCAGACATTTTTATCGAAGACATTTAACTGACCTTCTTATTCATTTTTCAAACTGGGTGTTGTTAAAGACATAATATAAATTCAATAAACGTATATTGCTTCGTTGTGCACTGTTATGGTCTATGGCCCTTCCTCTTTGAAATTAGCCGACTTTCAATTCTTTAACAAATACTATAACAAATACTTATAATCTAGGATCCTAAATAGACGGCATAATCTTAGAACAACTCATGTTGTGTAATTTATAATCTTATAATGGAACTGGGATTAAACTGTATAAATATCTCAGAGGTAGGAGTCGCAGAGGGGGAGGGGGGAGAGGACGAACGCAGCGGACTGGGAGAAAGATGATTCCATGCCATGACAAACTTTCAATGTCCTTGCATTCTTTGCACTGCTGACCCTGAGTGCATGCTGACAAAACAAATGGTTTGACATTGTGCGTCTTTATACTGTTGGATTCAATCTTGAGACCAAAATCTCAAAAATCAACATCTGTGAGTCAATAATAATAATAATAATAATAATAATAATAATAATAATAATAATAATAATACACAAATATGCGGGATCAGTGCCAAAAGGCTTGTTTCGGCGATAATTGCACCTGAAAGCTAGCACTAAGAATGTCCACCCACGTCTTGCTCATGCGTATCATTATTTCAATTTTTCGCTATACGATCCAGCAATAATGTTATTGAATGCTATTGTGTATTATACGAGACCGGTTTCGTATGTGATGATGTAATATGTGGTAGATGTAAAGTAAAATCATGACATGATAATATCTATGGTTCAATAGCATCTGTGCGAAAATAATAATAATAATAATAATAATATTACACAAAAAAGCTGAAACAGTGCCAAAAGGTCTCATCATCCTTCGAGTATTGGACTTGTTCATGTGTAGAATTATTTCAATTTTTCGCTATACGCTTCAGCAATATTGCTGTTGAATATGTTGGTAAGGGAAAGTACCCGAGGACATTATTCAATATATGTATGTCAAATAACTGTTGTTATAGGCCGTCAATGTTATTGTTTATCACTGATTACTAACCCTTCAATATATTTTCTTTTCCATTTTAAAAAGAATGAAATAACACACGTAGAAAACAAACCCATAGAATTTATTCGCAGGCGCAGGAAAGTAAGAATGAAGAAGGTTCTACCTGAAAACGAAAATAGTTTGTATTTGATTCGTATAGCCAGATATGATGAATTAAATGAAATAACAATAAGAGGGTTTCGATATGTTGCCGATGAAAATTTGTTTTTGTAAAAGAGATGGAACACTTCGACTGTCGATTAGTCATTTAAGGAAAATCTTGGTTCTGATAAAAATATTTAGATTTTGACATTTTCTCCCCTTTGTACCCTCTTTCATCACCTCTCTGTTACTGTTTCCTACACCCCCTACAATCTCTCTCTCTCTCTCTCTCTCTCTCTCTCTCTCTCTCTCTCTCTCTCTGAGAGGCCAGGCTACTTAACCTGTTGTTAAGGCATTATTTTCATGAATACTTGTGGTGATATCATGTCATTCAAGTTTTTAGTGAATCGTCCAAAATGTATGGTTCGAAGATAAAACGGATTCAGAGTCTTAAAATCATTGTTACCATTGGCAAAACCCGATGTCATTCTTGGAATCGTCACTGGAACTTTTGACTAAAATGTTTTTCTTCAGAACCAGCTGTCTCACAAAGAACGCGAAATGATCATCTATCTGCTCAATGATGAAATAGAAATGAACGATGACGATGGTGAAGAAGATGGGTAAAGGCTCACGCAGAGTTTTCGACGCCCTGAAGTCATCACGTGTACTCGACAACCATGATTTTGTCCTGTAGATTGACTTTTCCAACTCTTTAATTTCATTTATCACAGAAATGTAAAACCTTAACGATTATGCAAGATAACCTACAACGTTTTGCATTTTCCTTAGATTCGCAAACTTACTTCTTACTTACTATGCGAATTTCAGATAAGAATATGTACACGTTCTGCAAAGGTTGAACATTGATAGCTGTTCCCCCCCCCCCCCTTCAATCTCTCTCTCTCTCTCTCTCTCTCTCTCTCTCTACGTGGAGGAATCTCAATTAATCCGCATTTTTGCAAGGATCGTGAGGGTTGAGTCGTACTTAGTTTCACATAATGAGGTATGCACTTGCACAATACAAAACTCTTCTTCCATGTATTTAGCATTAACATTGAATTGTGTATTTAATTTCATAAGACGCAATCATAAATTCCCTGCATTACGGTATATAGTGGGACTAATCATTTATGGGGACATAATTAAATAAGCGCTAACTACCTGATTACGATGGCACAATGATATAATTATTTTATGTCATAACACGGACATTTAAGAAAATGCACTCTCATTTTCGTGTCGTGCATCATTCCTGATCAGCTGAGTGATCCTGAAAACATTGAAATATTTATCTCATGGTCTGCGAGCGTAATAGAGAAGCATTAAGTGTGACTGACTCCATTGTTTTTAACCAATATAAATTGGTGTATTTGGGCAGGAACAAGTGTATTCCGATTCTACAACAGACGCGGCAAGCTACGATATCCAGAGATACTCGTGATCTTCAACATGGCAAAGGTTAAGATGTTTGCGGCTTTGCTTGTGGTTATGATACTGGTGCAGATGTTTGCTGATTCTGACGGTATGTTACTTACAGTTGCTCGCTCTTTTCCTGGCACAGTGTTTTTATTTTTCTGATAATTTTACTCTTTCTCCCTCTCTCTCTCTCTTAAAACAAATGAAGAAAAATCAGCTTTCCTACAAATCAATTTGGGTTAAATGCATTTGTTTAATTTGTGCGAATTCTGAATATTCAAAATATTAAAACCTTTATTAATTTATTCTTACTTCTAGCTTGGCGTAGACGTAGAAGGCGCAGGCGTAATGGAAAGAAAATTGAGGACGCTGTGGACGTTGACGCTGCAAACATTGACACGGTATGTTAATCTACTAGTATCAACGTATTCTAACACTACTTCCTCTTTATCAAATACATTTTTTTTCATTGTCAGTGCCATCTTCCAATGACGGTGCTCAGTTTCATATGTTTTTATAAAACATTTATGAAAGTGATTGGCCAATCGGGTTAACCTGCGTTTTTGAGTCTTTTACTTCATTATCAGCTGTCTGACAAAGAGCGCCACATGATATGATCAATTTGATTACAGACGACCATGGTGCTTTTTTTTGCTGGCAATGAGTTAATTTTTACTTCTCTATCAGCGCACAGTATCTACAGACTTGACATTTAATATGGAATATATTTTCCAAATCATATTTCATCAGTTTTTTCCTATTCTGCTGACTGATAAATGAAAACAAGGATTAAAATCGTGTTTTAATAACTTTGAATTATCTCTTTGATGTCATTTTGATATCAGTTAATTAATGTAATTCGCCAGAGAAGCAAACAAAAACACATTGCCTATTCTATGTCATACGACAACCATTAAAAGAGATATTTTGGATCTCCATATTTTCCAAATTATTGTCTGTAAAAGAGTTACACGCTCCACAAAGGACCCTCATGTCAGTGTCTAGTCACAGTAACGGTTGCTGTTACGCCTGACCTCTTCTGGCTGCTACAAGCGCTCTCAAGTGGCAAGGCTTTCCTTGGGATTGGTTTTTAGAGTTCAATCTGGAATAACATTTCAGGCATCGATCAAAAGCTGTCCAATTTGGTCCAGATTTGTTGCAGGACATGTAGGCCATTGATTTGGCGAGTAATGGCCTACCCACATATTGTCTATGTGGTTTAAATATGGCGATTTTGATGACCAAGGTAGCTGCTTATTCCCTTGGTTCTCCAAGTAATCTGCTATTAAAAGTGCTCCGTGTGAACGGGCAATCTCACTGCGCAACCTAAAATTGTTCCTAAGGTGCCCCCTATCAAATGATAGTCAAGTGGTTCCCAGATTATTTCTTTATTTGATCTGGTTCAGGTTTTCGTCGATGACTACCATTGGCGTTTTGGCACCAATGTGTTATCCACTCCAAATACTGACGCTGTTAATGACCTAAGTCACTTTAGACGCGGCACACGCTTCGTCGTTGGCCTCTTCTGGATGTCTGTAAACTCTGTTTTGACTAGTTGGGCATTACAGGTGAAATCTGACATCAATAAAGAAAGCCACGAGGTTTCAGTGTTCAACCCAGAAACGGTCAAGGTCCCCAGTTCATTAGAGAAACATACAACGATGTTTTGCTGTTTACAGCGGGTTCTTCGTAGGTCGTCTGGTATTCTAACCTGGTAAAACCAGTTTGGTGTTCGCTAAGGGCCTTGAAAAATGCGTTTTGGTGGCAGCATATCCCGAAAAACAGTGGGCCCTGTACTCTGGTGGTAAGATTTCAATACATTGGGTGTGGCATCTGTGTAGGTACATCAGTCTGGGCATTACTCTATAAAACTGTGGGGACCGTTTCGTTTGGCGCGATTATCTGCCTGGCAATGTCTGNGCGATTATCTGTCTGGCAATGTCTGTCTTTTTCACGCCATTCTGCACAGATTAACAAATTTGTAAAGCACTGCATAGCTCATTTTACCACCTGCAAAACCGACCACTTGCATGCAAAATTTCAAATTCATCTATGCAGTAGTTGTCGACATATGGGTACTTTTTTGACAGAACCATGCTTTGCCAAAGACAAGCTTTGACCTGCACAAAGGAGCACTACCCAATTAAATCACTGCATATTACATAATGCAGCAGCGCAACAAACCTGGTATTCAGTTAATTGGAAGCGACACACCTGACTACTCACTTCTCCATTCACATATCTTACATGAGATCGGAGTTTTTTTAAAAAAGAACGCATTTTTTTACTTAGGCATACATTCGAAACTGAAATATTTCGTATTAAATGTCAAGTCTGTAAAAAGAACGCAACATGATCGATTTGAATAAAGAAGAAACATTTATGAATTATATCAGTGACGGATATGTAGACGTTTAGTAAAGACACCTCACTACAGTGATAACTCAGCAACCACGATTCTCCTCGGTAGATTGAATTTATTGAAAATCAGACAAATAATTGCAGAAGTATGCGATTTGTTTGAAAGACAAAGCTGTATGCCAGTAATATCTCGAAAGACTTTTGAGAATTGGGATGTGTTTCGTAATCAATTTTGACTTAAATGTCGCTGAGCATCATCCGAGTTCACAGCAATAAATAGATCCTTTGTGAACAATCGTCTTATTCATCCTTTTAATCATATACACTGCAGATGATGATGCACAATTAAGCTACAATTTTAAATGTGTAAATGTAGTCAAATTCAAATATCAAAAATTTTGAAGGGACATGTACCAGTAGGCCTACTAGATATTTCGTAATTTTCTAACTTGCAGTAAATCCTTCAAAGATTTTCTTTTGAAGATAAAGCATGGAGGTATCTTGCTATGATTCAGAGGTCTTAAAATCAGAGTAACTTTCGATAAAAATCGGGACCATTTTTGAAATCGCTGAAAGAATATTTAGCTACAATAATACTTATTGTTTTCGTTTTCAGAACCAGCTGTCCGACCACGAGCGTGACATGATCATCGATCTGCTCAAGGACGACATGAACGATCCCGGTGACAAACCGGACGGATACCAAGAAGATGAATAAGGGCCATCAGACACCCACGCAGGCAGTTTTCGACACCCGGAAGTCATCACGTGTACTCCAACACGATTTAATTCTTTAGATTGACTTTTCTAACTTAAAAAAGGTCTGTCAGATAACTTCGACTGTCTGGCTTGTATNCCTGGCAATGTCTGCCTTTTTCGCGCCATTCTGCACAGATTAACAAATTTGTAAAGCACTGCATAGCTCATTTTACCACCTGCAAAACCGACCACCTGCATGCAAAATTTCAAATTCATCTATGCAGTAGTTGTCGACATATGGGTACTTTTTTGACAGAACCATGCTTTGCCAAAGACAAGCTTTGACCTGCACAAAGGAGCACTACCCAATTAAATCACTGCATATTACATAATGCAGCAGCGCAACAAACCTGGTATTCAGTTAATTGGAAGCGACACACCTGACTACACACTTCTCCATTCACATATCTTACATGAGATTGGAGTTTTTTGAAAAAAGAACGCATTTTTTTACTTAGGCATACATTCGAAACTGAAATATTTCGTATTAAATGTCAAGTCTGTAAAAAGAACGCAACATGATCGATTTGAATAAAGAAGAAATATTTATGAATTATATCAGTGACGGATATGTAGACGTTTAGTAAAGACACCTCACTACAGTGATAACTCATCAACCACGATTCTCCTCGGTAGATTGAATTTATTGAAAATCAGACAAATAATTGCAGAAGTATGCGATTTGTTTGAAAGACAAAGCTGTATGCCAGTAATATCTCGAAAGACTTTTGAGAATTGGGATGTGTTTCGTGATCAATTTTGACTTAAATGACGCATCATCAGAGTTCACAGCAATAAATAGGTCCTTTGTGAACAATCGTCTTATTCATCCTTTTAATCATATACACTGCAGATGGAAATGCACAATTAAGCTACAATTTTAAATGTGTAAATGTAGTCAAATTCAAATATCAAAATTTTTGAAGGGACATGTACCAGTAGGCCTACTAGATATTTCGTAATTTTCTAACTTGCAGTAAATCCTTCAAAGATTTTATTTTGAGGATAAAACATGGAGGTATCTTGCTATGATTCAGAGGTCTTAAAATCAGAGTAACTTTCGATAAAAATCGGGACCATTTTGAAATCACTGAAATAATTTTTAGCTACAATAATACTTATTGTTTTCGTTTTCAGAACCAGCTGTCCGACCACGAGCGTGACATGATCATTGATCTGCTCAAGGACGACATGAACGATCCCGGTGACAAACCGGACGGATACCAAGAAGATGAATAAGGGCCATCAGACACCCACGCAGGCAGTTTTCGACACCCGGAAGTCATCACGTGTACTCAAACACGATTTAATTCTTTAGATTGACTTTTCTAACTTAAAAAAGGTCTGTCAGATAACTTCGACTGTCTGGCTTGTATTTTTCTTCACGCAAGAATATAAATTCATTAAAGATGCATTTATTCTCATAGAATGTAGAATCTACTTATAGAATTTAACATGATTCACATGTAAAGTTGAATTCATGGACAATTCCATACTAGAAGATTGTTTTGAAGAAGGAAAACAAAAATAGATCAAAATGAACTAAAATAGAGCTGAAAGCAGTGATTAGTTGAGAAGACAAAACCAACAATAATATCCCTCAAGAGAGACTGCTAACAATCCACGATGGCTTTCGTGGTCTATGTCGAATTACTGTAGGTGTCATAGAGCATAAATTCTGTAACTAATAAATAGTTATTGCGTGAGCAATCATCTGATCCGCCATTATTTTTATTTGTTTTATATCGTTCTATAAGTACATAAATGAGATATTGGCGTCAAAGATATTGTCTCCCTAACAACCCAAGTGATTTTCATGTATGTTGTGTGTGACATAATACACTGTCACTCGAGCGATAAATGCCCATGCATACCGAAAGAGACTACTCGTATTCCACCGAAAAGCAACCCTTAAACCGAATAAAGGGTATATCGCCATTTCTAGTTTGTGTACATGTATGTTAATATACAGCATGAGACCATTTTTCCTCAAAGCACCTTTCTCATATATTTTTAAAAACTCTCATGATTAGTTGCTCAGATTTGAAAGTAATCCAGATCGATGTGAAATAAGATTAAAATGCAGGGGCTAAAAGCCGTAAAATCAAGGAAACAATAATATGTATGGCGTTTTTGTGTACATAGCAGAAACAAAAACAACTGCATTTATTTTGTCTTCATTTAGTCAGTTTGATTATTTTTACACAAATATTATATGGCCCAAGCTGAGGAAGAAGTGCCTCTGCTTAACTTAGCTGTTCCGTGCGATGGCGTTTATGTCGAATATACTATAGTGTCCTATGCCTTCATGCAATCAGCTCTTCGGGCGTATGGCTTAAAAAAGTAATCGAAATTCTAACCATTTGGTAAAATTTAATTCTTCTGTCCCTTATTCCGTGAACCAAAGTAAATCCCAAGTGTAAAAGATGTGTGAAAATTAGTCATTAGTCAGCAAGTATCTTTCATGTGTCATCAAAACGAAAATTTCAAATAACATCTCACAGAAAAGCATGTGAAAGCACCTTTTCATAATCCTACTGTATTTCAGCCATTAAACATATCCTTTAACTCTATTATTCTCTAAAAGAGAAATAAGTCCCAGCGTTGTGAAAAAGGAAAGAAATTGGTCTACGGAATCTTAAAAGGGCCAAAACAAAAATGTGCCTCCAATTGACCTTTCTGCGTGTTTATTGCATTTTGCGACATTGCGATCGTTTCGCCAAGAGGAAGAGGAGTATTCATTTTTCATTAAACGTGAAGCCTAACACCCAAAACCCTTTCTGCACATGCGTAAACCATTGACTTCACTGCTTGGCCAATATAAAGCGGCGTATTTGAGAAGGAACAAGTTTATTCCGATGCCACAACAGACGCGGCAAGCTACGATATCCAGAGATACTCTTGATCTTCAACATGGCAAAGGTTAAGATGTTTGCGGCTTTGCTTGTGGTTATGATACTGATGCAGATGTTTGCTGATTCTGACGGTATGTTACTTACGGTTGATCGCTCTTTTCCTGGCACAGTGTAGTGATCCGCCTCGGCTATTTTTCTGATTATTTTACTATCTCTCTCATCATGTGCTCGTAACAATTAGTTTAAGTTAGTTTTCCGTTTATCAAAGCTGTGCAGATGCGGTGTATTAAATCACTTTGACCTAAGCTTATTTTTTCATTTGTTCTTATTTCTAGCTTCGCGTAGACGCAGACTGGTTCAGAACAAGAGAGTCGCTGACGCTAACAGGGTACGATAATTCATTTAATCTTTTATGAAAACCTCTTGTTTTATCACTTAATTCCATCCTTACCACACGCATATTCTTTTTTTGTAATGAAAAATCGGTGACAAACCGAGTGAGATGACGAAGATTGATAAAGTGCACTATATGCTTACGGATATACATGTGCTCTTTTGACAACCGAAATTAGTGTGAACTCGGCAATCATGCTTCTGCGCAATAGGTTATTTTTATCAAAATACCCGACAAATAATTGCAGAACTGAAGACAAAAGTGTCTTCCAATAATTATTCGAAAGTAAGCCTTCAGCGTCACAGTGGTTTTCTTCGACTTGTATATAGAACATCTTTGCAAAAATAAAAAAGTGGTAAAGATGTGTTTTTATGTCAGGGAGATCTGATATTGTGCTGTGGCTTTGAAATAATTCGATTCCCTGAGACCACGGCCACTGTGGTATAGAAAATAAAGTTATTGACCGACCTTTATTGTGTGGATAGCAGTAGATTTGCTGATGTCTATCTGACTTCTTTACACAAAATCTATCGGAACCCGTGTGATAAAACCACGGACGTGTTGTTCTTTATACCAATGGAAACTTTCATAATTTTGCATTATGCGATATACCCAGAATTTATCCCCGCAATTCATAAGTCGTAAGCCAGTCAATCGCCAGTCCAAGAATACTATAATCCCTGACATATTTAGTCTGGATGATAGTATCGTCAACAAATGTGAAACCAAAGATATAGAAAAAGTCCATGTCACGGCAAACAGCGGCCACTCTGCCAACGTTATTAAACCTGGGCCCGTAACTCGAAAGCATCGCGTTACATTCAATAGAAATAATACAGCGGATGACTACCTAACCTCCAGGCGTAACAAAAACATTCCGTATGTCTTATGGCGTGTGTTATCCGGGCTTAGATATCAAACCATACCTTTTATGTGGCGAACAATAGTATCACCGGCCAATATCACTTACGAAGTTCATTCGGTTTGCACGTCTCAGAAACACCTAAAAGAATTAGACACACTGCAAACAAATTTGTTACTAGATATATGGGTGTTTCCTCCAGATTTCGTGCATCAGAGCTTTTAAAAGAAATTCTAAAAACTAATGCTGCTGCTTTTAAATCAGGCAAATCTCTATTCTATAAGACCATGACCATTGACTGACCGTGCTATCTCATTTAATACTCAATCACTTATTGATGAGAGGGACCCTGCTTGAATGATATCTTTTGGTATAAGCCCAATTTTATGTACAGTATGATAAACATGAAATCTGCTAGCAAAGGGTCACGGGACCATCAGGACTAGTATACACGTTGAGCTTTCTAGTTAATAGTTCCAGTTAACAGGAAAGACAATCTAAGGAGTACATGCTTGTGGGACTATTTTTAAAATCTTTTTCATTGGCCTCTATTTACACTGTGTTATTTTTATGTATTTCGTTTTATTCCATCTCAATCTAACTTATTTATTTTATTTGTTTATTTTTCATTCTTTAAAAGGTGGTTATATAAATAAATAAATAAATAAATAAATAAATAAATAAATAAATAAATAAATAAAACGGATTCAGAGTTGTTTGTACCATTGGTAACACCCGATGTCATTCTTGGAATCGTCACTAGAGCTTTTCACTAAAAAATATATTTTTTTTTTCAGAACCAGCTGTCTCACAAAGAACGCGAAATGGTATTCGATCTGCTCAAAGACGAGATAGCAATGAACGACGCTGATGGTGCAGAAGATTAATAAAGGCCATCAGACACTCACGCAGACAGATTTTGACACCCGGAAGACATCGCATGTGTACTAAACAACCATGGTTTTGTCCTGTGGATAGACTTTTCTAACTCTTTCATTGGTCCTGGTGAATAACTTCAACGGTTTGACTTGTAATTTTTATATGAAATTGAATTCATTTACAAATAACAATGCCACAGTCGGACAGTGTCTTGAAAAAAGGAAAATAGACCAAAATATACTGAATTACAGTAGAAATAGAGCTAGTAATTTGTTGAGAAGATATAACTTACAATGCTATCTGTAGAGAAATATTACCATAATGATTGCTTTTGTATGTCTATTTAAACTTAGCTATATACTTTTAGATTTTAAAGGAATGACGAACGTTATATTTTATCCATAATTGTACCTTTCAATATTTATTTTAAAAGTACCTAATCCCGTTTTTAATACAGTACCTTACATATTATATATACATTCAATGAGTGTCTTACTTATTGCAAAGAAGCACAATAAACCCCAATAACAATAAATACTAGTTACTGCGTTGGTAAATCACCATCCCTATTCTTCGTTATATACCATTATATATGAGCACAAATATGATTCGTTTTCAAAGATATTTTATTTTTTAATTTACAACCTTAAGCCCCTGTGCACTAGACGGTGTTCTTTTAGCGTCCCTCGATCAAAAATGTGGCCAGGAAGCTCAATGGTCCCCAAAGCATGGTAGTCTCAGTGTAAATGCTTCTGCGTCCCTTCTGCGTCCGTTGAACGTCCGAATCTAGATTTTAACTGTAAAAATGACAGCGACCTGTGCGTCCGCTGAACGACCTGGCTGCCCCCGTCAATTTAACACCTTTCTATTTTGAGGTGAGATAGCAATCAGAATGGGGCGTAACTTCATCCCCGAACAGAGCTTTTCCACAAAAATTGGTAGAGTTGACCACGAATGTATAGGCTACAATCCCATGCCGTCCTTTGGTTTAAATGTTTTTGTTATGGAGTTATGACCCCCTAATTACAGATTTTCAAAGATTTTTAAGAAACCGTTTTTCAGTTTTTACCCAAAATCGCAATCATGACGTCACCCGTAAGAAGACATACGTGTAAATGTTAATCAATTTAGTAACTGAACACTAAAAAATTTAAAAGTGTATTCATGTGAAGTATACATGAAGCCCTGTTGGTACATGCCCCTTGGGACGATCTATATGCGTTCTTCTCCTCTTATGATGCGCTCGTACAGCTCAGCATCAAGAGGAACAAACGCACGTTTCGTCTCATCCAGGAAGTAGAGTTTGTCGTCTTTAACTTCACTAGGTTTAAACCCTTGTCCTTTGAGTTGTTCTTTCCTCTGTTTGTACGTGCCTGTCAGATCTAATGTGTGCTGGACACGCAGGAAAAGTGGCCTGGCATAAGCTGGGAGACGGTCGGAAAGACGATTGTAGATATTTTCAAACAGTTGCCACGTTAATTTCTTTTCCTCCTGCAAAGTGACAGCGGCCATACCAGCTCTACCCTCTTTACCTAATTACGACAAAAGCATGAGAATTAGAGCCAAGGGGAGACGATTTTGCCTTAGAAAACAGTTTGGGCGTTGAGAGGCCCGTTGTCTTTTGTGAGTGAAAAGTGAAGGCTAATGGCATAGTTCACGTGAGTTAACGGATGTTTTCATATCTGTGAGGTTAATAGTGGCTTCCCAACCCTTACCTGGCACTTTGACCCCATACACGCTCGCGTCCTCCACGCCTTCTACCTCTGCTAGAACGTTAGCGACCTCTAGTGTGGAAACGTTCTCTCCTTTCCATCTACAACACCAAACGTATCGTCTCAACCATTGTGTAGTAGATAAAGATATAATAGTATAATGTCTTCTTTTTACTTACTGCATATGAATTACACTTGTGTGTCGTGAATGAAAAAATAAGAGAGAAAGGAAGAAATCAACCATTTTCGACCCATATAATTATGTGTTGCACAGCTCAAGGAGTTGTTTGAGACAACTCTTTGCACAGATGTATACCTTCATATTACTGAATCCAATATGATGCTTTACCTAAATGTATCCCCAACTCTGTCACTGAAGTAAAGAAAGTAGTTACTGTCAGTGTACAGTAAGTCTCCGGAGTTGAAATATGCATCGCCTTGTTGGAAAACGTTGCGTAATATTTTCTTTTCTGTCAACCCTTTGTTCCCTTTATAACCCTCAAAGGTAAAATTTCCTTTTATGGCTGCTATCAACAGACCGGGTTCTCCTGAGGAAGAACAAGCCATGATAAATAACGAGAAATAAAATCAGCAGCATTCAGCAATGACGAACGCCTACATATAAACACTCACGACCGAGTATACAAAACTGTGCTAAAATTGTAATTGCTTGCTGAAGGTTGCTTTTTTATACAATCGATGTGAATGCATAGAGGCATTATAGTGGTTACTTAATATTCAATTAAAAATTCTTATTACAGGAAAGTACTGTGTGCCACACCTCTACCGACAAGAAACGTTAATGTCAGTAGAAAATGATCAAGGCACATAATGTTGATAAATGATAATAATAACAATGATAGTGATAAAAGGTCTACCTATCTCGACAGGAATACAACGTCCTTGTTCATTTCTTACAGGTTCGTCCTTCTCGTGATCATACTTAACCAAGAAACTCGGGAACACTAGTCGCTGAAAGCATGTTGATACGTTTTTCACAACTAAAAATATTAAGCCAAGGTCTGACAGCAATATCATTTTATTATATATCTTAAGCCTAGATTATATTTGCCATGCGATGTCCGTACAGTGCTCGTACACTACCCGTATCCCTTTTTTTCGTGTGGCGTCTGTGCGTTGGCCTTGCGAAATCGTACGGATTCACTGCCTCCGTAGCCTCTGCAATTTTGTTATGCTAAAACTGACAGTTTTTAAAAATCGTAGGCAGTAGCATAAGATGGCATCGAACAGTTCCTGTACGGGCATTGTTCGGTGAACTTGCGGTGTTCGTGATAATGGTTAAACCTGTTGTTGGTCTCTTTACCTTCCATTGGTCGTTTACAATATTACAATAGTAAAGATGTTTAAAATTTCAAATAATTCACTTGTATAGATTTGAAATTGTGCGTTTCCTTACTCTGACCACATTGGTGCTTAAAACCGTAGGGGGCTGTATCTATAACATGTCGATCTTCAAGAAAGCCGCACGAAAGGCGTCCGGCAACTGTACTGAGACCGAAAGGGTCCCGCGCGATCACCTTTCAACCGACAACCGGGTTTTTCCTACGTAACCTAAAAGTCATGTCGGAAAATGGCACGACACCCGCACGTAATATAAACGTTCTTGCCGTAGACCGTAGCTACTTTCGATGCCCAAAATAATCGTACGGAAAACGTATACGATTTTATCGTACGACACTCGTGGCAAATGTTATCTGGACTTTACTCGAAATTTAAAGAAAAAATAAATAAGTTCAGATGCGATAAGTTATGTAGTAATATTGATAAAAATACCAACTTATTGTGTTACACTCAACACCGTAATGTACTTGCACCGCAAATATTAAATTTAAAACGAGAAAAATTTTACTTTAAATTATAGAGAAAAAAATCCTATCTACCAAAGCAATTGTGATAGAAGTGATGATATTGCAAGGTGCCGTTCGAAAGGTTGTTGAAAAGATATAAATATACCAAAAAGGGTGACAGTCGCCCGCACGAGAGCGGTTTGTTGTACGTATTAGAAAACCAGCAATTCCCCTCTGTTGAAGCGTAAAACTCCACCATGTGGTCCAACTTGAATCGGCTCTGGAACTTCAACCATATGTCAGACCGCAGGCCGTTTCCAATGAAGCAACGCACAACGTGTCGACTCTCTAAGGGGCTCTGAAACAAGCTTTTGCTTATTTTTAATACACCCATATCTGTGTCTTAAATCAAAGGAAACAGAAAACAGAAAAGAAAAAGAAAACTCTCTCTTTCTCTCTCTCTCTCTCTCTCTCTCTCTCGGAATAGCTAGCGAGACACACGAACGAACATATAAAACATCAACTGCCAGCCTTTACCTGGGGTGTAGCAAGAACATATCGGCATATCTCCCCAATGTATTGCACTACAGTGACACCATGGCGGCGGATATCATACCAAAAATTGCTGGCCGAAAATTTAGCTCGTAGAATAATAGTGGCTCCTAGAATGAGACGCGTAGGCACATCTTTAAACCAGTGACCAGAAAATGCAATAACGGTAAATAAAACCCACGGTACAGTTTCTTAAATAGTCATGTCCTTGAGGTTTTGCCTAGTCTACTTTTCTTCCGCATGTTCCAGAAAAAAAAAGAGAGAAAAAAAAGAAGACCGGCAATTTCTATACATAATTATTATTCTTCCGGTTACTCCTAAATCAGCACTTTGAAAAGCAAAATATTTATGATTGAGAAAAATAGAATCATAAAAGACATCAAATACGTGATATGTGTCTAACGTAATAAAAATAAAATGAATTTTTTTTATTGATTACCCCTCTACAAATATTTGGATTTCTAATTCTTGCTACTTTCTCAAACGTGATATAGTCTTACAACTTCTATAACAAGATACCTCTTAGTATAACAGCACTCAGGCCGACCACCCCCGCCATGCTGTGGTAGAGGGGAAGTGACGTGTACACTATGTCGTTTTCATTTAACTTAGTGGGAACAGCCATCAGGAAAGCGCCTCGGATATAACGCAGGTGAGTTATAATGGCCGGTTTTGGAAGACCTGTAGGACGAAGAAAAAAATAGCTTTTATTTGAAAATGTGTATTCCTGACTATTCCTTGTATATTAATTCCAATTTATAGATAAATTTTAACTTGAGTTCAAAACTTCAGTTACAAGTCAATTTCAGTTGCCATCCGATTCAAGCAATGGATGGGTAGGCTATTCTTACTGACCGAAACCAATCTCCTGTTACTTTTTATTTAAAAGCCGCATAAACTCTTACCAGTTGTTCCGGATGTATACACATAACTTAACGGGTCCATCAGTGTAATGCCTTGGCGAATATGACGAGGAATTTCTTCCCCACTGGAGGAAGACTCTGTGGCCTTCTGCAGGTGGCTAAAATTCTGGGGGATGTTTTCCGTAATTCCCTCACCAGAAACCCAAATGTCTACCCCCTTCTCTAGTAATTCAGTGTTTATTTCCTCCACTGCTTTTAATAGGTCATCGTCTAAAGGAAGAACATTATGAATTGGTTCGATATCTGATGTAATGTCTACTTAAAACGAAATATCTAGTAGCGTAGCCATAATACAAAATATGTTAAAAAAAAAAAAAAAAAAAAAAAAAAAAAAAAATACGCCATAACATTTTGATTAATGGTGTAGTAGTACGATCTATAACCGTCCCCTTTATTTATATAGATATCTTTTTGAAATTAAAAACTCACCTTTTCCAACAATTAGTACTTTGGCGTCACTTTCTCTCAAACAGTGTTTCAGTGGGTCAGCTCGCAGGTTGTAATTTATAAAAGCCACAATCACACCTATTTTAGCTAAACCTGAAATTAAAATTGCGAAAGACGGTGATTCGTTTTCGCGCAAAAGGTTTTCTCCATTTTGAACATTTAACACATAATAATTACGCTTTGGGTCCGGACGTTATAGAATCCAAGGCGGAACTGCTCGATTGCGAGGTTAAATTTTGACTGTGGTAATACAGGGGCGGATCCAGAGACATTTTCTGACAGTCTTTCAAATTATCTTTGTTGATCCATCCTCCATTTTTTGACTGTCTTCCGACAGAAAAAATTAAATATCCGTCAATGTAAACTTGAAAATCTGACCGTCTTCCGGAAGATCCAGAAGACGGCCTCAATCCGCCCCTGTAATTAATGAATTAATAGAGTGAAGTAGATATCTAGACATTAAAAGAAAATAATCGGAACCGATCGGCAATAATTTGCCCCGTATTCCTCTAAGTTATAAATTTAGTTAGCCCAAATTCCATACATCCTATCAGACATATTAGACCAAATTTAACAACTACATTCTATGCCGTTGATCAAATGACAGCAGTGATAAACGTAGCCAGTTACCTAGGAATATCCAAATGAATTCTGGTTCATTCCTCATCATAACGGCCACTACATCACCTCTCTTCAGCCCCTGGTGGTTTAGGGCATATCTTGCTACCTTATCTGCCTCCTGATTGACTCTCTGGTACGAAAATATAGATACCTCACCAGAGGTCTTCTGAAAATAAAAATAAGCTGAAGATGAGGTAAAAAGGTTTGAAGGTCTACACTTGCGCACCGCTCTCCTTTTTTTATTTTAATACAGTAATTAAATCTATATATATTCAAATTTTAAACAAAACCATTTTCAAAATAAATAAAATTGCGTTAATTCTATTAAACTGTTGTAATGTCAAAATCTAAATCCATCGATATCTATTTACCTCTAAATCAGACAAATTTCTAAATTTAAAAAAGTCACCGTGAAGTATCTGTCAACAAAAGTAAGGAATATCAAACAAGGAACATATTAATTGCTCCAACCTGGAATTTGATGAAAGGTTTTATTGCATTCTCTTTCGCAACTCTTTCAAAGATATCAATGATTGATGTGTTCGTCTTTTTCAATTTCTCGATTTCCCGTTTTGTGCGAATCCCTAGTAACAAGAATCGGACATCCATCCATAGCCAAGGCCATTTCTTGTGGACCACGAATATTGTTCCGCACAAGACGACAACAAACGTTAACAGAAAATTCCAAATGGATACCATTGTCGCCTACAAGAAACAAACAGATGACAAGAAACGTGGCAATCATAAACACGCTGTTTAGAAGATCCAAAATGCGGACGTTGAATTCTAGTTCTATTTAGATTTATACCTAAAAGTTATATGACAGTGGTAGATAAATAAAAGCGCAAAGAGCATCATATTGTAAAGCAAACTTACTTGTTCCTGAATGATTCTCTTTACAGTGTTGTTCTCTGGAGCAATGAATGCACACAATGTTCACAAGATGTTGAAACTGCCTTTGCCCATGTACTAGCGGGGCACGCGAAGTATGAATTTACAATTCATATGTATCAAAAATCTACTATCTCCTTTTGTTGAGAATTGGGATATTACAGATATCAGTCCTAGATCACGCCTGGATTATCAAAGCAGCGATGAATCATCACATTTACTAACTAAATGCACATTTGTTGTCATTTATTGGTTACCAGCAAAACAAGGTGCATGTAACTATCATATAAAGCATGAAACGTGGGGTCCGCACCTAGGACGAAGTTCCCGTTAACAGGGTCCCAATACCAGTTTAGAGACAGGCTTCCCCTGAATTTGGACATATATATAGCTTTAAGGGCTTTGTAACCCTTAATTATAATCCAGACACCGAAAATGGGGTTTTTCCTGCATCTAATTACTCAATAATGCATCCATCTTTGTGCTGATTTAAAACAATAAAAATCCCCTCGAAAATATAAAATATCGACGTAGGCAGATCCACTGAAAATCATCATTCCAGTACGCATTGACATCACTTCTGAAACGCAATTACTGTCAAAATAAAGGGCAACAAATAGTGGAGCACGCGCAATAGGAACAAATAATGATAATAATGAAATAAAACACGTCATGAAGAAATATATTTCCCCAAAACGCACCAAGTACAAGGTGCTGAATGAATGAATTAATTATTGGAGACTACGTACATTGTATAGTTGTCTGCTGTAACTCAGTGATCAGTAACTCACTACTTCGTGACTTGCACTAAATGAAATGCCCATAAACCAATGTTCAATCAAAGGAATCCTTGGTTCAACCAGCCGAATTGAATACTGGATGAGATAACAAAATACACAAATATCAAGAAAACAAAGAATGGGGTTAAAATATGATTTACTCAATTTGACCGAATTCTAAAGCTCTGTAACATTTACAGATAAATTTTGACGTTTAGATAACCATTACAACACTGCAATTTGATAAATCTTAACACTATCAGTGATGACGATGACATGAACATAGCCAGATAAATATAAGCGCCATTCAGTAAATCTTGACTTAAGCATCTGAAATGATTCTCTTGTGATTTGTTTAATTCTTTTTCATATACCTGTGTAATAAACAAGTATTTCAGGGAACCATGTTTAATAAAACCAAGTAATACCTTATAAAATATTTCATAATCATGAGTATACAACTTCTAAAAATATATAGAAACGATGAAATAACATTTCAAGTATCTTATTTTTTACATGGTAACAATTTCACGCATTCTGCAATTTAAGACAATTTACATTTTATCAAACAAGTGAAATGTCTGTTACAGATTAATTGTATACTTCGTACTTGACATATTCTCAGGTTATGCTCAGTGGGCAAAAAAGCATCTTTAGCTTCAGATTCACGCAGCCAGTCTTTGCCAACAAGTGAACTAGTTTACTTAAGTCTAAAACAAGACATACACAATGTGTGTTTGTGTGTGTGAGTATGTGAGTGTGCAAATATACATATTAAATCGTGTCATCCCAACACATATATTTCCCACTCGTAACTTCATCAGTCCTCATTCCCTTTTTTTCTTTTTGGAAACCAGCAGCTTGCTTCATTGCTGAAGTTGGTTGTAACACAGTCAAGTTGAGAGATAAAACAGTTGAACAAGCAAATTGCTTAATACTGTCACTGACTGGTACAACTGACACTTACAAAAGATATATAATAATATTATCACAGATAAGGTTATATACATTTTCACTGGTATTTTTAAACACTTCTATGTAGAAGGACCAAGTTGTAACAACATCTACACTTAACACACATATATTAAAACTCCATATAGATAATCAGTAAGTTTGATATCATTTACATAAATTCTTAAATCAAAATCATATTCATATTTCAGTAGTGGTATTAAAATTAAGTGCAATTCATGATTTGAACATGACATCTCATGTCTCAACAATGTGTGTCAAAACCAACAAATCCCTAATTTACATAACCAAAATAACTTCAAAACATAAAATTAATTTCTCACACATTAAGTGCTGTAACAATAGAGTATTTCAGAGGGTAAAAATGCAGTTATGTTTTAAGCGTGCCCATTGTTAAGTCCGCGGTTTTAACCACAGCTTGTAAATATACAGAATTGCATCAATTGTGTTTCACTAGAATAAAGCTTGTTCAGTTCTATGTTGGCATAATTTTATGACCAGAGTATCAGTGAGTATTAGGTGACTTTCTTATTTCACTATCACAGATACATCCAAGAGACATCACCACTGTAGATTCATGGTCACTTCTTAATATTTCCCTGAATCAATGCATTAAAAAGCACAGTAAGTAGTCAGCTCATACATTTTCTGGACACTTCTTGTACAAACAAAGATACATTTTATCTCTAAAAAATTTTTTTCCTCTAGTCCTCAACTTCAGTGTATGGTTGGTTGTTGTGTCCCAGTTCCTGGGCTATAGCTTTGTATGTACTCTCATTCAGGATGTTCCAGCCTCGTATGGTCTTTGGATTTTCAGGCCCCATAACCTCTTCACAAATCAAAGCATAATTCCTGAAAAACTCATATGCCTTGTAGTAATTGCCGATTTCTTCCCAGTAGATGCCAGTGTTGATTTTCAGGCGTGCTGCTAAAACACATTTGTCCCCGTATGCCTGGACGCAGAGTTTGGCAGCTTCCTCATAAAGCTTTAAGAAATATAATAAAATGCATTTTACATATTTACTGTAAGAGGCAAACTTAGCAAAATGTCAGAGGGGGTTTTACTTTTTGTTTTCTCTAACATAACAATGCCAACTTGTTTGACTAAAATAAAAAGTCCAACTTAAAACATAGTAAACAAAGGTAGATAAAGACTTTACCTTGATCTGTTCTGTCTTGGCAGATCCCATCAATATAGCTTGGGTCATCACTGCTTCAGCTAGTTTCCCAATATCATTTCTCTGTAATCAGAATGGAACAATGTGAAAATCCATTTCTTTTCAGTTTTCTCCCTCCAACTTTCTCTTTCTATATGTGTACGTTTGCTATGCAGTTTTTGACCAAGGGCAAAACATCTGATACAGAATGCAAACAGTGAAGAACTTGCACAGACAAACTATGCTTACAAACAGATGCTTACAAAGGTTTTAAAATCATCAGATAGTGTTGTTGGGTGCACACATGTACATAAGTTCAAACAGAACATACCGATTTAAACACATTCTTTGCATCTGCCAGGTATTCATTGCCCAGTTTGCGGGCCTCAGTGGGAGAGAGCTGGGGGCTGCCCCCTAGAGTGATCCAGGTAGACAGGGAGAAGGACACTCTCATCATTTCAATAGCCATTTTAAACTGGAATTCATAGAAAAGGCCATACATTAATACACTCAAATTTAAGACAAAAATAGTTTGAAAATTAATAGATATTCACTTAAGTTACTTTTTAATAAAATTATGGCAAATAGTTTCCTAGATGAATCTTATTTTCTCAATGTTTCTTTCGGATTACCTTTGTTTCCTCAGAAGCATCAGCCAGGGGTTTGAGGTAGTCAATACTTTTGAAGCCCCATGAAATTGTGTTCCAAGTCTCTCCTTTCTGATTCAACATGATGAATTCATGCAATTTGCATTTCTATAATTAAAAAAAGGACAGCAGAATTTAATCAGCATGCACAAAGGTATAACTGTTTTTTTTTTCATTTTGCAATAAAAATAACCAATGATTATACAAAAAATACTTAAAAAATATAATAACCAGAAAAGAAGAAAAAAGGGATGCTTCTTTATAATCTTAAATTTTATTCTCAAAAAGTTACCTGATCCCACACATGAGACATGAGGCCACAAAGTGAGGCCATTCTCTCGGGCCTTTTCCCCAACAGTGTCTCCTCTAACTTAATGGCCTTTTCTGCCAGAGCTTGACCCTCATCATAGAGGCCAGCTTGGACACTGAAATACAGAGTCGAACATGACGGCACCGAAATAGTTAATGTTCACTGTTTGGATACATGTGTAAAAGAAAATTGTTTACATGAGCCTTCTTAATAAAAACTAAATTGGCACAATGAAATATGATGAAAATATTTAAATGAGTTTAATGAATTATATTAATTCAGTATAAACAAAAACCATGTTTAAATGAGCTTACAATATCCTTGCCACTCTTTCATATCTTAGAGCCATCTGACTTTCATTGAATTCTGGTGAATTTTCATCATTTCTGACAGCTTCAATGTAGCAGTACTTAATCTGATCTTTGCCTCCAGCCTGTAAAGAGAAATCAAGTCAATGAAAGTCATTGTCTCAATGCATCCAAATGCCACAGACAATGTAGTCATATAAAACAGAATAAAAAATAACCCTCACACCCATGCAAAAACATTTATGTAGTCATATCTACTGAGGTTTTTTTCATACATAACGCAACATAAATATTACTATTATTATTAATAATATACATATATATTATCAATATATATGTATATTATTAATAATATACATATATATTAATAATATATATGTATATTATTAATAATATACATATATATACATATATATTCAACATACCATTTCCACACCCATATTCCCTGCACCCTCTCCTTGTGAGGGGGCAGGAGGTAGAGATAAGGAGGGAGGGGGCATTAGAGAAGAAAGACAATGCTATAGTGGTCACTCACATTTCTCCAGTAAGCATTCAGTGCAGTACTCCACTCCTCATGGTAGAGCATATCAAACACCTGCCAGTCTGTCAACACAGTGGCCAGCCTCTCCTTGTCTCCCAGTTTGATCAGGTGAAATGGTAGCTCCTGGAGTGGGAACAGTTACATGATTTTTAAATGTGAGCTACAGGGTACCCTTAATCAACATATATCAATAAAAATACTTTCTCCAAAAGTCTGTCATATATATTTTGTTACACAGCATAGAAGACATTCAGTATTGTTTCTTTAATGTTTCAGAGTTAAAGTCTTAATACTTACCTCTACTTTCCTCTCAATATTATCAGTCTTCATGAAAAAGTCTGCCAATTTTCCATGCCACCAATCATACCAGAGTTTCACCTTTCCATCATTGGTTTTTTCGTCCTGGCCACCAAAGTATCTATCAAGACAGGACATAACCTTGTTTAATTAGGATATGTCTCATCAAAACTATGCAGTATCCTGGGGACACTTAAATTTTTGTACCTCGTTGTTATCTGTGCTATATTTTTTATGTGTGTGCCTCATGACTACATTCACAGTGTAGAAAGACAGCAGTTGGTAAATGTAACATTTAGTGATCAGTAAGTAAGTATTATAATCTTAAAATGATAAACATTAGGTTTTCCAATTCTTAAACAGCTTTTATGCCAATGATTCATTACTCTCAACAGGACTCATTGCATATCTAACAATATTTTACCTGACAGACAGATGATTAGCCATACCTTCTAAAAGTCTACATTATGAATCAAATGCAAGTTTCTCTGGTATGAAGGCCTTGATGCAAGCCATAAATTAAGTAAACACAAACATAGCTGCCTTACAAATGATTAAACCTCAAAATGCCTTAAAATGTTCAATGTCAGGTATTCTAACACACTGGTCATAACTTACTTCTGCCTGATGGCCTTGCTTAGTGACCTGTGGTAGAAGTCCAGTCTGCCCTCCCCACTCTGGCCATATGGACGGAGGAATGGCCTCAATACCCTGTACACTGATGCCCATTTGAAATAGGGCAGCACATCTGTGGAGTTTTGCTTTTTTTCAGATGCTTCCTTGTCTCCTGTAAACAATTATTTGGCAATGTTATTCTAATACTTCAACTAAATTCTAATAGACTATAAATGCAACAGCATTTGTCTGCTTTATTGAACAAAATGTGTGAATAAACAAGTAAAGCCAATTGGCATTTGATTTGTGACAAAATTTATATATATATAATCTAATCAATTTCTAAACTAACTGATTTCCTTGCCCAATGAGGGATATCTAATACAGCTATCAATCTCTAAATTCTGCAAAATTAAATTTTGATCATCAGTGAAAAAAGCATCATCTTCAAAAATATAAATTTCAGAGTATAAATACTAAATAGGTGAATTTATATCACTAATTTTGTAATAGAAAATTCATCCAACTGTTTACGGATATACAGTGTTTCACCTTTTTCAGTTGCTTCAGCTTCTTCAGGAGGCATCAGATTTTCCTCATCTGCCAGCAATAAAAGCAACTCTGATTCCAAAAGACCCCCTTTGGACACCTCAATCATACACAGAGTGGCTACCAATAGACTACCCCCTGTCTCAGCCTCAAATCTCTCCAGGACCTGGCCAAGCAGTCTGCAATTAGACCCACAATGTTTGTGTTTATTTTCATATCATAAGACTCCTTCAATTTTTTATTTTCATATCATAAGTTTCTTCACTTTGAATACACCTTGTAAACAACTCTTAGACAAACTTTTCTTAACATTCTAACACTTCATGTGTCAGAATGCAACTAACTTGAGGTCTTCATATAAAAATAATATTATTTACTAATTCTAAATGCAGGTATAAATATGTCATCTCACCCAAGCAGGTCTTCTTTGAGACTGTCAATTTTATCTGTGACTCCTCCAAAGTCCCCATACACACGCAGTTCCTCCAGAGCAATTGACAGCCAAAGTGGGTTGTCAGTTGCTTTCTTGCCCATCAGACGTGAAAACTGGATTCTGTCTAACTGTTTGTTGAAGGTTGCGAAGAAAGTGTCTATTATTTGCTATAAAGAATAAAATGAATTGGAGAAATGAATTAATATATTTCTGCAGAATATTTCGGAAGCAAGTGACAATGTATCTTACAATGAAATCCCCTGATATGTTATGTCATGTAAGTAACAAAAACACCAAGCCAAATCTAACATAATGAATTAGATACGGATTTTCCAAAGGTGAAAATATGATTAAAGTAAAGTGGGCAAATGAGAGGCAGAAAATTCTAAGAAAGGGGAACCATTGGGCATCATAATCCAGTTATAGACCTTACCTCCCTAGCAGCAATATCCAGAGGTTGTACAAATACTTCCTTGGGTTTACTCTCTCTGCTTATCAAGGTCTTGTGCTGTGGTGTTCCCGGGATCATAGAAAACACACAGCGTACGTATGGGGCTAGTTTCTGCGGGATGAAAGTCATGTTCAAAGCCTCTGGGTCATCATCCAACTAGGAGTAAAAAGCAATATAATTTAGTTCACACTGTGTATCTCTGAACATTATAATACATACCTAGAAAAATGAAAATATAATGGTGAGCAACCTAAGAGACTGAAAAGTTATAGAACACACATGTGACCATTACTGTGTTTAATAATGATGCCTTCATGAGAAGAATATGATATGAACAATATATGTTCACATTTCTTGCCTTTTTCTTAGACTAAGGCTTTTTGCATGTGATGTCCTAACTGATGGATAAACATATGGCGAAATAGACAGATGGAAGGGCAATGTGTTACATTATAATATGTTCCCATAGGTTTATAAAAGTTAAAAGCTAAATTGTGCACAATACAGATATAGCTACGTATGGGCACTTCTCTATCGTAATTTTCCGACAAGTGATGTCACTGCAAAAGGTCTATATAGCACTTTTTTTCACAAGAAATGAGAAACACAATGAATCTGGAATGTTTACAATAGAAGTTTATGTGTAGTTTGTAGAAGGAATGTAGAACTAAACCCACCTGATTCAAGGCATCAATTACTAGGATGACAGGTTTAGTTTCTGTGTTTGACAACACACTCATGCACAGCTGGCATGCTGCTTCTAGGTCCTTGGGCATCTGACTTTCTTCCTGAAGATAGAGAGTAAAAGATATAATTCAAATCCCCACATGATGAAAAACATTGGAAGAAACAAGAGCAGTCGTGGAAGTAGTATATGCAAAGTCAGTCACTAAGCTTCTTCATTTTAATGAGTACAAAACTGAATTAAAAGATCTGAATTCTCTAGTTTTTTTTTTCACATTTGGCTCTAGCTTGACAACCGACAATGATTGCCAAGACAGTGAGATGAGCTTTACATGTTTCATATATGCAATTTACATGCACAGATTTGTTTTAACTAAAATTTCATATGATGTACCTGTGTAAATAAGAACTGACTGAAAGAAAATAAAATATACCCACCTTAACAATATCCAGTTCTTTGAGTAGCCTTCTAATCATCTGTTCTGCATCAGTGGAACCAGGGACTGCACCAACAAAGTGGTAGAATACACTCCAACGCATCTTGTCCCTTACCCTTTAATTATACAAACAATTTTTTTTCTTCAATATATTGGTCTTCACTACTCACAACCTATCAAATACCAATGGCTGCATATTCTTGCCACCATCTAAAACATGTGAAATTGGAATTAACAAGCTATTTGGTTCATCTAAATTAGTCAATAAAGAGTCTGAATTAGTCAATAAAGAGAAATTCAGGTTTATCTTTTACACACTGAATATTAATCATCTAAAAGCAACGTCTATGCCTTGTCATAATGCCCACAAGTAACAAACACTGCAACTGTGGTACAAGCATATAACATACCCAGGGATTTCGTTCTTGCGGGCCTTTTCGTCCATTGTATCTGCTACTCTAGCCATCACAGATGATTTTCCTGAACCTGGGTCTCCAAGTATAAGCATTGGGACATCCACATCACCATTTTCAAGGTGCTCCGTTATCTAAATAAATGTAAAAACTGTACTAAAGTGTGATGCTATAAAGATTACTGGTCTTAAGGATACGGTGTGATGACCAGCTACAGAAGCTTTTGACTCCAAGGACTACAGATATCAATGTTCCTTATAGTACCATCATTTCTACTAATCATTTAAAAAATTGTTACTGTTAGTCATTTGTAATTTTCCAAGAGCGACACCTTAGATATATGTGAAATAAAACTTCAATAAGTAATTGTCATTTAACACGTGCACACAATTATTCCATTTTGAATAAAAACATTACATTATTGGAAAAAAAACTATTACATCAGACTATTAGATAATTCAAAACTTTCAACAGAACTGCTGTTAAAAAATAAAACCCGTTGTCTATCCATACTATATGCTATGTTAATTAACAATTTTCCCAATGCCATACCTGTTGTACTAGAGCATCTCTGCCTAATACAATTTCTGCTTTTTCCTTCATGAAAGCCTCATGAGCATTCCTGGCTTGAAGATATTTGTCCTGAGTTACCTCTTGAAGCTCCCCTTTTGGATATTGCATGTCTATACGTTCTTTGAAAAACTCTTTTACCTGGATGTGCAGAGAGAACACACAATGTTTTCAGATATTCATTTTTTAAATAACTCATGACATTTCCTCACATATAATACAGAAATTTTAATTTAAAAATTTCACTTTTTTAGTACGTAATGTTTTACAGATTTACAGGCACTTAAGGCTACTTACTCGGCTTTTGAATGTGTCATCTACAGTCAGTTTTGTTTTCCCTCTGTCATCAATTCCATCAAAGTTCACAGAGTAGTGAACCACACGCTCTTTCTGAAATGTTGCCAATAAAGTAATCAACAAGAGGCAATTATGACAGTCCAAAGAATGATTTAAAAAACATAAAATTGACAAATTTTTTGTGACACAAAATTAAGAACAGAAACAGGATTTATAATACTCAAAATGATGAGTATGATCAAGGTTTTTGGATAAAACTCATGACTGCAACATCTCAGTTGTAAACACTAATATCTATCCACTTAAATACTATACCCTCTCCTAAATATGTTTAGGTGTGGTCAAAATTATTGAACAGAGAAATAAATGTGTATATAGTTCATGCAGAATCTTCTTTTTTATAAATATTGATGATAATGAATTTCATAGGTTAATTTTGCCACAAAAAAGCAGTTTTGTCATGCAATAGGGTTCAAAATGTCTTGGAACTACCACATAGGCTAAACATATTAGAAACATTAAAAGCATGAAAGTTTGAATTTTGAAATTAAAAAATTCTGTGCAGATGTAATAAAATAAATAAAATGGAAAGATATAATGATCCATCCACAAAACAACAGAATAATAACATTAAAATTAATTTGAAAAATAATGACTTATCATAAAGGCATTGTTTAGTAGATGAAGCATCAATGCTTTATTGAAAGTGAACAAAAACAAGTGTACTGAGATCATTCTGCAATTATAGGTTGATGAAGCCTCATGCAAATGTTTCCAATTTATTCTGTTACATCTGCAAGGGTTTGTTAATCTTAGCTTTTATACCATTAGGACTCATGAAGCCAGTTTAACAGTACATTAGAATATCCAAGTAACACTCAATTACCAATATTTTTGATCTGTGTTATATGGCTTAAAAGTGAGTTAGATGCATTAGACCTTCCTTTGGAAAAAAAAAGGAAATTACAAAGCACTTTTACCTTAATCAGCAAGGTACAAAGGTGCACTGTCTACTAAAGTATTGACAAAGTCATGGTTTATACTAGAGATGATGAATTGTGAAGTTCAGTCATAATAGCAGAAATAAATATTTAGAACTTTGAAAACTGATTTTTAGATCCTAATTGTTTTAACAGTTATAGAAAGGATGTACCTTGCTGATTAATAGATATAAGCTGAACCTCCAGGAAAATTAACATTTTTACTTTGTATGAATGTCTTTAACTATCTTTTAAAGTTGTCATTTGTCAAGTTGAGTATATAAAATGCAGTGATAATCTAGAAAAAAATTAAACCATGCCTATCAGAAAACTGTTAAAGGTATTCTGTACAGGATTTCTGAGCAGATGTAATATTTCTTCATAAAAGCAATTTTCTCCTACTCACAAATCATTACTCCACCTGGCCTTTTGGATCTACATGAATCTTGATTTACTGTATTTAGAATGCCATCTATCTTCCTGACATTTCACAAGACACAGACGTAGATTAGTGTAAGACTTCCTTTTCATTTCACAAACAGAAAATTGGTATATGGTTTGTGTATATGGTATATAATATAAATGGTTTTATTTCTCAAGTTACCAGATCACCAAATGCCAAGGCCTCGAACTTTAAAGGATCTAAAGCTAAAATGGAAATATTTCCATCAGGTATACTTCACATATACTTTTATTTGAGTGAATTAACTATTTTTATGCTATGAACTGGAAAAGGCAGGTAGCTTTGTAGGATATTAAGACCTTGGGGCATTTTTAAAAGTGTACAAAATACCTTTGAACATGTGTTTTTATAATATTATTAGTACCGTAGTGCTACCAGAGAGAGACGTAAGATGAAATGCCAACCTGATGGCTTATGTCATCAGCAACCTAAGAAGACAAAAAGAAGTAGAATGCTTTGAAAGTATAGAAACAAAAGAGAAACACCACTTGCTTCTTTCATTTTATGACTTGCAGTAAAGGTACATCAAGTAATTAGGCCCCGTCCCTTTTCACAGAGGTAGGGAAATGTACCACCAATTATACCGTAAAGGTTTTTTTCTGACCCCCCCCCCCCCTTTTTTTTTTTTTTTTGCTAAAGTTAATAATTCACAAGGTTGTCTTCCTTTAATAAAGCAACATGTCTAAAAATAGGTTTTACTGAGTTGGGGGATTTTCTATATTAAACTTGATTCCTTGAATGAAAGAATACAGTGGCACAAAGAAAACTAAACAGAAAAGGTTAAGTATAATTAGAATCAATAATAAGAAAAGATGTTTTTCTAATCAAATCTCATTGTATTTAACAATAATTGAAAAACAGAAAAGAGTCACATGGAAAACACTGCCTACTGTGCATATAAAATGTAATTTTTCTCAATCTGATTAGCAGTAAAAAAGATCAGGCAGTTGAATATATAACTTACAGGAAATCTTTCAGTAATTTTTATTTTCAGTGCAGATAGCTTCTTCCTGGACAGTTCCAGGTCATCTGTGTCATCAAGAAATTTCTTCTGATGGTCTGGTGGTAGATCCTTCAGAAAACTGCTATCACGCAACATGAAAATGGCTGAAAACAATAACAATATAAATTATATTCAAGTTCACTGGAGAAAAATCATATTTATTCCTTTAAAATTACATTAGGCCTGTCATACACTGTAATGAGACCAGCTATTATTGTCTGTCACAACTTTCTTTGTTGTATGCAATTTTTGCAATTAGACAAGACCATTAGTTTCAGATTTAGTACATTATATGCAAGGTTAATGTACTAGTAAGCAGAATGGGAGATCTCTTTATTCTAACCCTACTCATTTTGCAGCTTACTTTAGAAATAATTAAAAATAATGGAATAATTATTCAATAAAGGTCTTAATTTTGTTTAGATATTTTTCTATCAAGTGTCATCTTATCCTCACAATTAGGGTTAATTTTCTTGTATGCTCCATGAATAATTTCCATTTCTGTGACTGACAGTCCAAACACTAGGCAATATTGGTCTAGCAGATTTGGGGGGACATCACCGGTTTTAGGGATCCAACCAACACGTTCACTGGAAATCAAAAATATTAAATTATCTTTGTGTCTCACATCATATTTCACAAACATCTACCAATGTTTTAATGTTCTTTATTTGTGTCGTATGATATCATGACAGGTTTTACTCCTATTTTTTATATAGCTCAAAGGTATATATTTTTGTACCAAACCATTTTTTACATTTGTAAGTAAATGAATAAATACAGACAGTTGCAGTTTTGATAAACCACTACTGAGCCCAGTTTCACAATTGCTGGTCTGCTCATTTTTACCTTAAGAAAACTCTTCAAAGTTCCAAGACCAAAAATGACTGCCACTGTGTAGCTTCAGTCTATAACCACAATGATATATCGACTGTATTCAGAAGTTGGCTCAGTTAACAATATTTAACCAGCTGTATGATATTAAAGTTAGAACAGTAAAAAGTAATGCAGATCCTGTATTTATACAACTCATACCTTGTCATATTTATGAAGTATGGCATGTTGTTCTCTTTAATGCAACGGTCAATTTCCTCCAAACATGTTCTCAGCACTAGCTCATCAGATGTATTCTTTGGGACACCCTGTGATAAAATTACAGTTCTTTTCTAAGATTCATAATGTTAAACAATGTTATTTATCACTAAATCAATATTCAAATAGAGAAAAATTGTATAATTAAAGTATATTCTGCAAAACCAGTCACTCTATGCCTCAAATTACCACTTATATCCAATAAATCATTTGGTACAGATTTTTTCTTTAGTAGACACTAACTTTTGAATATTGTCTTACACAGATTTTTGCACAACTCGAACAAGTTTTCAGTTATAGATGTCCAAGTTAAGTGGTGCCTATTGTATAAGGCATTAATTTGTGGGTCAGTTAAGATAATGATATAAATGGACTAGATACGAAAAAAAAAATGTAGAAGTGAGGGTACTCACCCATCTTAAGTCACATTCTACAAGATGAAGCCTTCTTTCTTGGCACCAAGCTCGCAAGTCAGGAAACACCTGCAAAACATTTATAACATTTGCTAGATAATAATAATAATAATAATAATAATAATAATAATAATAATAATAATAATAATAATAATACTTCCTTATATCATATCTTTCAGGTTACAGAATAGGCTTCCCATTAAAAAATGGCACAGCTTGTTTCACATATTAAGTTTCTTTTCAATCTTACCTCCTTCACAAGGACTTCTCTCTCTGCATTGAAATCTTTAAATGTTGATGATACAAATATACGAATAGTCTTCCATCCTGTCCGTTTTTCTGGAGACACTTGAACCTTGGTACCTGGTTTGAGAAAATCTCTTGACTGGCAAACAGCATGCCATGTTTTGCTGACTTCATCAAACTCCACTGGCAGACTTTTGGAAGCTCCACAGCCCATTGTCCTGATTTCTGCAATATAACAATAATAGTAATAATAATAATATTGAATATTACTTCTTTAAATATTTACAGTAAATATTCTAAACAACACAGACTTGCATGTATTTGACCAAAAAAAAATAAATGAATCTACCGTAATCATGGTTCTGTTGACAGAAAAACTGGTTGGTTTTAGAGGAGTGTGCAAGTTGAAGGAGATGAGAAGTAAGATAAAAATTTAAGAACTCCCGCACTGCAGCAGTGCCCAAATTGGTCTTCATTTTTACACTTATTAGGCCTTTGCTTTCATGCTACTTCCAAGGCCTGAATTAAGAAATATTAGTAGCTTTGCAGGATAAGTAGAAACAGAATTTGAGAAAAAAATACTTCGGGGAATTTTTAAACGCGGGAAGAAAACTCTTAAATGAATAATCTCTCCATTTAGCCTGACCTATTGCCTAAGTTTCAGTCTTACACGCAAGGTACTTACCGCAGGACCCTGGCTTATTCGTGATGGCAACGAGTAAACACTGAACAATGTGTGCCCATATTAAGCGAATAATAAATAATTAAGATGAATAAAATATGCAGTAAATTAATAAACCGAATGCCTCACTTACCGACTTGGAATTTTCAACAATTCTGTCAGCATGAAGTGGAAAAATGCATGTTCTTGCTTGCACCAGTGTGTGATAATGTTGTGTCCACTAATGTCTGCCTCGGTGTTTGTTTAAAACAAGGAATACTTGGCGGTGACCTACTTCGACATTGTTAATTTTGTTTTCTAACTGTAGATACAAAAACAAAAAAATTGCTCAACGTAGAAATTATAATTTTATTTTCGTTTATTTTTGAAAAACTTTTGGGTGAATTTGTGTTTATTTCCATAGCCGTTCTCTAAACAGATCTTGATTTTTGCAATGCCCAAATACAATATTAAGGGGCAAGGCTGGACTTCACGTCATTAGTGTCATATGAGATAGTTCAAATATGAGGAGCGCGTGCAAGCTTAGTCAGTATTGATTGTTGAAGAGAGCGGTCACTAACACAAACCCGTGTATCTGGAAATCAAAAATTGGGACATGGCGCTTGCTTTGTGGACGATAAAGGTGCTTGTACTTTCTGGACTTTTTGTGTTAACTATGATCACAAGCATGTTACCCTTAGTTGGGATAAGATATGCTAACAGAACTATGTCCAGGCGACGTAAACGCAAATTTAAGAGGGCCATCAGTTTGCTGAGCTGTTATGCTGCTGGTGTTTTCTTGGCAACTTGTCTGTTGGATTTACTACCAGAAGTACAGGAAAAACTTTCCGAAGCTTTTAAGGAACTGAACATCAAAAACTCCTTTCCATTGGCCGAGTTTGTCATGTGTTTTGGTTTCTTCATAATTTTAATGGTGGAACAAGTAGTGCTGTATGTCAAAGAAAAACATTTGGAACAGGACAAACTTCTAGTCACAGAAAAGTCAGAATATTCCCCTACCTCTCCACTGTTAGATTCTGACAGCTATAGCCACAGTGGGCGACATTCAAGTACGAGTCCAATGGGAAGATATGCTAGGAATGGCACTAATAGAACTTATCGTAGTATGAGTACAACCAGTAGTGTTGGAAGTGTTACAGGTATTAAAGACTCACCTACATTACCAGATGATGAGGGTCCTATCACAGATGAAGATGACTTTATATCCCCTGAACAAGGTGACAGGGCCCGTGATGAAGAACATTTGCATTCACCTGTGCGGTCCCTACTTCTTTTAACAGCTTTATCATTACATTCTGTTTTTGAAGGACTAGCTGTGGGTTTGCAACCTGATGATGGCAGTGTGGTACAAATTTCACTGGCACTACTACTTCACAAAAGTATCCTGGCATTTAGCTTGGGGTTAAATCTTTCACAGAGCTCAATAAGTTTTTGGGGTATAATTGGCTCTAATACATTGTTTTGCATTACTTCACCCATTGGAATTGCTATAGGCATAGTAGTAACTAATTTGTCTACATCAGTGGCCATATCAAGTTTAGTGAATGGGTTACTGCAGGGAATTGCCTGTGGAACATTTCTGTACATAACATTTTTTGAAGTCCTCCCTCATGAATTCAACTCACATGATATGCGTTTGCTTAAAATGCTGTTTTTAGTGCTAGGATTTGGAACAGTATGTGGGATTTTGTTTTTGGACTCCTGATGCAGTCAGAGCTCCATGCTATAATGTGTTTAAGGAAAAGTTTAAAAGCCATAAGAGATGAAATGCAAAGTTAACTATTAACTTGGACAATGGAGATTTTGTACAAAGTTCAAGAGAAATATTCAGGTGATTAATGTCTAGAAATCCAGTTTGATTTGTAAACAAGAAATGATTTGCAGAAATTTGACATGTTATAGCCTAAAATTGGTTTTCTGCTCTCTGGAAGCTCATTTCAGAATGTGTTCCTATGTTTAATGATTAAAATTAATACCTAAATGAGAGGGTACTTAATAAGCAAACTGCAAACATATCATGTAAAATTAATTTTCTATTAGTTAAAGGGATAATAACTCTTCGTATAAGATCTATATTTCACAATAAAAACATTGTGAACAACTCACAGAAATATAATATATTTTCTTTTACCACAAAAACGGCAGTTATAGCTATTATTCTGATATCTGAGCTTGTCTTTAGACCACATGACCTCCACTGATGGCTATACTCTGTTATAATCTCTTAAGAGATTATAACATAAAAACAAACTTTCTAGAAAATAACCAGGGACTAACTTTGAATGTAAAAATGGATTCATTAACCAATGGTTAGTATAAAAAAATTGTTGTTTACTCCAGGAAAATCCATTTTTTGGCCAGAACAAAGACTTATTATCCCTTTAAGCTTCTTTTAATTTATATTAGTAAATTTATTTAGCCTCTGTATCTTGAAATCTTTGTAACACAACTCTCTGGCATGTCCGATTTTATCACATACATGGAATATGGTTTTAAACCATGCAATGTGAATAAAATTATGAGGTTAATTCTATTCAATGTAGCCTTGATCATAATGCAGTGTATCCATTGTCTTCTGAAATTACATGTATCATGTCAACTTAGTTCATAATATTCATCAGCAGATAAGATTAACATTAATAGCAGTCCTGTTTTGGCTTTTAAATTGTGATAATGTAGTTGATGCTTTTCAACAAAGGAGCCAGGCCCTGCACAAGTTTTCACTAACATTAAAATTGTTTTCATTAAATTTGTGTGTGTTAAAATGTAAAGTAAAGCTCATTATACAGTGTCTGTTAAAAGTCTGATAGATTTTGTTCGATCAGTCTGTTTTTTAATTTCCTCTCACACTCCCTTTGACAATAGTGATGTGAACAACAAAGGGTATCTATTAATAAATGTCCTCTCCGGATATCAAATGTATAATGAAATAATGCCAATTTTGTCTATAGCAAGCTTATTGTATGTGATATTGTGTATATACTCACAACATATAAATTAAAGAATTTAGGAATAAATTTATTTTGTGGGTTGTTTAATTCACTATAAAACACACACGTGTAGGCATTTTTTTTTATTTTTAAGTGATCATACTTCACTTTTTATTTTGAAAAAAAAAACAAAAAAAAAACGAGTGAGCCCATTCTCACGGCATGAGCACTTGACAATGTAAAATGTACATCCCCTCACACACATACACTACTACCACCGTCACGTTCACTTGAGCGCCTTCTGCCTTCTTAGATAATAATATATTGCAGTTTCCTTAAATGAAAAAAAATACAATACCCCATATATATATATATATATATATATATATATATATATATATATATATATATATATATATATATATATATATATATATATCAGCAACACAAGGGGATATAATATTCTTTTATACAAAGACCTCTGCCTTCTACAGTATTTAGACACCCAGGTGCCTTTCTTGTTCATATGAATCAAAAACCAAATGTCTGTTTACTTGGTCTGTGTGTGAAAGTAAGAAATATTGTAAATGTAAAACTTGAGTAAGGTCTTCTACAATGGAAATATATTATTTTCAGATTTTACTAAAAAGGAAGATATAAAGAAGCCTATCACTGAACCTAGTATATAATTGTATGCAAGTTGGCTCTGTAGGCCCTATACTCATAAGACCCGTGATAGCGATTCGTTTTTATTTAGAAAACAATTTAAACATTGATAATCATGTACGCAAAATTCTCCTGCACGATTGCGATGACTCACCGTCACGTGTTTTGCGGCATATCGTCGTTGTTGGATTGAATCTAAACGGATGAATTAGCCTATGAATAGTCCCAAACCCAAGCTAAATCATTGTCACCAGGTAAAAAATATTACCGTTGGCTTATATAAATAACTGAGTGGGCGAAAACGTGCATAAGAAGTACATCATTTGGTGATAATTCAGGTACATAACTAATATAAGTGAGAGAAAAACATCCAAGAAAAAATCATAACTTGAAGCTGAAAGAGGAGACCAACAGACAGAGGCAAACTATAAAAATAAATAAATAAATAAATAAATGACCAACTGTCACGGCCTAGCTCAAGAAACAAGAGACAACATGCAAAAACTGGATTGAAAGAAGCTTTTGCATTTACACACACCTGTCTTTGTAAGTTTCCTGTATTGGTGCTGGTGCAAAAACATTACTAAATAAATGTCATAAGACTTGGTACGCATGTTAAGGAGAGAATCATTCATTTACTCTTAACTACCCCTCGTATTGAAGTTAGAACTGAAAATGCGGGTGTTTAATTTTGTATGGACGGATTCTGTTACAAAGACAGCAAAACAGCAACAGTGAAAAGAAAAGTTTAAATTTTAAAACGGCGGAACTTTCAGTAACAATCTGCGACTTATTTCTCGGATGCTAGAGACAGGTTCTCCACAACTAAAACAAAAACCCGTTAAAAATGCACGGCTTACCCGATTTCCTTCTGGCCGAATACTTATTTTAATTACATATCTAAAAATAAATAAATAAATAAATAAATGAATAGATAAATAAATAATAAAAATAAAAAAGGATCATCGATAGCGTTTTGTTTTCGAGGGGTTCTGCCAAGTGACCTCCCCTCCCCCTCTCTGAAGGCTAGGCTGATGTTTAGGTCAGTTTCTATACCTACATCATTTTTTTCCCATCAAATATTATAAGAATGTGAACATTCGAAACATATGTACAGGCACAACGTTAATGCGATTTTTCTTGTTATAACCTGTTTGCAATTGGGGAAAAAATCACTCTTTCATTTCAAGCTTGGTGAAAGAAGTAAATACCTACCTATTTGAAGTGATTATATTATTTCTGTGCGACTCAAAATATAGTTTTCTCAAACACCTCTTTCTTTTTGTGCATGTAAAATGCAAAATGCTATCGGTGAACCCCACAATATGACTATTCAGGGGCGGATCCAGGGTTATTTGAAGTGGGGGGGGGATTAGGAATGATAGGCCGCGGAAGAGAAGCCGCCCCCCGCCCCCCCACCAACCCCCACTTTGGCGTGGGATTCGGGGCCCACGGAACGGCCCCGAAATTTTTTTTTGTATTTTAGAGGGCGAACGGTGCAATTTGGTACGGTGTAGAATTATGATTCGGTTAGTAAAAATTCTAATTTCAAAAGGGGATCATTAGTGTGATTTTATTTCAGAAATCGAAGGGGGGGGGGGGGGGTGAGGACCCCCCTGACACCACTCCTAAATCCGCTACTGCCATTACGGTTTAAATTTATATTTATTAATTTATTTATTTGCAAATAAATTTGTAAGTCCCTTATATATTTTAAACTAAGCTACAGTGTAGCTATGCTCCACACAAAACGTAATTCTCATGTTCTTCCCACAGGCTATATGTGAATAATTACTAGTAATACTTTTCATGCCCCTAAAATAAGGATGGAGTTAAATAAAAATCGGTCTGTCCAATTTTCTCGATCATGATGTGTATTTCATTTATTAATTTCCGAATAAACACTTAATATACTTGTCGTAGCTCTTCTTATCTCGATAATTTCATTGTAATGTTGCAGCAATATTTTCTGTGAACTCTCAGAGGTCAATCATGACGTCTTTTCAAGTCCAAGTCATATAATTATAACACAAAAATCGATCTATAAAACAACCAACTGGATAAGCAACAACACACATGTCATTTTTAATCAGTTACATGCTTCAGTTAAACGTATTAAAGTATTAAGTCACCAAAAATATCATGTTTTGCGTGGATATAATTTTGGCTTTAAGTACGTAGCTTACTTGAGGTCGAATGACACTGCCTTTGAAAATGGGTCATGGACTTCAATTATTGCATGAGATTTTGCACAAATAAACCATCTATTGTTTATTCAATGATGCCCAAAGGCAAGTGGTTTCTTCAAAGAATAACTACCAAAAACGTTATAATCTTGAAATTCATTTATTTCATCTCAAATGAGTTATATTTCGGGTATCTGTTAATTCCTATGCAAGATGGCGGAAGTGATCGTCCTGTGCTAGTTACCCTAACTTATCCTTGCAAAATCGAGCCTCCAATATCCACCGCAAACTGCGCCTTTTTCACAGTCTCTCAAAGAGGCATTAAAATTTATGTCATTCGCATAATTAAGCCAATGCGCAACAGAGTATCTTCACAATTCCATTCGCAAGTGGAAATTTTGGTTTTTCGATAGACCTCCCACCTCACTCTTTCAGCAATTTTGACCTATAATTCAGTAAAGTTTAGTTTACCTTTTGAGTTTCTCTAAAGTACGGTCAATAGTCTTTGAGAAGTATTCTTTACGTGACCCACATTATGCTCCGGTATTGTTCAGTGCGGTACAATATCAAAGCGAACAAGCACAATTCATTGCTACATAGTGGCCATTTTGTTGCAAAGCGTGCTGCTATCGGAGGTGTGTTCTCCAAGGTCCGCGCGATACAATTATATTCAAGTGCGTACGTAGCACTAAGATTAGGACATTCGATTTTTAAAACGTTGTTGTTTAAACGTGAGAATATAGGTTTTTTGGCAAGATGTCTGACGCCGCTGCAACCCCTGCACCTGCTCCAGCAGCCCCAGCAAAGGCTGCTTCTCCAGCTAAAAAGGCTGCAAAGAAAAAGGCAAAGAAGCCCTCCAATCACCCAAGATATTTTGACATGATCGTTGAGGCTATCCAAGACCTAAAGGTATGTAACCATATACGTAATACTATTCTATGAAGGGGTTACGTTTTTTAACACGTCAATGGGTTGTGCATAAGGCTTAAAAGACATTGTTGAATGGTTCATTTTTTGTGCTTTCAAGCATTATTTGCACTTGATATACAAGGATATAAAGGAAAGTAAAGAAAAGTGATGGGCGTGCCCAAAAGTTCTGTGCAGTGAAGGGATCTAAGGATCATTGTACTGTTTTGTTGATAATGTATATATTGTATACTCATATAATATTATATCAATTTATTTTTGCAGGAAAGATCTGGATCTTCCAGGCAAGCTATTTGTAAAGCTATTATGGCCAAGCACCCTGGCGTGGGCTCCGATCCAGTGGTTGTAAACAATTGTGTAAAGATGTCCCTGAAACAGAGTGTCAAGAGCGGAAAACTCAAACAGTCTAAGGGCACGGGAGCATCGGGCTCCTTCAAGCTCGGAGATGTAAAAGCTGCCCCGAAAAAGAAGGCAAGTGCGGCGAAGAAGAAGCCAGTTGCAGCCAAAAAACCAAAGGTCGCAAAGAAACCTAAGAAGGCAGCGGCAGCTAAGCCTAAAAAAGCTACCAAGCCTAAAGCCAAAAAAGAAAAAGCAAAGAAATCTCCCAAAAAGGCCAAGCCAGCAGTAAAGAAAACCGCCAAGCCTAAAGCTGCTAAACCCAAGAAGGCAGCAAAGCCAAAAGTAAAGAAATCCCCAAAGAAGGCTGCAAAGAAGTAAAATTGACAATCGACTTTTTGAACCATTGACTAAATGAGTTATGTGAGCGATCTGTGGCATTTTGTAAAAGTGCAAATTTTGAGCCGGATAAAAGCAATTCGTCCTGTAAACATCCATTTGTATATATTCATTAATTTCATCAACTCGTGTAAAATAAAATCATTTCCTTACAATTTTGTCTTTGTTTCTTTTATGTTATTATATCATCTTTTGAGTCACTTTATCGCTGTAAAAAAAGTTATACAATAAGAACTGATTACTTCTGTCTGATGCAGTATCGAGTTCATCCACTTAGTTGTGACCGATGAGGAACGTTATTCGTAAGTAAGAAAAATAAGAGAAGAGAATTGAAAATTTTAATGAGTTACTAGTACATATATAAATATGTATGTATATACTCATGTCGGAGGTTTGACTGACTTTTATTTACAAATTTTCACCTGAAAATGGCTCTGTTTAGAAACGCCAAGACTGAGTTTTAGGTTCATCAATCACTGATCGAATGTCTGCACAACTAAAGCAATCCAAACTAGTACATTTGTACTTGGATCTAACATAAACCAGCAGGCTCTTGTGGTGATTTTAGGTGTTCGGAACCGGGACTATATTAGTGATCGGTATTTTCCTGCTTTCGTTTAACGTCATTAGTTTCTAATTTTCGCAGGGAATCTAGTTACCTGGCAAAATAAGTCTAGAAAATAATTGAAATTCGATGAAGCTGTTAGAAAGCTATGAGGAAAAGATTTATTCCCTGGCACATTGTACGACGAGTGTCTCATCAATTACAGAGCGGCTGAAGGCAAAGAAATTTGACCCTTTGCTTCGGCACGGACGGTAAATTACTTTATTGCAACGTAACAACAAAACGTAACATCTTGCACACGTTTCACTCACACACACACACACACACACACACACACATATATATATGACTAACTAGTAGTCGCAGGATGAAAATATGACTTTTACCATATCCTTTTATTTTTATTGGCTAGTCGTTTGCACTTATTTTTCTACAAAGGGTATACCTTTGACTGACATTTATTTTTTTCCGGCTTTGAGATATTGTGCCGATCATACCATTTTTGATACTAACAACAATATGAATATATCCTGGTGTGAGGGTAAGGCATTGCCGCACCTCATTTCCTCTAAAACTTCTGTGTCATACAGCTAACAAAATATAAAGGACGGAGACAAAGCCTGGCACCTGGTAGCGAACTTCACTTGCTTTTAAATATACAAATCCCAATATCAGTTTACCCGGGGCCAAAGTATTACATCCGGACAGGGTGCGTCAATGTGACGACAATTTTCATATTATTATTATCATCGTGCACGCAAGCTGTCCCACGGTTATTTAATGCCCAGACTACACGGATCTCAATGAATCGTTTCCTCCGACTGACGGAGCTAACACGGAAATAATTTTGAGAGCTCCCGTGTTATTTCTACTGCAACTTTCAAGGTGAGTGAGCTTAGATATGTCATGATTAAAACATTACCAACTGTCAAAAATCCAATAGCACTGACCATGGAAGCTGCGATGTCTAGATATGGTACAATTTACAGTTGAGATAAAGTTTTGCGCCAAGAATATTTGCTTCTTATCCATTTATTTACGAAAAGGACTGAGCAGTAAAGATTCAGGCTCCTTGCTTTTCAAAAAATCATTTTACACTCGCCGGGCGTAAAACAAAATATAATTTAGTTTGTTTTAACAACAATGTGTGGGTTATCATCGCAAAAAAGAAGTATATCACCATAAATAATTTAAATTACAGACTTCACAACTTTGAAAAAGCCTACCCTCTACCATATTCACAGATATGTCTGTAGATAAATAGACGGTCATTTTGGTCTCAACGGGTAGAAAAAGCCAGTCAATAACAATGAAAATAAATAAATAAATAAATGAACTAGAAAAGAGGAACTATATATACTCATAAACAAACTGTTTCAGCGGCCTATTTACTCGCAGGACTTCTCTTTTTTCCGGGTTCCGTGTCCCAGCTTTTATCCCAACTGTAACTACCGTTGTGACAGGAATGGTAGTCTGCTATTAACCCATTGTAGCCCTCGTCATCAAAACAAACGGCAGCCATACTGGAGGGAGACCGGAATCGTCTGCTGCGCATGATCATGTCTACATGTACAATTTAGTATTTTATTTCTGTGTTTTCTTTGATATTAAACCGAGTAAAATGATGTATTACTGCAGGGTATATGATAGAGAGAAGATAACTAACTTAACAAGCGTTCACAGACTGCCTGCAGTGGTAACAATCCAAGGTGTAGGGACGAAAATCGTAAACGGAGGAGAGACCGAGAAGTGGCTTTGAATCAAGACTCATCGGACAAGTAAAGGATAAAACTAATTTATTTTACAGCAAAGAATGAAGACCCAGCTGTGCAGCCTTTACCATAAAATTAAAAATGTAAATATGTAAAAAGTTGCTTCTATGAAAGGTTGAACTTATGATTACACATTAAACTCTCTAAAACTAAAACTGTTATTATCCAGTGAACAAGAAAAATGAAGTACAAGATAACTGAACTAGCTTCTGACAATTCCACGATGTTGGGATAAGTCAGGATTTCTCGTCTTTGGACTGTCCTGAGTTTATATGGGTCGATCCCACTGATCAGCTGTAGTTTTCACATGTATATACACTTTTCCTTTTGGTGTACTTGATCGCGACATGAATTTTAGTTTATTTTATTTGGTTTACCTATATTTACGCTACTAATCCCCGTCGTTCTTTCCCTCCAGTATGGCTGCTGGACTAGTGTTACGGAGCAAATATGACGTCACTGTAATGGGTTAATAGGCGGCTACTAGGAATCGTAGTCCGTTCCCCATTACTTTTATTTGTACAGGTGCCATTTCTCCCAAGTACTAACCCTAATACTCCTCCTAAGCCTACCCTCTGATATCACGGGTTTCTAAAATAGTATGCAAAATTTAAGTATGAGCGATACAATAATTTTGTAACAGACCAGAGAGTAGCCTTACCCTAACCTGTACTAGACACGAGGGACCCACGACTTCCATTCCTGGGACTACAATTACTGTCAAAACGGCTGCACATCCATGACACGGATGGCAGTTAGACCTTATCAGTATTATATTAGGGTCCACGAATGTAATTTTGAATTTCAAGATCTACATGGATCAACATGTGTGTGCTCGCACGTGTACCAAACGGGTTACAGCAAAAGTACTTTGGTGAAATCCTTCATTAGACATGCATGTATATAGGCCTAAAAGCCTGTGAATTCAGTAAAGGGAATCATCCGAGTTACTCCGATGTTTTGTGACTTAGCTTAAAATCAGGCGAGATTTCGGAGAATTTAGTGAAGTGTTGGTCACAAATAATGGCAGACTAGTGAGTGAGCGAATTAAATATAACAGAATTAACATTTGAGGTTCACACATCTTCAAGTGACCCATGATCAAAAGGCCATGCCGCGTTCGTCAGCATAGAGATTTTTTTCAAGTGAGAGCCCAGTAATAGACATGGTGCACGCTGTTTTCGCAACCTTGGAACTTATTGAATTAAGCACACGCGTGTAAGGGACCACAGTAATGGGAAATAATTTGTAAATAATATTTTATAATTTTCATATTATTAATTCAATCATTGGAAGTTGAAATCTTAATGTTTTTTTTTCAATGCATAAATGATAATATTCAAACATTGGTATTAGTATCTTAGAAGTTCAAATTTTACTGTCCTTGTTTCAAGCCCAGTAATAAGTTAAATTTAGATTATATAGACAGCGTATAGAGCCCTTGTCTGTGTCCACCTTGTTTGGGCGGGCCTGAGTTTAAAGTTACCAACCAATTTATGATTTATGTGATTGACATTTTGATTGATTAAGGAATACTAGAATAGAGGGAGGAGGTCTTGGCTGCAGCTTGGATTGAACCTTATTTGTATCATGTATCTTTTAATTAAGTGAAACATATTATAAAACTGTCGAAATTGCAATATGTAGTCGTTCCATTCTTTTCCGTATGCAGGGCTAGAATCTGAGAATCTCTGTAGCAGTTTAAAGATCGTGTGATTAAAAGATGGGAGCCCGTAGTGACCAGCTTCTGGGAGGTTTATTCAAAAGGGTCATTTTTTTTAATGTATCAAGGGGTCTGGAACTTAATAAAGGGATCTAGTGGATAAAAGTATTGCCATTACTTTTTGATGACTCTTTGATATCACTTGCAATAGCCACGATAAAAATTCTCAAATTTCATAATATCCAGATTTGTAGTTGATAAATGTAACATCTAAGATAAGATAAGATAAGATAAGATAAGAGTTTATTTAGCCAATTCTAAAAATCGGAAATCATTTTCCTTTTGGAGCAGACAAAAAGTAATACAATAGATAAATTAAGAATTTGGTTTTGAGATCAAATTAAAATGCGTCACTGCACTTGGACAAAGCTGTTTAAAAAGCGTTTGCTGCCTTTAAATGTTAAAAATCTGCTATTGCTTGGCAAAAACGTAAAAAGTGATGGTGCAGGATGATAAGAGTTTTCCATGGTCTTAACAGTTCTTTTCTCCATTCTGTCTTTAAAAATATCATCCAGGTTAGGTAGATCCTGCCTGATAATCTTACGTGCAGTTTTTACAACGATGGTTAGTTTCTTTCCTCCCCAGTTGTTCCACTATACCATATCATAATTCCGTACGCCGGGATGCTTTCTATGACGCACCTGTAAAAGTTGACTAAAATAGGCACGCTATCAGTAAAAGTTCTCAGTGACCTTAAAAAATACAGTCTTTGTCGTGCTTTCTTTACATTCTTCGCGGTGTTATCTTTCTAATTCAATTTACTATTCAGGTGTATACCAAATAGTTTAAATTCCTCTACCCTACTTTAACATTACCAATGGTGAGTGGTGCCTTTACATTCTGGTTTCTTCTAAAACCCACTATCATTTCTTTGGTTTTAGCGTTCAAAATAAGATCATTACTCTCGCACCACCTTACCACCGACTTAACAGATTCTCTATATGTACTCTACTCGTCATTATCAGTAACTAGCCCCACAAGCGTAGTATCATCCGCAAATTTCATTAGAAAAGCCCCGTCGCTTACACTAGTACAATCATAAGTAAAAAGGGAGTAAAGACAAGGTGAAAGGACGCTTCCCTGTGGTGCACCGGTATTTAAAACTGTTGTTATTGAGACAAAGAGAGCCGAAGCATAAACGAATACTCAGGGCCAATAATCCCAGAGCACTGTGAGCTATAGTGTACGTAATCAGAGAGCAGAAATGAGGGCATAAAACATTTCTCGGAAATGCTGTATATGCCAGAGAATTTTTTTATCGATCTTTTGTTATTCATACATACTGATACGGGATTTTTGCATTAAATGGTTTTACGTATTTCAGTTAGTGCAAATAATTATTTCAAATGTATAATTATGAGGCTCTATCATTGTTGCATATTTGAATTTGAAATAACGCACATGTCGTAGACTATTGGGGAATAAACATAATATGCATGAAAACACAATAATATTGTGGATGGCAAACGGGACAAAATATTCATTATGATATATCGATTCAGTGTGACATACCAGTCATACCACTTAATCATCTTCATATTTTTTTTATTTCAGATGAACAGAGCTCTAGTTTTTATCTACATTATGGTCGCGTCTCCTATAGTAGCGTCCTGGAACCCAGACGCCGGTTATGTTCCCTCGCTGACGGCCGGCGGAACTCCTCACACAACGTCGAATCCGTCTCGAGCCGATAAAATAATGGACGGCGATGATCAAACTCATTGGCAATCTGGTAGTTGCTTTCCTCGTGGTTTTACATCTCGGCCAGATTTGAACGCTCTATATAATGCCTGTGCCTTACAAAAATGTAGCGTCACTGGTGATCTTTCGGGAACTTCAATGAATAGCGCAACCGATGACTCTCACTACACTGGCCTACAGGTTAAGACAAATGCTATTGGTGTGGCTGGCTTCACTGTTCGGCTATGCAGTACAGTTAGACTGAGAATTCTTACCATAAAAGGTATCTACGGTAGTGGATCCACGGTGACTGTCAATGCCATAACATCTACAGGAAGAGTTGCCATAGCAACGCTGACACCAGAAGATAATTACAAACTTATCGAGGTGATCCCTGATCCAAACATCCTTCTCTCAGCCATTGAGTTGGTTTCCAATAAAACCTTCACATTGACTGAAATTGCAGCTATGAGTAAGTCCTGCTATGAAATGGCTTGGATTGATATGGGGTCCCTAAAAGAAGTCAGCGTTATAAATACTAAACACTGGGCCGGGGGTAATGCACTAGCAACCTCCCTTCTCGTGTCTCAAGATGGCGTGGAGTGGACGAAAGTAGCCGATCTCGACCCGAATGCACTCAAACCTGTTTATACCCGACTATCATCTCCTCAGAACATTAGATACATTGGAGTTAGACACGAGGTCGAAGAGGGAGACGTGAAAAAAGTTTACGTTTGGGAAATAAAAGCATATGACTATAACGGTGTCTTTGGTTCTATGCCAAATGCAACTCAGCAAAATAATACTTTAAGAAACACCTTTGGAGTTAATGGAATTTGGGGCTGGGGGACTAAGTCTTACAGTTATTTACTGCCTGCTACGAAAGGGCCAAATCTGTACGCCGAGGTTTCATCTCACGCACGGAATTACCACAATTTGAACTGGGACGTCACCGATCCTGATCATGTCCCAGACTATGGAAAAATGGCCAATGGCAAAGGAACCGAGGCACACTGGTGGCTTAACTGGGACAAAGAGTATCAGGCATGGGTTGATGCTGGGTTAACCGTTCATGGCTCCGTCCAATTCGGCTCAATCCCTTCAAGTAAATGGGATGACCCATACACTGCTGGGTATAATTTCGGTTATGCTTACGCTCGTCATTTTGGTCCTACACACGGCAATGGATTGATCGCAGCCATGGAGGCTGGGAACGAACCATGGAAATACCCTGCAGATCTTTATCGTGAAATTCTTCGTGGCTTCTCTGAAGGTTCTAAAGCTGCTGATCCTCAGATGACTTTCCTTCCAGCAGCCTTTCAGGCCGACGATCCCGTCAGCACCTCCAATTACATGGGAAACCACATTCCAGAAATTTCAGCGCCATTCATCGATGTCTTAAATTCCCATCATTACAGTTTTCACCATCGGAACGATGGGGTCCGCACTGCAGTCCACCCAGAACACCCAGACAGTACATTCAATGGTATCCGTAACGTGCTTAGGTGGCGGGATGCAAACCTGCCTGGAAAACCAGTCTGGGTCACCGAATGGGGCTGGGATGCACCAGGCCTTGGTGAAATTTGTGCAACATCTGAGTGCGTTTCAAACGAAGCCCAAGCCATTTATGGTGTCCGAGGGCTACTAATACTGACGCGGCTTGGAGTGGAAAGGGCTACGTGGTTCTTTTATGCGAATACTGAAGATTGTGACACCTTGTTTTGCCGCAGTGGATTAACTGGCTCTAAAGCTGTAGATTTTGAAAAGAAAGACGTTTTTCGGGCTTTCAAAAGTCTATTCCACCATGCCGGCGATAAAGTCTTTCTGCAGACAATCAGAGAAGACCGCACAGCTTACATATACGTGTTTGGAACAAGGAGCGGCACACCGACTCATCTTGTTGCTTGGAGACCCGACGATGTCAGGGAGGCTGCATTTCACACCGTACTATTCTCATTCACCCCCGACCCCAGTAAAGCGTGGCTGTTGACGGGAGATAATGAAACTGGAAGACCCGCTCCAATACCGACCAAGACTAAAAGTACATGGCGCATGATGGTTTCTGTTGTTCCAACTATTGTAAAGTTAAACTAATTTTTTCTTTCATTTAATGATAGGAGAATCCATTATATATATATATATATATATATATATATATATATATATCTTTAGATAATTAAAGTGGAAATCGGTCAGTTGCGAGTCGCTCAATTTATCGACGTTTCACTTTGGCTGTAGCCCATGCAATTACTTTCAAATGTCAGCAAACTGTAGAAACCGCTTACTGCCATCTTACAGAGATGAAATTGTGCAAATGCAAAGGGACAAAAATATGCAAGTTGGTGGTTTTGCTCGAGCCCACGAGTCGAAACGTGTCACGTCACTCGATTATAAAGGTTTAAACTCAAAATCCCAGTATTATACCAATTTGTCTCAATGGTCTAAGCATTCAAAGTATAAATTATGCACGAGTTTTAACAAAATTTAGGCCAAATGGACAGACATTTAAAAGGTTCGTGTAAGGAACTCAACGAGGCTGACGTTTCACCATTTTGACATCCAAACAATTTTACAGACGACTGTAATACTTATTAGTGTTCGCAATAAAAAAGGCACTTCCCAACCGCTATACTTTGAACGCCTGCGCTCCCTTCAAGACTGTACCTAAAACGGCGAACATTGGATACAAGAAAACATTGGACAACAGGACTGCAAGGAGCTAAAAAATTCTTTACTTAAAGTGACAATTTGCCAATTCTGATAATTCAAATATTAAAACTGCGTTTTCATCAAATAAAATCCGCCAAGTAAATTTTGAAACAAAAATATGGGCTGGCAGTCAGGAGGTCAAAAAGAATGTCAGATGGCACATAAACAGAATGCAAAAGTGTCTGTAAATAACAAACCACTCAACAACCAAAATCTTGCTTCCATAAATCTTATTTTATTTCTTTTTAGGAAAAGTCTCTTGGTGTTCATTATTTACATCTCATGTATTTAGTCTCTCATCATCATTTTTTGCTTCTTTAACTTCTTTTTAGATTCCTTCTTTTTCGTGGTTTCTTCTTCTGCTGTCTTGGCTACTGCCTGCTCACGCTCAGCCAAAATAACCTCAATGTGGCATGGACTGCTCATGTAAGCTGAAAATGTCAGAAAAACAAGTTTAACATAAAGCTATGGCATATATTTATCCAGGTCAAAAAGAGATACTTTCAGAAAAATGAAAACCATCTGATGGCGAGTACAAAATGCCTGTCAGAAAAAATTCAGTGTAGCTGGCGATTTGTTTCAAATAAACAAGCTACTATCCGATTGTTATCATAAGCACTAGCAACTGTCTATCAATTTTCTTTCATTTTCAACACAAAACAGGAAACAATCTTAACAGAAGTTATTCTTCATTTAAAATAAAGTGACCTGCAACATATTGCATGGAAAAGGAATTAGTACTCATTTTAATTTTCAATATGTGAAAAAGAATGTGTGCGTGTGCATGCATTTCCAGCTCACAAAGTATGCATTCACTGCTACTTACGATTAATGCGACCATGAGCTCTGTATGTTCTACGCCTCATCTGTGGGGCACGGTTCACCTGGATATGCTCAACAACCAGATGATCTGTGTCTAACCCCTAAAAAATTTTATATACGCCATCAACAAAGTAATATCACTCCAAACACAGAAGTCGTTTAAGAATGCCTTTATCCTATAATTTAAACCAGTACAAAATGAAATCTGTTAACCCTCTTCTGGTTACCACTGGTGAAAAATGTACCTTGAATTCAGCATTGCTCTCAGCATTCTTCAACAGCTGCAGCAGAAATTCAGCACTCTTTTTAGGCCAGCGACCCTGGGTGCTTCCAAACTGCTTGGCCTGAATAAAAATAATTAATTTTTATGGATTGTAAAGGTAATACAGGAAAAAAATCTATAATTACGTTAGAACTGATGTTTATTATGACATCAAATGTGAAAAATTTTGCTACTTAACCAACGCTATTAGTGTATTTTAACTTTGGTATGTGCTCATCTCTTGTCTGGCCAATTTCCTACTGTTGCATATAAATATCAAACCAATTGGAATTTGAAATACAAATGACTTCTACACACCAAGGTGCAATGTGATTCTATTTAATATAGATTAAGTTTAAAATCATGAATCGTTATCAGTATCACCTAAGTTTAACTGAACTTTGAAATGATGTATCTTTGCAGAAATTTCCCTTTATTGCAATCTTTAATTAAGTTTAAAAAGTTAAATAAACAAAATTAATTTTTCTCCATGACTTCTTCACCTAAAAGTTTTTGTGTAAATCTATTGGAATTTCCTCTATTCCAATGGCCTTCAACTAAAATTCGAATTTAAATTCTTGCATTTGCTGATACATTAGAGACAGTGATGCTTAAAAAAAAAAAAAAAAAAAAAAAAAAAAAAAAAAAAAAAAAAAAAAGCTACATTTACTCAAGTATTTTTTCTTGGCGATTACATATTGTATGTAATGGCTGTAAACAAGGCTGTGACATGCAAGCATTCAATTTTGGTGCCCTAACTCTGCTCTACTTTACATCAAAAAGCACATCCACACTAAACATCTCTAAACTGCAACTGTACTTGCACTCCATAACCGAGTGTACATGTGAGTGAGAGGCATCAATTGGCTCTGATGCAGGGCTTTTCCGAGAATTGGCCACACAGGCCGTTCAAAATTACCTGTAATTTCCAACAAAATTTCAGCGAGTCAAAGCCATAATTTTTTTTTTTAATTCATAAGCCGTCCAGCAGTCTGAAAATAGAGGCCATCGAGTGATACTGGGGCCGTCCAAATGACAGCTGGATAGTTTGCTGGGAAAAGCCTTGCTCTGATGGGATCCCATTTATAGCTCCTAATTGGCTTGCATAGTATCAGCACACTGGACCTTTTTCAAACTTCTATTTAATCACTTTACACCTTACACCGGAGTATAAATCCTCTTGCAAGTGCACTTTTCAGTGCTGTTTTTGGTTGACTATTCTTGGTAATACATTCTTAGTTTAACATGTATGCAATAATGGACCACAATTGGAGATGGAAGTTGGCAAAATTGGACGAGGCTGCCCAAAATTTTAATTAAACCTTTAAAATTGGCTTAATGGATCTTTATTTTCTCAACAGTTTTTGATAGGGTATGCCTTAAGTTAGTTATTTTGAGAAAATTGTTAACATGAAAATTTATTATATATAAAGGTCTAATGCACTTTAAGAAACAATTAATCATATTCATATATACAATTATATGTACCTGAGCATNAGTGAAGCTTAAAAAAAAAAAAAAAAAAAAAAAAAAAAAAAAGGGCTGTGACATGCAAGCATTCAATTTTGGTGCCCTAACTCTGCTCTAGATACTTTACATCAAAAAGCACATCCACACTAAACAGCTCTAAACTGCAACTGTACTTGCACTCCATAACCGAGTGTACATGTGAGTGAGAGGCATCAATTGGCTCTGATGCAGGGCTTTTCCGAGAATTGGCCATACAGGCCGTTCAAAATTACCTGTAATTTCCAACAAAATTTCAGCGAATCAAAGCCATAATTTTTTTTAAATTCATAAGCCGTCCAGCAGTCTGAAAATAGAGGCCATCGAGTGATACTGGGGCCGCCCAAATGACAGCTGGATAGTTTGCTGGGAAAAGCCTTGCTCTGATGGGATCCCATTTATAGCTCCTAATTGGCTTGCATAGTATCAGCACACTGGACCTTTTTCAAACTTCTATTTAATCACTTTACACCTTACACCGGAGTATAAATCCTCTTGCAAGTGCACTTTTCAGTGCTGTTTTTGGTTGACTATTCTTGGTAATACATTCTTAGTTTAACATGTATGCAATAATGGACCACAATTGGAGATGGAAGTTGGCAAAATTGGACGAGGCTGCCCAAAATTTTAATTAAACCTTTAAAATTGGCTTAATGGATCTTTATTTTCCTAACAGTTTTTGATAGGGTATGCCTTAAGTTAGTTATTTTGAGAAAATTGTTAACATGAAAATTTATTATATATAAAGGTCTAATGCACTTTAAGAAACAATTAATCATATTCATGTATACAATTATATGTACCTGAGCATGTCTTCCAACGCCACCATTGAACCTTCTGAAGGGAATGATCTCCTTTTTCTCTACCACATTCTTCAAATAGCGGATAGCCCTCCTCAAGTGCATCCTTTTAATGGCTTGGGCAGTTTCACGGGTATTCTATTTGAAGAGAACAATAGCACAACTTCAAATGATACCTTCATCTATACAAAATGTTTTACAAATTGCTTTACTTATAAAAAAACATCTGCACACTTTGTGGTGAAGGAAAGATATACACTCTTCTTAATTGAAAAAGTAAGAACATTATTTGAGAATATTGTAACCCTTTACTATCATCCAGATATCCATAAGGAGTTTTTTCCTCATTAATTAATACTGCATCTATCTTTGTGCCGATTTAAAACAATGAAAAATCCCTCGAAAATATAAAATGTCGGCGTTTATATATTTTTTATTGCAATGTTTCAGCACAGGCAACTCAAAACTTTATTTGTCAATTTAACACCTTTCTATTTTGAGGTAAGATAGCAGTCGGCATAGAGAGCAACTTAATCCCTGAACAAAGTTTTATCACAATCATTGGCAGTTTACCAGGACTGTATAGGCTACAATCCTATGCCATCATTTTGGTTGTCTTCTGTTACGGAGTTACGAGCCCCTAATTATAGATTTTCATTAAACAAAGGCATTATTTAGCTTTATCAACAATAAAATCTGCACAAAGACTTTTAAGAGAAATTGCTGGCAGGGTTTTGGAGTACTGAATGGTGTCATTAAATCAGCGTTGAAATGGTGATCATGGGTGTTCAGGCAAAAGAGAAATTTGAGAAACTGATATTTCAGTTTTTACCCCAAAATTGCAATTATGACATCACCCGTAAGATGACATTTATGTGTTAATTAATTTAGTCACTGAACACTGAAGATTTATTACCCAAAAGGCAGTACATAGCATGTTAACTAACCTTAAAGTGAACCCGGAGATGAGAACCCTTCGCCTTTGCAGCTGTAAATGAAATGTAACATATAGTAAGTTAATACTCATTTGCAACAAAACTATATATATTTCTGAAAATGATGACATGTCTCCACTTACTTCAAACTATTTTGCTTGTAAAACATATACTAGTATTTGACAAATTTTGTTTATTAAAATTAACTGTACTTACACTTTGTCGGATTCTCAGGGTCCAGTGAGTAGCGAACCATCCTGCTGGCACTAAAAGATATAACAAAAGATTATGACATTGTAAAAATGAATTGCTTTGCATTGGTCTATAAACAGAATATTATCCAGCTTTTCTTCATTTGTTGTTCACTAGATGGTATATGCTCTTCCTCAATATATACTGACAGTCAATGAAAACGCATCAGAAAACTTTCTTGTACTTTTTAACCAAGAATCAATTCCAACCATATAAATGAGTACGAATGCACTTGTTTGGTCATAAGAGAGTGGGCCGACCACTATTTCATATTTCACATGGAAACTGTTATTTTCCTAATGTGCCAAAGGAACTTAAAATATTATTTGATAAATAAATGATAAGTCTTCATTGACTGTCAGTATATTTCAGTCTGGTGAAATCATTATATACCACATAATCAAGTTCACATTCCAATAATTATTTTCTCGATATGAGAATCAGTAAAAAGAAACAAAAAATGACAAGTTCAGTCTGCTTTCAGCCTTAAGTTTACAAGTCTTGAACTTCAATCACTTGCTAATTTTGCTAGGGTTTTTAATGTGGCACATCAAAAAAACCTTTCGAAAAGTTGAGGACCTTGTGGGCACAGTGCATTAAAATGAGGTGATTCGTGTGTCAGAACTTAAGCACGGCTGAAATAATTTAGTAACAAGCACAAAATTATGGCAAAATAGCACTAGTGTCTGTCGACGGCTAGTGACTTTAATCCGTCTGTGTTTAACAAAATTGTATTCAGAAAACATCATAATGACCGTCTGCAATATGAAAAATAAAGCCAATTCACTTTTATTGCTATGGCTGGCAATTGATGAGGTCGATTTTGATGCAACCATATTCATATTCGGCCATTACCTTGCTCGCTAACCGGAAAAGAGAAAGTGAGAGGCATTGTGGGAAGCAAATTAATCTCGTATCTTCACGCGTAATCTGTTGCCTGACATTTGTTTATGAATATTTATGAGGGCACCCACTAGCAGTTCACTTCCGACTATTATGGGATGTGTTTGTATGAACTGATCAAAGTTACTCTCTAGTCTTGTAGCAACACCTGACAAATGGCAGCAGAGAGTAGCAAACGGAAACAACAGTTTCTATTAGACCGGACTAGGAATAAACTGGGGCTTACGTTACCCCCCGCATCCGAATCACCTTCCGGGGATGCAACAGAGTAAGTTGCTATGAGTAAAAATCCCAGAAAACTGTCTCTTTCCTTGTATGACAGTGATGCTTTTTAAGATATAGTATAGAACAATGCCTCAAGTCATATTATAGGAGGCGGAGTATTCAAGAGGCTGGAACTCACTGTATTTACAACTGCTACAGATCAAAAACTATTTGGAAAGAGTGCATAACATAGGCAAAATGATTGTACATGTAATACTATATGTCAGAACTGGCTATAAACAGTCTCACTCATTTAATGATGCACAAATGCCTTAAGGTAATGGGTAATGGACTGGACTGAAAATATATGACAGGTTGGTGTTTGCAGACAGTGAAAATCTTGAACAATGCAGTTATGCTAGCATTCATCTTTCGTAGTCCTTGCCCTTCCTCAGCACTGATGTTGAAATAGCTGACACACACTGGACATGTACAAGTGTCTGAATACTTGCAGATTAGACAGGGACCCTCTTGTAAAATGTTTATTAATTAACCTTGATTTGAAAGAAAGTTGAATGGGTCAATATAATTTGTTTCATATGGTACAAATAGATTCCAGAATAATTTTAATATGTTTTTCTGTCTTGATTTTGGTCTTGCATAGCACACATATTATAGCATGTACAACTAGTAGGCTATCCTAATGAATTTCACTATGAATTTTATTTGCCAATTTAATTAGATTTTATTAAAACTGCACCAGTTTTTTTTTCTCTTTTGCATTATGGAAGATTATTATGAGGATTATTCTATATGGTTTAATTTTAGATTCATCAGATGATGATCGAGATATGACAATTGGGTATGCAACCAGTTTTTATAGCATACAGGCATATGTTCCACTAATTGGGTTTGATAGTTGTTATGGATTATCACTTCATAAATTGAAGCACTTATCCAGTTGTGATTTATGTTGCAGTTGCAAACCATCATCATCCACAAATGTGGAATCATTGCAGAAAGCACTTGCAGGACTGGATCTTGATGATCAACAGCGACAGAGACTTGAACAGTTTTTGACACAGAAAAAGAAAGTGAGAGAATTAATGGCAGAAGACTTTCAGAGATTAGGAGAACTTGGAGCAGGCAATGGGGGTGTTGTCACTAAAGTTTTACACAAACCAACAGGTTTGATAATGGCCAGAAAGGTAAGAGTCAACTCTACAAGGAAAATTATCAAGTTATCAGGTAGAATATTCATGCAGAATGATGTTTAGGGTTAGGGTAAAGTAAAGGTAAAAAGACTATATTGTTACTAACAAATTAACAGAACACCATACAAACTGTTCAAGTTTTGGAAAAAGTACTATATGAAATCAGATTAGGAAATTAAACCAACTTCTTTTTCCCATATTTCCTCAATTAGAATAATAAGATTTGGTAAAAGCATACTGACCATGTCACCCCAGTAACCAGTTACACTTGTTTACAGTCACTGTATTGAATTTAATATTATTTTGATGCACTGAATGAAATAACACACTCATGCACATGTGCACAAATGCACGCACATACACATGCATATTAACTTGTTTGATTGCATTCCTGTCTCCATTAAAAAAGTTACTAATGAAAATATAAATGCTATGAAACAGATGAAAAAATAATAAAAATTTGTATTTTATGTAAACATGAGCATGTCTTTGATAGTTGTGCAGTATTGGAAATTATTTGTGATTTTCTTATAATTATTAACAGTGAAATAATACCCAAAGAAAGGGTGAATATACAGATGTTTAAAATGTGCTCATATGTGAAGTTAGCAACATTTAATGTGTTATTTGTAATGTTAGTTTTGGTATTGGTTGATAGCACAGGAACATAAATTTTTTTCTACGCTTTTCTTTTAATATTTAAACACCTTAAGTTAATATGAATTCTCCATATCTGCATTTCTTGTAGACAATCTGAAAAGAATTTGAAAGTTAGCCAGCAAGATTTTTATCTTAAGCACTAGTAGGCGTAAAGAAAAGTGGGAGTCTTGCTTAGTCTGTTATTGATTGAAATAGAGCATTGAATTCCTTTGGGATATTGAATTCAAGGTTAAAGTAGATTTATAGTGCTATTTTATGCAGTAGCTGTCAGACAGTTGTTACTCTTTGGATAGCATTCATGATTATGTTAGCATTTTGCAATTTTGTTACAGCCCATATATTAAAAAAAATACAGTTGCACATAGAAAAAAATAAATTATTCTTAGTCAGGTAAGTCACGAGGATAATTTATGTAGCAGTGATCATAATCTTGAACAAATGGCATAAGTACTGATGTGTTTTTAAGTGCATTGGGGAAAAGTACCTAAGTGTTGAAGTCTCTTATAACTAAATATGATTGTTTCCTGGGGCTTTTTTGACCAATTTTATTTATCAAAGTCCATTGTTCATTGCTAAAAAGAGTTTTTGTAACCATGGTCATTTAATATATCTGACAGCTTCTGAAACGGCAATGATTTTGATTATTTCATGAATGGTACAGTTTCATTTCATTTTATTTATAGCTAATTCACCTTGAAATCAAACCAGCTGTGAGGAACCAAATCATCCGTGAACTCAAGGTGCTGCATGACTGCAACTCCCCCTACATTGTAGGCTTCTATGGTGCATTCTACAGTGATGGAGAAATAAGTATTTGCATGGAGTATATGGTAAGAATTTAAAATTGCATAAGATGTCAGTGTATTGCTTTACCAAGAAATAAATACTGACTAGAATATGGCTTATATGCTTCGTGACAAATACAGTAGGTGATGTTATAGGCTAAGCCATTGCCTGGACATTTTTCTGCCTAAGTACATAAATGGTCTGGTTTTTGTGAAAATATTTACTAAGTCTTTATTGGGTCAGAACATCTTACATTCAAAATTGCAATGTGATTGTCCATGTGTATCATAACTTAGAATATAAATAGTTTTCAGAATTTGATTACCAACTTGCAGAAAACCAGTTTTTTGACTGTGGTTTAGACTGTGTCATTTGAGACTTGCCGTGATTGTCTTGCAATTTATAATTCACCCACACATTTCAGAGTATTCGTTTCCAAATCATTTATTGCTATTCACACTTGGATGATATCTAGCTGAAATCCTCTTCCTTGGGACAAGAAAGATTTTCTTTAGGTCTTGTATAATGTGCCGGATGTCTTCTCTTTATTTACTCCCACTCATCCATTAGGAGATCTGGATTACTCAGCTATGGTACAACTTTGATTAATAACTGTTCATTTTATATGTACCACTTCTCCACCTTCTGCTGAAAAAAAAGTTGGACAAGATTAAAAAATTATAAGACATATTAGTTAACAAGTAGGTATTTGAAATTTTCTCATGAAAATATTGACAATTTCCTGTTATAGTGAGAAACTTTTGATTCACCTAAATTGTTTACAGTTCTTAATTTAGATATGTAGATATGTTGAAGCTGTTCTTATTCTTTTATGACAAGGCAACTAATTTTTATAAAAGATATAATGTTTATTTGTTTAAATTGTCTGAACATGGCCAAAATATATGTTGCTGTGTAAATAGCGTCCAGAATCAGGTCTCTCCACTCTGAGAAATTATTGTCCATGCCCAAAATCTTCCAAAATCAGTTAAGAAAATAGATGGTTTATTTTTTTTAAAGCAGTACATGTGTTTTTCAAGACAATTCTGGCTGTCTTTCTAAAGCTTCTTCAGAGGAGGGACAAAGACAGTCATGCTGCATGAATGAATGTACAGTAAAACCAATTTGGTAGTAGCAGATTTGTCTTAACCTCATATTTCTCAGACTCTGTCACCAATATTCAAAAATACTCATTGTGCAGTGAAGTGAAAATGATGTTGGGATTGTATCACCTCCTTATATTGGTGGTAAATCAATGCTCCTCGTGCAAGCATACTGTAATCAATCTTTCAACAGTCAAGATGTAAAAGCAGTCTATTCTATTGATCTGTTTTAATTGGAATCCCAACAAGCCTTGAATTCCTCTGATTATCAAATAGATTCTGTAGATATAATGCTGGTTTAAGCTGTGGGGATTTAATGGATTGTATTCTAGGCAGAAAGCAATCAACTGAAAATTTACTAGCAGTCTTTATTCCTATATTTTACTTCTATTGATTAAGATTATAGATCTGTATTGTGCAGAGATTTGTAGTTAAATCCATATTCAGATGTGAAGGTTTATTATGATAATGATTCCAGTGTAATTCAGTTGAAACAATACTAATGAATATTTTAAAACACACATATCATAACCTGATATTTATGAAATGTACATTGTGATAAATATTCATGCTTAAAGGTATGACAATTTTTTTTTAATCTATGTCAGTACCCCAAGTTCCTGAACCTGCTCAGTTGGCAAATTTTCATTTGCTTGTAATTTTCAGGATGGTGGTTCCCTTGATTTAATATTAAAGAAAGCAGGTAGAATTCCAGAGCCAATATTAGGAAAGATTACAATAGCTGTAAGTTAAACTTGAAATATTTTAGTATGACTATGCATGATTTGGTTTCATAACTGAAATTGCTAAAAATTGAATGTGGAATTCAATTCAACTATAATTTTGCATTGAGAAATGATGGTTTTGTGTTGCATTGGCAAGTTCTAACAATTTTTTTACAATATGACACATTATTGATCTATTTGTCTCTTTCTAGGAAAATAACCCACTTTTGAGTTCTTTGTTTTGATCAGTCATGTGATTGTGGGTTCCATTATCTAAAGAGGAGAATCATTGTCTGTGTTTCAGGTTTTGAAAGGGTTAACATATTTAAGAGAAAAGCATCAAATTATGCACAGGGGTAAGTTTTGCCTAGTGTTGGTACATTTTGTGTATGGTACTTGATATTTTGTATTTATAGCAGTATATTGATAAAGTATTTTTCAAAGAGTACTTCATAATTGAACATATTTTGTATGGAAAAAAAAGAATGGTCTTTATGCTAAAAGGTATTTGATATGTTTAGGATTTAGTTATGTTTTTTCCTTCAGATGTGAAACCTTCAAATATTCTTGTCAATACAAAAGGAGAAATCAAGGTCTGTGATTTTGGAGTAAGTGGACAGCTCATAGATTCCATGGCCAACTCTTTTGTAGGAACGCGGTCATACATGTCAGTAAGTATCTAAGTGAATGTAATTATAAGAAGAACAATCATCATTATCATTAACTCTGTGGTAGCTTCAGATGCAATGGCGGCTGCTGGAAAACAGCTTTGTGTAATTGTTTACCCTTCGCAGTCATGGTTTACTCTTCATTTTCAAAGAAAATTATCACCAGATTAAATACTTTTTAAGTTAAAACCTGCCCTTTGCAATCATGGGTTACTCTTTATTTTCAAAGACAGTTGTCATCAGATTAAATATTTTTTGAAGTTAAAACCTCAGGTGTTTTTCTTGAGTGAATCACTGGTTCTCTAGATGAATCATAATAATGTCTAATGATAAGCCAACTGTATAATTTTTTTCAGCCTGAACGTTTACAAGGAACACATTATTCAGTGCAGTCAGACATTTGGAGTATGGGTCTTTCTCTAGTAGAAATGGCCATAGGCAGGTATCCTATTCCTCCACCAGATCCCAAGGATGTGAAAGCCTTATTTAGTGATGATGTGGCTATGGAGCACCTGAATGCAGCTAGGACAGGAATCCCACTGCCAGGTTGGGGTTCCAATACTTCACAATATTTGGCACACACACCACCTGATGCATTGAATTTTGGTAACTACCTCCCTCTCAAGGAGGGCTAGGTCAGACACTGCAATATAAACTGCCCAATTTGATTTTATAAAAACAGGATTTACAAGTTTTAGAAAGTGCCATGTCTCTTGCACAAATATTGACATATTTAATTTTGTTCAACTGAAGTTTTTTTTTAAGTTGACTGTATAGTTTACTTGAAGAAGTACTTCCTTGTTTTTGATAATTCATAAAATTTTCATTTAATTTTGGACTGTTTGCTTTGGGTTTGTTATACTCTATTCTTATTTGGCAGTTTGTGTCACACTGACAGAGACCCTTCAATATTTTCATTATAAATAGTATTATTTAAGTGAAAAAAATTAATTTTATCTTTGTTTAATTGTTAAAGAAATGGTTGATTTTTGTCCAAGCAGGCCTTCCAAGCAACTTTGAAATAATGAGCAATGACGGGCCTATGCCTATGGCTATCTTTGAGCTGTTGGAATACATTGTAAATGAGGTAACTGTGTTGTTATAAGATGCTTCCTCACACCAAGATTCCATTTTCGATGTACTGCAGTTTGTAGAAATTCATTTGAGCATGTGTTGCTTGAGTCTTCAAAGTCCTCGTCCCGTCTCCATGCCACTCCTGTATTTTGTTTTAATGTCTTGGAGAGTATGTGATTCCCTCGTACTCTCTGAGATTTTGTAGGAGAGAACGTCTACACTGGTGCTCTGGATCAGTTTGTCCTTTTCTTGAGTCTTTTTTTTTATTGTTCATGATTTTTTAAAGGTACACAGTTGTTCTTTGTTCTTTTTCTTCAAATTTTTTAAATTTACAGAAAAAATATCAGTTTGATTGTGAAGTTGAACTCTTTGCTTTTTAAACCACCAAAAAAATGGAATATTTTATTATCAATTTAAAATTAAGCTGCTGTTAAGCTGTCAGATAACCCCCATTTTCTGCTTTATACTCTGACTAATCAGATATTTGTGTGCTTACATCAATGCTTTAAATAATTGTTTAATCTGGCAATTAAAAAAATTATTTTGACAAAATTGATTTGAAAATGCAAGAGTTTCTGTGAAGTGATAGATCCAAACATTCAGTCCAAATTATTATCATTTAGATGACTTCAGTTAGACCATAATGGTGGAAAAGATGAATTAAAAAGGACAACATTAACTTAAGCAAATTTTAATTTACATATAAAAGTTTCTTGACTTTCTTGGAGTTTCTCAAAGATTATGCATTTAAGAAGTAGAATGATAAAATGCCACCTCTGTACTTCAAAACACAGTGTGTTAATAACGAGAACAAGAAGGACAACTTGGCCAGTGTCTACTTGTGAAAGAATTGCCACCTTCCACTTGTTAATTTTGGCACATTGATTACTTTTCCAGCTTTTTGCATGCTCAAATGAAGGCCTGCAATCATTTTTTTTTGTTGTCTTACCACATTGTGTTGCTTTATGTCTGATGCCTTCATCTCCGCTTTTTCTTTTGTGCTTGCAGGCAGCAGAAATAGCTTTACTCTCCCCTCAGCTGATGGACCTAGACCAATGGCCATATTTGAGCTTTTAGATTACATTGTCAATGAGGTATGTTCATTTTGCGCCCTCAGAGACCAAGACTGGCCAATTGGCTCCTGTTCTGGTTGAAACATCTCTGCTAGTTATGATGTCAAGGCATCATACTGCACGTATTTATTTTTGAGAAGTATGTGGAATTATGGGATTGACCAATGGTGGAAAAGAGCACCAGTAATGCCATGTCTCTTCAAGTTATGAATGAAGTTAAATTGTTATGAGGCCATTGATAGGTCGGGGGGGGGGGGTGTTGTTATGACACTCGTGGAGCAGCATTTACACAAGCAGTGGGCCTGGTTGCTGAGAGATATGTTACAGAAGAAGTGTTACTGTATTACTGTAAATACACTTCGGTCAGTGGATTCAATCTTTAACATTTGTCTTGGTCTGTTTGTAAATGCTCTTTAGGCAAAAACGACTCTGTGGGCTGCTGCTTGTGTTCCCAGACAGAATGATATTTTTTATGTCCCTGAAGTGATTGATGTAGTGAAGACAGATTTCCATACCATTGCAACATCTCACATGTACCTGTGGATAGCTTATTTCTATTATTTCATCACCATTTTGTCAAGCTTCTGACAGACCTTTTTCAATGTCTTGTCTTAGTCTGTTGAGCTTACTATGTGTAGTGCATTTCACAATTGTTGGTCATTCAGAATTACATTACATACTTTGTTGGTGGATAATGATTTGAATTAAAATGTAAAGCTATCATTGGCTATTAACTGCTAGGATTGTTGGCTTAAAAAAAAAAAGAAGTTGGCCTAGCTGCAGATACTTAATAATGATATAAGCTGAGCTTGAAAATGTGAGTTATGGTATTAACACCACATTAAGATCCTATTATTTTTTATTGTGTGAGAAGTTAATTTATACAATGTTCAGATAAGTAATTGCCAAATTGCTCTGTTTAATTCAAAAATTGACGCTGATAAATATAAAACTGTGTGCAGATTTTTTTCACTTTAATGTATGCAGGTTTTGCAATACTTACTTGAATTATGTTAGTGAGAATTTATGTGAAGAAAACTTAACTTTAATTAGTTTATTTTTAACAAATTTAAGCCTCCTCCAACCTTGCCAAAGTCAGCATTTTCTCCGGAGTTTGAAGAATTTGTTTCCAAGTGGTGAGTCCTTTTTAAATTAAAATTGGCTTTAATTTTGTTTGTTTGTATAACTCTGGTAAGTGTCCAAAATGTTACCTTTAGCATGGACCTAATGAGAGAAGGACGAGTAACGCGGAGCAAGATCAAAGGATAATCGGCTTAACGTGAGCTCTTCGCGAAACCATGTGCGTTCGGATCACGCGACCTCCCGTACAGGTAGCGAGCATATCGCAGTTGTCGATGACTTTTTGTGTCATTTGGGCAAGTAGTTCGCTATAACGTGAGTCAATCTTTTGGGTAGGTGAGACAATAAAATTATAGAGATGAAGTATAAGTACAATTTGTTCTGTCAATTTGGAAACTATGTGAGAATTTGATATGTTTATTCATGGAGGAATTCAAAATGCCCTATGTGGTAAAGGCAATCTTGTTTGTTGTCGTAAAATGAGCATTCAAAATTGTACAATTGTAGTGTAGTACACTTGTTTTCAACTATGATCCGATTGGAAAATATTTTTAGTATCAAACTTTTCTCTCTATGTGAGAAATTAGCCTGAGACGCGGCCGCATTCGTGACCCACAAAAACGCACCTGTGGGCCTTTTAATATTTTTTTATGAAAGTTGACATTAATACTGCTCTGAAGTATATATATATTTATACATTACCGGCTACGGTCTGCTCCAGTCTGATTATGATAATTATTATTTTTTAACTTTCAATATGGGCTCTCATTGCAATATGGCACCAAACACGCATTCGTTACGCACAAAAACGCACCTGTGGGCCTTTTAATATTCTTTTATCAAAGTTGATATTAACACTGCTCTGAAGTATATATATATTTACACATTACCGACTACGGTCTGCTCCAGTCTGAGAATGATAATTATTATTTTTTTAACTTTCAATATGGACTCTCGTTGCAATATGGCACCACACACGCATTCGTTACGCACAAAAACGCACTTGTGGGCCTTTTAATATTCTTTTATCAAAGTTGATATTAACACTGCTCTGAAGTAAATATATATTTACACATTACCGGCTACAGTCTGCTCCACTTTGAGAATGAAAATTAATAGTTTTTCATCTTTAAATTGGAGTCCCTATACAGCATAGAGACGATTGACAAACACCCTCAATGGTCTTTTAATTCAAGTATAAATGTGGACATGTACACATGCAAACTTCGTGAATATATTTACTTGGGTAATGGTCATAAAAGTGGATCTTGATCACAACTCACCTCTGTAATTGGCTTGCTACATTGCATTATCTTGTTATCAGATACGTTTGGATAGCACCTACCTGGCTTTATTAGTCAACATGCTTTTAAACCAGTTATATATCAGTTCGACATATATCAATACAATCTTGGAAACGATAACAAGTATAGACAAAGGCCAGAGCCCGTTTTAATTAGGTAACAGGAAAAAGAAACTGAAAACCCGAAACAAATTTCCACTTGTTGACGCAAGTCTATGTGCTAGCAATTACAAGATGGAGGCAATGCTGTGTCATAGCAACCACGAGGGACCGCGAGAAATTGCGTTATCCATGCAATAGAACAAAAGGATTTCAATGAGGCACAGCGCGCGCTACCTTGATAATAAGTTGTTCAGGCTCCCGTGGAGCTATCAAAACAGCTTATCTGAGACAATGGGCGAATGTTTACCCGAACGCACATAGCTTCAAAGGAAGATGCCGCGTTACTCGTCCTTCTCTCATTAGGTCCATGCCTTTAGTGTGATTTTACATGAAACAAATTTCTACAGCAATATTTTGATTAAACAATGATCTGTAACTGAATATAGTAAGGTCAGATTAATATTTGAAAAGCAACAGCATATTTTCACAGTTATGAGTAATTTTTCTTCATGTTGTGTTTTCAGCTTGCAGAAGGAACCAACAGAACGTGCAGACTTGAGAACTCTTGTGGTAAGGCATGGTCATGAGCTTCACTTTTTGTACATCATTCAACATAGTCAGAATGATCCCTGTGTACTGTCTTAAAGTCAATCAGATGAACTATACAGTTGCTTTAAGTCATTTTTTAAAAAACAGAACATCGGAAAATGATCCCTTTTTGCATTAAATCAGTGTGTGTGTGAGATTTAAAACAAAATCCATTTAGTCACATTGATATGAATAAAACCAGCCGGACAATAAGCTCTCTGAAAACATGTACAGAGAATACAAAGAACTTTTTCAAATATGAAAATTCTCAGACACAAGCCTAAAATTTTCCGTACCGTTAGCTTACCAACTTAACCTAACTTAACTTAACCAGCTTAACAACCAAGCTAATGAACTTTTTCAAAGTTGACAATAAGATGTAAATTGTTTTTCATAACAGTCAAATCCTGTTAATTTATAATAGACTTTGGATTCACATCTTATAAGAAAAAATATTTATGTGAAAGGCTGAAATTTGACAAAATATATTTTGGTTGTTAGGAGCATTAAGTATACTAGCATAGCATGTAAAATGGAACTTGCAGCATCATACATCAAAATTTATTTTAATTCACATTTTCAGAATCATCCTTTTGTTAAGAAATGGGATGAAGAGCCTATTGACATAGGGAACTGGGTTTGTAAGGTTATGGATATTGAACCCATGAAGAGCTAGGAGATACTGTTAAAAAGAATGGAATGTAAACTTATAACTCGAACAGCAAGCAGGACATGCTAAGCAACAAATATAATGATGCGGCAGTATGTTGTGCATAAATTCTTCACATTTATGTAAGCTCCAACTAAAGTTAATGAATATTGGCTAAAATATTAGCAGATTGCTTGCTTTAGAAACTGTGTAGCTTACCTGGCTCTAGTTTGGAGGATATGATTTCACATTTAACCAACATGGACCAGAAGTCAAAATATGGTTTAGTTGCAGATTTAATGCAGCTTCTTGAGTCCCAGTGAGAAATACAATATGATAAATAGAAGTTATTAGCTTCTGTGACTTCATATTATAGTATCCCATAATGTATGTAAGGAATGCAGAAGGAATTACTAATACCTCAAGACATGACAGGATGTCACATTGCAGAAGTCGGACTGCTCAAGTCTAGCATGGAACAGCTTCCTGTATAGCAGGAAAGGAGACGGCCATTCCACACAGTTTTTTCTTCAGAATCTGACTAATATTAGTTAAAACAAAGCAAGTACTTATATAATATAAATGTATGTATAGTATATAAAATACATATGTACAACCGTAAACCAAATCTGTAATACGTTTGCTTTATTTGGTGATGGGTGCTACAGTGGACGGAGGAATTGTGGCAAAGATTTTGCCCGTTATTTCATTGTATGGTCCCTCGCTGCTGTATATATAATTATAACTTGCAACCAGTTTGGAAATTTTGAAATATATTGTGGACATATTGAAATGAATTGTAAACCTAGCCAGAATGTGCTGCTTGATGGTTACAGGCATGACTTTTCTATATAGCATTGTTGACATGAGCTATGAAAGAAGTCTGTAATAGAAAGGGAAGGTGACCCTACATAAGTCGGCTTCTCTCTTGGTGACATTTGTATTGATACCCATTGTGTATGTAACTTTATAGTATAATTTAGTTATGTTAAATACAAACTGTGCAATTAGTCTGCCATGTGTTAATATCTGTTGCCTCCTCATGTTTAGACTCTTATTGCTTCCTCAGGTATGCTTTAGCCTGGCTTGCCACCATGACCATGTAACTTCTGTATTAATTGTTCACTGTTGTGGTCACCTTTGCCTGACATTTGAAATACAGTTGGTTTGGGGTTGGGTAAAGCATTGGTTTTTCTGTACACTGGTGGCTTTTTATTTCTAAGAAAAGAAATCTGATGTATGGGCCGATTACCCCATTTTGGGTGTATTTGTGCTGGGCATATTTCAAAGAAGATTTATTGTATATCAAGGTTGCAAGTCTGCAGTTCTATTTGATATTCTAAGCTTAATATTTGTATGATGCAGTGATAGATGGCAGCTTATAAAATTTTGCATAGATTTGTCAAGAAAACACAATGTATGAGATTTGATTGATCAGTGATTCTTTATGTCACAGTTTTTGGATTAAAAGAGAATGACCCTAAACTATGCAGGTTAGTTGGCAAAAGAGTGGAAGTAAGTATTATTATTTGCTGCTGCAATATGAAAAGTTATACAGGGGCATATAGGTGCCACGTGTGGGTGTATTTGCTTATTTTGTTCGTATTTTTGGTGTATATATTTATAGTTGCATTATGAATACTTTGTACTGATTTTTCACTATATTTATCGTTGTTGGTTTTCACATTTAAGCTGTATTTAGACCCAGATACCATTTATCCAAATTCACAAAAGTTTTTTTTTTCTTTTTTTGTTCAAGTTGCTAAACAAGTTTTGCCACTCATAAATGTTTTATCTCAAGAAGCAGCTGTAATTTTTCATCAGAAGAAAAATGTTCCTCTTTATTTTTCAAAACAACTGAACTCCACAACTATGTTAGCAACTTGCTTTCTTGCTTTGAGAATTTGTGACACTCAAAATTATGCTGCTTTGTACTTGGTGGCAGACTCAGATGAAACAGAAAATCATGGTTAAAGAGCACTCTCTTAGTGCAGATTGTCTAAATGTATGTTTTTGGAAAATTGTGATTGGCACGTTTATTTTGCCAACAACAATATCAGCATATTCAGATTAAGTGACAGAAATAAATGTTACATAATTTCAGGACTCATTATTATACAAATATAAGTTTTATGTGTAAATTCGGTATTTATACAATAGATTCTTTTGTTAAGTTTGCAATCTGTTTAAACCATAATCTCATATATTTCACATACCATTAATGTTTCAAATAGTATATAAAGGGTATGGCATTGGAGTATCTGAGAGCCCTGATCATGTAGTGTAACTGTAAATGTATTAAAGCATTGATAACTTTCATGACCTAATTACTGTACAATCATGTTTTTCTAAACATACTAGTACATGGAAGAAGCCCATGCTAGATGTAACCTGCAGATTATGTTCAAGACAACTACTGTCATTTGAAGATTGCATTCTTGCAGTTTTCAATTCAAAAATGTTCATGATCTTGAAATAATTTGTTCAAACTGTGAATAGTGATTACCTGTAAGATTGGATAGTTCAAAATCATGGGTCAAAATAGTTCAAAATCATGGGTCAAAATTTATGAACTATTTGAAGTTGTAACTCTGGTATTGCTAAGTAATTAATCAGAAAATAAATTTAATTTTTAAATTATAAAGAAGCATATTTTATGTGAATCTGAAATGTGTTATTACTATTAAATTTATTTAATGTAATCTTTTGATGTGTAGTCTATAAGCTGAGGTACTAGTTCATCATTAAACGTGAATTGATGCAGACAATTGTTACTTCAGATGACACTTTCGAGTTGTGCTGCTTCAGTTTTACGTTTCTATTTTATCTTGTAAAATGAATGTTTATAATTGACTACAGCAGCTTTTTGATAAAATAAGTCTTTAAATGGGCAGGGCATTGATTGAGAATGTGAACTAGGAGTTTAAGTGCACCAAAATGAACTTGCCTGATTACTGCATACTACCTTTTTAAGGATGTAAAATTGTGAACATAAGTCTGGGTGCGAGTGTTTGTGAAGAATTTATATTTGAATTAGATAGTGTACATGTGCTGTGCTCACTTTACAACCTACCAATACTTATTTGGGAGGTTAATTGTTAAGTTCAAACAGCTGTAACAGCAAATAAATGTAAAAAAATACGAAAAGCTATGTTTACCAATTGGGTTATCTTGGATTTGTATTTTGTTTCTGGAGGTCCAAAATTTGATTATCATTATTAAACATTCAATTACAAGTGTGTCATCAACTTTACTTGAAAATGGAACACGGAATAATCTTCAATATTATTAGTAACTTCATATAAATTTTATTAGCTTTTTGAAATTAAAAAATTGAAAGGATACTTTTTGAAATATCACAGCAAAATCTTACATTTATAAATTCCATAACATGTACAAAAACACTTGGCACATCTGAATAAACTTGACCTGTCTGTGGCTTTGTAAGTTTTTGCCCTGATCAAACAATACACTGATATGTCATGAACCTGCAAAGTCCTTCAATCAACAGTTAATTTGCACTATGTAAACAACTGAAAATAGGAGAGCATCTCTGCATAACCAAGCACATCTTTTGAATGTGCTCCTTCTCACAGTTCAAACTTCTACTTTTTCCTTAGTAAATTACAGTATGTATCCAACGTGTTACATTTAAGGTAGACTAGAAGCTAGGCAAACTAACAACTCAGATTTTATCAAGGCTGATCATGGTTTCTAAAATGAATTCGAATATTGCTATTATATAACTTTACTGATTAAGTCTTATGTTTTATGTAAAATATGTTTTAGTGAAACTGCACCTCCAGTCTTTATCACTTAGTTATCTTTGCATAGTTACAATTGATTAAGTAAACTGGACTGCATCCTTCAAATGAATCATGCTGTTTTTTTTTTAGACTTGTTATACAGCAATTTGGCAGTAACCTTGTGAAAGATTACTGACAATCTTTACTACTGATAAAGAGAAAGGTAACTTTGACTGTGGTGATATAACTAAACTAATTGTTTGAAATGCTCTTCCTCATCCCAGGAATTCTGGACGGAGGTCTCTTGGATGGAGTATCTGTGCAGTCTTGTGGATCATCTTTAGACAGACTATCTGTACTAGATGACACACTACTCTTTTTTAGTGTAAGTTTCTTTGTAGGAAGACCAGTAGGTTTTCGTGGAGTTACAGCAGCAGTTGTTCTCTGCCCTTGTTGCAAGTTTTCTCGACTGCGACTGGGAGTTAATTTGGTCAAACTGCCATGTCTTCTCATCGGGGTACCTGATGGCTTAATCCCAGGTACCGATCGTGGAATACCATGTGACTTTCCAGTAACTTCTGCACGGTGTGGGGTAGGAGACCCCAAAGGGTTTCTTTCACTGGAGAGTTTGCTCAATCTGCTTGGTGACTTTGGGTATATTTTTTTACCTGAAATGGGGCGTGCATTCATGTTTCGGTCTCTTTCTTCCTCAGCGCCATTTGCTTTGACTTCTTGGGGACAACAGCTACATGCTTCTTCATCAAAAACCATATCAGTGGATGATGAAGTGGAATGTGACATGTTATCTGCAATCAAACCTTCTTTGGGTATATCATACTTANCTTTTTTTGTTCAAGTTGCTAAACAAGTTTTGCCACTCATAAATGTTTTATCTCAAGAAGCAGCTGTAATTTTTCATCAGAAGAAAAATGTTCCTCTTTATTTTTCAAAACAACTGAACTCCACAACTATGTTAGCAACTTGCTTTCTTGCTTTGAGAATTTGTGACACTCAAAATAATGCTGCTTTGTACTTGGTGGCAGACTCAGATGAAACAGAAAATCATGGTTAAAGAGCACTCTCTTAGTGCAGATTGTCTAAATGTATGTTTTGGGAAAATTGTGATTGGCACATTTATTTTGCCAACAACAATATCAGCATATTCAGATTAAGTGACAGAAATAAATGTTACATAATTTCAGGACTCATTATTATACAAATATAAGTTTTATGTGTAAATTCGGTATTTATACAATAGATTCTTTTGTTAAGTTTGCAATCTGTTTAAACCATAATCTCATATATTTCACATACCATTAATGTTTCAAATAGTATATAAAGGGTATGGCATTGGAGTATCTGAGAGCCCTGATCATGTAGTGTAACTGTAAATGTATTAAAGCATTGATAACTTTAATGACCTAATTACTGTACAATCATGTTTTTCTAAACATACTAGTACATGGAAGAAGCCCATGCTAGATGTAACCTGCAGATTATGTTCAAGACAACTACTGTCATTTGAAGATTGCATTCTTGCAGTTTTCAATTCAAAAATGTTCATGATCTTGAAATAATTTGTTCAAACTGTGAATAGTGATTACCTGTAAGATTGGATAGTTCAAAATCATGGGTCAAAATTTATGAACTATTTGAAGTTGTAACTCTGGTATTGCTAAGTAATTAAACAGAAAATAAATGTAATTTTTAAATTATAAAGAAGCATATTTTATGTGAATCTGAAATGTGTTATTACTATTAAGTTTATTTAATGTAATCTTTTGATGTGTATTCTATAAGCTGAGGTACTAGTTCATCATTAAACGTGAATTGATGCAGACAATTGTTACTTCAGATGACACAAGTTGTGCTGCTTCAGTTTGACGTTTCTATCTTGTAAAATGAAATGTTTATAATTGACTACAGCAGCTTTTTGATAAAATAAGTCTTTAAATGGGCAGGACATTGATTGAGAATGTGAACTAGGAGTTTAAGTGCACCAAAATGAACTTGCCTGATTACTGCATACTACCTTTTTAAGGATGTAAAATTGTGAAAATAAGTCTGGGTGTGAGTGTTTGTGAAGAATTTATATTTGAATTAGATAGTGTACATGTGCTGTGCTCACTTTACAACCTACCAATACTTTATTTGGGAGGTTAATTGTTAAGTTCAAACAGCTGTAACAGCAAATAAATGTAAAAAAATACAAAAAGCTATGTTTAACAATTGGGTTATCTTGGATTTGTATTTTGTTTTTGGAGGTCCAAAATTTGATTATCATTATTAAACATTCAATAACAAGTGTGTCATTAACTTTACTCGAAAATGGAATACAGAATAATCTTCAATATTATTAGTAACTTCATATAAATTTTATTAGCTTTTTGAAATTGAAAAAAAATTGAAAGGATACTTTTTATTATCACAGCAAAATATTACATTCATAAATTCAATAACATTATGTACAAAAACACTTGGCACATCTGAATAAACTTGACCTGTCTGTGGCTTTGTAAGTTTTTGCCCTGATCAAACAATACACCGATATGTTATGAACCTGCAAGGTCCTTCAATCAACAGTTAATTTGCACTATGTAAATAACTGAAAATAGGAGAGCATCTCTGCATAACCAAGCACATCTTTTGAATGTGCTCTTTCTCACAGTGCAAACTTCCACTTTTTCCTTAGTAAATTACAGTGTGTATGCAACGCATTACATTTAAGGTAGACTAGAAGCTAGGCAAACTAACAACTCAGATTTTATCAAAGCTGATCATGGTTTCTAAAATGAATTCGAATATTGCTATTATATAACTTTGCTGATTAAGTCTTACGTATTATGTAAAATATGTTTAAGTGAAATTGCACCTCCAGTCTATATCACTTCATTATCTTTGCATAGTTACAACTGATTAAGTAAATTGGACTGCATCCTTCAAATGAATCACATTTTTTTTTCAGAATGTTTATATATATCAATTTGGCAGTACCTTTGTGAAAGATTACTGACAATCTTTACTACTGATAAAGAGAAAGGTAACTTTGACTGTGGTGATATAACTTAACTAATTGTTTGAAATACTCTTCCTCATCCCAGGAATTCTGGACGGAGGTCTCTTGGATGGAGCATCTGTGCAGTCTTGTGGATCATCTTTAGACAGACTATCTGTACTGGATGACACACTACTCTTTTTTAGTGTAAGTTTCTTTGTAGGAAGACCAGTAGGTTTTTGTGGAGTTACAGCAGCAGTTGTTCTCTGCCCTTGTTGCAAGTTTTCTCGACTGCGACTGGGAGTTAATTTGGTCAAACTGCCATGTCTTCTCATCGGGGTACCTGATGGCTTAATCCCAGGTACCGATCGTGGAATACCATGTGACTTTCCAGTAACTTCTGCACGGTGTGGGGTAGGAGACCCCAAAGGGTTTCTTTCACTGGAGAGTTTGCTCAATCTGCTTGGTGACTTTGGGTATATTTTTTTACCTGAAATGGGACGTGCATTCATGTTTCGGTCTCTTTCTTCCTCAGCGCCATTTGCTTTGACTTCTTGGGGACAACAGCTACATGCTTCTTCATCAAAAACCATATCAGTGGATGATGAAGTGGAATGTGACATGTTATCTGCAATCAAACCTTCTTTGGGTATATCATATTTATATTGCAATGTGCTTTCTCCACATGCATAATTGTCTGCAAGATCCTGGTCAGCAATTTCCTTCCCCACCAGTGGGTCTCCTTTATATTGGAACTCCTCCAGATGCTGTTCGGGTGCTAGACCTAGGGTTTTATTCTTAGGGTCATGCAGACTTTGTCTATCCTCTACTCCCTGTAGGCCACATCCCTGCTTCATTTCTTTTATTTGATCATCTTTTTGAGGTGGGTCTCCCGCAGATGCTTTACTCCCATTTTGTCCAAGTACAGCAAGCTCCTGTGACAAAAGTACACGCTTTTGCTCTTTCAGTATCTCCACTTCTTCACTCAGTTTATCCAATTTTTCTTTGCAAGCCTTTTGGTGGTTTTCTAGCGATTCCATAAACTGAGTACCAAAACTGGAAAGTGCTTCTTGACCTGCAGCAATATATTAAAACTTTGATTATAAACATGTGTTACATGAATTCATTTTTGGTTTATTACATCCCAGCTATTAACACACAACATATTGACTATGTTATATGTCATGTTTGTTCCAATAAGGACAATTGGAATCAAGGGACAGAACATGTTTCACTTCTACCAAACTTTTTTTTACTTTCATAAAGTTATTTCTTGAAAACATTTATAAAGTTTGCCTCATAAAAAAATTCCCCAGAGTACACAATGTGCAACATAAAAACATGTTCATGGGATCAAAACACAGATCTCTAAAGTAAATGTGGTTTCATATATGTAATAGAAACTCTACAAAACTTACCAGCACTGTTTTCTTTTGGGGTCAATGTCTCAATCATCTGACTTAACTAAAAATAAATTAAGCTTGAAACTATTTTGTCTACAACCTCCATGAACAATATTAACAAAAATTCTAAATGATAACATGAAGAACAAAAACTCATCTTAAGGGCCTTTTTTAATTCTTTTCTACTAATTGCAAAAAGAATAGACATCAAATTGTCTAATTTAATGATTAGTTTCTGTAGCACATCAAAACTTACTTGATCTGCCTGTGACTTGAAAGTAGACAAAAAGTTCTTTAATGCCTGCTCCGAAGCAGTATCTCTCAGCTCTTCATAGGCTTCAAGTGTTGCTGAATTTAAGTAAAATTTTATAAATATGCCATTTAAACTAGCATATTTAATTTAGATATAAATCCATTATTCTAAATAAATTCAAATTCAAATCTAATTTACGAGCTCTTGCACTGGAGGATAAATTCAAGATTCTCCTTATCAATTTTTTTGATAAACTTATCAATTACATTTCAAAGGCTTGCAAACCAACTCCTCTGTACTTTCTTCAAATGTTTTATAACCTTCTCTGAAAAACAAAAGAAAAACAATTCATTTCTTCTTGATTGCTTTTAGTGAAGATTATGTTGTTATTGAAAAAAATATGTTTTGAAGATGTCACTTGGAAGTATCCAGGTTCATCTCCTGCCATAAAATTATTATTAATTTTTTGCATTATAAATAAAGTGGATAGGCAGACATCACTATGCATTTGTTTCATGTGAGAGTCAATAAAATATCCTACCTTACAGCTTGGAACAATGACTCAGCATAATTGACTTGTAGTTGATAGAGTGACCTGTGGACTTTCAGCTCTTCTTTGACAGCTTTAGTCTGCAAGATGTAGGAATTGAAGAATCTTTAAACCTCATTTTGTACAAATAACAGATGTATCTTTAAAATTTATTTGATGCATTTATGGACACAATCACCTGGAAGCATGGGGGGCGCATGCAACCACACACACAAACATATGTGTGCGCTCACTGATGCACACCAACTCACCATCCTAGTGCTGTCTGCAAAAAGTGTAGTGATTTTACACAAGTTTCTGACTTTACCTCTAAGCCAAGGATATGTGAATGATAACTGAAAGCCTTCAAAAGTGCCCCAATCATCTGCCTGCCTTCTTTCTGTTTGACTTTGGGGAACTTTGGTAAAGCTGCTATAACATTGTCTACTGTCATGTCTTTCAAGATAGGCTTGGTAAGTGGAGGCTGTAATTGGTGACATTAAAAATGAGTCAGAATTATAAAGAGTAAAGCATAAATTTTGAATAATTCACCACACACATGCACACATAAAAATTACTCTCATTTCATGTTCATATTGAAAAACAAGTCAAGCAATATTTTTATAAAGTAAGCACTAAAGAGGAAGTATACAGCATTCAACAGTCTGATCTTGAACAAGAAATACGTTTTTTTAATGAATTCGAAATGATTGAATTTCTACATTTACTGAATTGAATTTATCATAGTTGTTGGACCTCTTAAAGAGTCTTTTCTCCAGGAAAATCTGACAACACAACTGATTAACTTAGGAGAGCAAACTGCTAGACATTATACATTCCCTTACCAATGGAGCATTGGGAATGACAACAGACAAACTGAGAAGATCCTGACAGCAGTCTTTGAGCATATCACACGACTTTCTGGCATTGTTGGAGAGCTCGTCAAATACAACAGAGGACAAATGATGGCTAGCTGACTGTATCACAGTTGCTTCCAGAGATAATGTAGTATCCAGAGAGTGCTTTAAGCGTGTAAGTTGCTTGTACAGGTTAGTGAGTTTGGACTCCAATTTGGCCTAAAATGATACGAAAGCAAAATGATGAAATTGACAGTATTTTTTTAAATATAAATCCCCAAAACTAAGACACGAGGCTAAAAATTTTATCAATCTACTTGTGAGCAACATTGAAAACTACATTTAAAATAATTTTTTTAATACTATTTACTGACAACTTAAAACCTTTGTTGTGTACATGATAGTTATTGTAAGTCCTAACTAAATAAGTAATTAAAATTTGTTTTATCCCTGTACACTGCTCATCATATCTTTTTTAATACTTTTAAAGTGCTATGATTATGAAACATCTTTTATATTTCGCAATAATTCACCTTTAAAAAAGAAACAGTTACTACTGTTACTTACACTGCTAATACCTACAAAACTTAAAATGTCCTTACCACATGTTTAAGGTTGATATGATCTAGATTTCCACTACAGACTTCCAGAAGAGTCACTGGTTCAGAGGGACTGTGCTTGACAAAATCACTCATAAACAGCAGTGGCTTGGCCAGCTTCTCTGTGGTGACATTCTACAAAAGTTATGTTTTTAATTCAATATCACAGCCTCTGTCATGACACACACCGCAATTAAAGATATTAACATACACTACTCAAACAATGTTTAGTATAACATATTAAATGAAATATTATTGTTTATTAAATATATGTTCTATATTCTAAAAAGCATTTAAGGTTTTAACCTTATGTTAAAACATGTATAACGACCTTGATAATTACATCTTCAAAACATTTCTGAAGAGCCCCATATTTTAATATACACCTAGCAATTCACCTCTGTATTTTTGAAGAGTTTTATTCTGGAAGACTCTATTGTCTCTACCATTCTTGTCAGCTCTGCTCTAGGAACTGGTACTTCTGGGCCACGGATATCTTTGGCAATGAATGTCCTAATAATCATTGACAATACAATATTCACTTAACACATTACTAAATGGATCTACACCAAATACTTGTTTTATTTTTTTTTTCATTTTATGTCATAAAAGGAGATAGGACCCAATTGGAGTAATATACAACACTGATAAGATTTAAATGGCATGGTACAGTATAAGGGGGAAAATGTAGCTTACTGTAAGGGCCTTCCATCTTTAGTATTTTCCATTACCAACTTATGATTGACATGACAAAAGAAAAAAGGATAACTATAAAACTTAAATCTTCACACACATATGGCAAATGAAATCAGATTACCTGCAAGTATCAGCCAGCTGGACGAGTGCATTATCTACATCCATGAGGCAGCTGCCACGGGAGCTCAGACCCTCTGATAACAGCAGCATCTGAAATATAGAATAAATCTTCAAAGTTTTCTCTCTGACAAATGCCCTTCCTTCAGTAATCTTTAAACCTAACATATTCATTTGACAATAGCAACAAATGAAACATTTCAACACACATTATACCCTACGAGTAAGATTTAAAGCCACTAAATGTTAAGTCTTATTATATTGTATTGTATTCTATATCAAAATATTATTTTATGTATTCAAATCTGAAAAGTACTTTGCGTGAACACATCTCAATGTGTATTGTTAATATTATACCTGTCTCTCAAGCTGAATAACTTGAGACTTGAGGAAATTCACCCTTCTTTCATCAAACTGCTCATGTGTGTTTTCTTTCACAAGCTGGCTGTAGAGCAATCTAAAAAGTCAATTTTAATTTGTACATTTATATAATGTAGCATCAAATAAGTGCAGCAAATAAATACCAGTTATACTTGTTTGTGATCTCTCCAAATTCAGGTTAATAGTTTTATGCTACACAATTAAACTATATGAAAAATCTTACTTCACATCCTCTAACTCTTGCTTCAGTTTCTTATTCTCTGCTTTCAATTCCTAAAAAAAATCATTACATGCATGGTTAATAAGAAATTGTCCATTTGAAGTTAACAAAAAAGTAGGGAGGATGCATGTTTCTAATCTGTTAATAAAATGTACACCTGAACTGGAAAAAACTCCACCACTGCTACTTACTGATTTAGATTTTTAGATAAAAAATGCTTTAAACTGTACCTTGACATCCCTGTTGGCTTTTGAAAGACTTGCGCTGTTGTGGGCTGTGTCAATATTACTTTCCCCCAACAGCTCTCCTAGATGTTTCCCTGCTGGCTTCATTCTCTCTAGCTATATGTCTAGAAAAATTAAATAAAGAAAGGTGAGATTATTTCATATTGTTCCAAATATTACAATTAAAGGTGAAGATTCTTTTTTCTTCCTCTCTCTGTAGAACGGTTGCTCATATAGTTCTCTGGCAATGCAAATCTGGTTATCGTGTCACATGTGTTACGAAAATATTTGAACAATAGCTATAATATTTCATGTTAAAACTATAAAAATGTGTAAATGCATTAAGAAGGCCCACTTATACACCCACATACAGTATAATAATAGTCAGTGGCCTTTTGTGTCTGATAACATTTGCCTGGCTTTCATATCTTTGCAAGCCAGATTGCTTCTGGCATTCAAAAATAACATGTACCCATGCAGTAGTCTAACTGGAAATGGCAAAATAAAATCCAGCTGTTATCTTAAGTACATGTACATGTACATGGTATACTGTACAAACTCTCAATATAATGGTAAAATGTTAGTTCAAAAACACAAACCATGCCATAAAGTCTAAGGCTTTGCTTACAAAATATATCAATCAAATGAAAATGATTGATCTATTCATCTCACGCTAATTACAGGTATAATTATAAGTTATTAAGATCAAACATTTTGAAACGATACTCATGCATGCAATCTTGAGTGCATGTAGCAAAATGGATTGGAGTCAACGATGCAAAATACCCTCAGAAATTAGAGAGAGAAAAAGAAAGAAAACACAAGGGCCATGTCAGTGTTCCTAACAATGACTTGCCATTTAACAAATATTAGGATGAATAATACTTGTAGTAAAACGAACATCATTAACGTTATATTAACAATGAATGACATTGACACGCTCGGCTATCACCTTGATCGGTTGATAATTAAACTGACTTATTTTTACAATAGCGCATAATCTTGTTGCAGTGATTTTGCCACAACTCGCATACCTAGCTCAGACTGCTATTAGATTGTACAGGGAAACGGCATACCTGGAGGAACACCTGCCTCCTCTCTTTACACAGCAAGCTTTCGTACCTCCGTCACTTAGAGAACCACTTTCATTGACCTCTATGCTGACCTCATTCATTTATGCCATGAGGAGACAGTGCATCTACATCTAATATGATGCTTCCAAAGGATTGTCGTCCACAAACTGTAGGGCGAAGTTTTTTAATCAAATATCTATTTCAAAGCATAGAAAGTTCACTTTATCAACAGTAACAGTACAGGAACTTAGCGTTAACGTAACATTTTGTTGACGTCACGTGATCAACGTCAGCTCTAATTTTATGAAGTGAATCAGCCGAAATTTATATGACTTCTGTGTAGACAACTTGTACTTATGTGTGTGGTGTGGATCAACGATAAACTAACTTATCATCAAATGTGTTACGTTACTGTCAGCCAACACGGAACTGGATCAAATACTCCTCAGTACATGAAAAACTGAGAGAAGCACCTGTAAATTGTAAATCACCCTGAACACCTGTAATACCAGTGCATGTAGTATCTGTGTAAGTAATGTTTGGTAATGTAGCAAGCAGAATTCAAGTAGAGCCAAAAGTGATGGTAATTAACTATCTACAACGATGGTCTCACACTTTGGCTTAATTTATGGAATTAATACATGAGCAGTCGATACAGAAATTATCATCATTAGCACATGTATAATCATCTCTTTCATTTTTTTCTTGTCAGTTTTGATGTAGGTGAAATCTGCAATTATGAGACAGCATAAATCGAAATTAATGTTTATTCACAATTTCATTTTTCCAGAAAACCACTTTGATGTCACATCTGAAGAAAATATTTCGAGGTCCCACAAAGGACAAAGCCATGGGAGAATTGGATGGCATCAAGGTGCATCAGTTCACTGACAATCCTACAAAAGCATGGTCAATGTTGAAGGTGAAACAAAAAGTGAAAAAAGTTACTTGTTTGCCACTGGATACTCCCATCTACCCAGACAAAGTGAGATTTGTTTGTATATCAGATACTCACCACCAAACACACAAAATGAACCCAATACCAAATGGAGATGTCTTGCTGCATGCTGGAGATTTCACTTTCCATGGAGAGATTGATCAAACCATTGCTTTTAATGAATTTTTGGGTGAGAATCAGAAGACTTTTAAAATCAGACATATATAAAAAGCAATTTGATGTTTGATTAAATTTAGACATGTTAGTCTCTCTGCATAGTTAAAGTAAATTCTACCATTTTAAGGTACAATAAGGATTGACTGTTATTTAATCTAAAGAAAATCAATCCTATTCAGCAAGTGCTGGGGTAAGAGTCATACAACATGAAACATTCTGTGTTATTATTTGTCACAGGTCAGAATAAAATACAAGCAGATTTTTAATCCATCTAGGCCAGATTAAAATTTCAATTGGCCTAACCAGATTTAAATCAGCCTAGACCAGACTGTTACTTATGACTATATTTGCTTATATTTGACATCAATTCCAGGAAGCTTACCTCACAAATATAAAGTGGTCATTGCTGGAAATCATGATATAACTTTTGATGAGGAAAGTTTAGCCACCAGACCAAACCTTAAGCATGTCTTCAGAATAGATGTGGATAAATTGAAAGCAACCCTCTGTTCAAAAACAGGGAAAGAGAATCCACACATGTGGGATCTTCTCACTAACTGCATCTATTTGCAAGACTCTGCCATTGATATCTATGGTTTAAAGATCTATGGTTCACCCTGGTAAGACATTCTTTTCTATAGTTCATATATTTTTAATGAAAACTTTACATAAGGGAATTGCATTTTTTTTTTGTAAAACATGTACAGACTGTATGGATCATATTTGGGTAAAATGTTTGAGGAAGGAAATAATGCTTTTGTCTTATTAGACATAAATGTGCCTGTAATTATATGCGTAAAGTATACATATGTATGCATATTCCCTTTTATCTATAAAACGTATTTATGGTGATTTTTCACAAAATTTCTAATAAATGTCTGTATAATTTGTAGGCAGCCAGAATTCTGTGGCTGGGGATTCAATGTTACAAGAGGAAAAGATATATTGGAGAAGTGGAATCTTATTCCAAAGGATGTTGATGTTCTTTTGACTCATGGACCTCCTATTGGTATTTAATGTTGTCCTTTAATATGTATTTAAATAATAGAAATGAAATAACCACAGTGGGAGTGGCATGAGAACAATTTACATGTTATGCTTGCCAATAAGCCTTTTTAAATGGCCAGTTTCACACTGAAAAAAATCTCATAAAAAGTTTACCTTCTAAACCATCACATTTTTATTTTGGAGTCTTTTTTAAAATAATTTTGAATTAAGTTTAATTTCATTTGGCAGTTATGAGAAGAAAAAAAAAACACCCAAGACATACCTATCTTGGCAACGTACATATTTTGGCCAGACACATGTAGATTTCTGTTTATGCACTCTTACTTTGCACTTGGTATTACACAAGTCAGAAGGCCAAAAACAGGATTCACATCCTGTGCTCAGATGCAATTATCTTTTAAAATCCCAATGGTTTCATGCTTTTATCTTTGTAGGCCATGGAGATATATGTTTTGATGGACTTAGAACTGGTTGTGTGGAACTGCTCAGTGTCATTCAGAACCGAGTTCAGCCTAAGTATCACATCTTTGGCCACATTCATGAAGGTAAGGCATTTGGGCAGGTTTTATGTTTGAAATTAATTTGTAAAGCATAGTATATTCTGGTATGTAAAAATGAATTTAAGTGTGATTGATTTAAAGGTGACTGATTAAAATGATCAACATTTTGTTCTTGTAACATTTAAATATAAATATAAATATAATATCTATGGCTTAGGTTATGGTGTGACAACAGATGGGACAACAACCTTTATCAATGCCTCAACTTGCACGCTTCGGTATAAGCCAACAAACCCACCCATCCTTTTTGACCTGCCTCTGCCAGAAGGATACACCAAGGAAAATGATGGGGCTGGTGTCTCGGCAGATTACAAGGGTTGATTAATAAGTAGTGAGCCTCGTATAGAAGGGGTACACATTTTACAAGTATTTTTCTTTATTTTTCAACATAGTCTCCTTGAGTATCTATACACTTTTGCCAGTGAGTTTTGAGAGCCTCTATGCCACTTTTGTAGAAGCCCTTCTCTTGGCCGTTCAGAAACCCCTCCACTTCACGTATGGCGTCATCATCTGACACAAAGTGAGCACCTGAAATGGCCTTTTTCAATTTGGGAAATAGATAATAGTCAGAGGGAGCAAGGTCAGGCGAATAAGGTGGATGTTCTATCAGTTCAAAGCCACACTCATTGAATGAAGCCATGGCAATGACAGACTTGTGAGCAGGGGCATTGTCCTGGAGGAACAGTACACCTTTCCTGAGCTTTCCGCTGCCTCGTCGACATAAACTAACCAAATGACACCAAACTTTGGCTACACACCTTTAAATAGTCAGGGAATAGAAGGGCTGAAAAGGGATATCCCTGCTTAACCCCTTCCACACGAGGCTCACTCCTTATCAGTCAACCCTCGTAAGCTGTCTACCCTGCAATTGGATTTTTATTGGATCCATCCCTTCTAGTCCAACTGAAATGTTTTTGGACAGTTGGTTCTTTATGTTAGATTTCTGAATATTTAATAAGAACAAATTTGTGATATCAAGCTGTGATGTCTCTATTTGCATTCCTTAAAAGGAAAACAGCTGTTCATTTTGGCCAAAAAAATAGATTTTCCTGGAGTAAATGACAATTTTCCCATTCTTGCCAATGGTTAATGAATCCTTTCTGACATTCAAAGTTAGTCCCTTTTTTTCTAAAAAGTTAGGTAATCTTAAGCAATTATTACAGCGGGTAGCCATCTATGGAGGTCACATGTTCGGATGGCAAACAAAGTTTCCAGAATAATTGTGATTACTGCCGTAATGGTGGCAACATAGAATTTATAATTACTTTTAGGAGTTGTTTACAACAAATTTATTGTGAAATATGGATCTCATACAAAGAATTGTTATACTTTAACTGCAAATTTTAACTCAGGGTCTGATATGCAAATTTTTGTGATTGACTAAATTTGATTTTCAGTAATAGACCTAACCAGTTTGTGATATTATCTTATTACCTTTTATTATGTATATATAGCAATCAAGACAAAATGCCTTGGATTTGCTTAAGCTAGGTTAGCTGTAAACTGTTTGATGAACATGATTAACCCTTTTATTTAATAAACTGCGATACTAATGTCATTGTTATCAGCACACTGCAGTTGCCTGCATTTTTGTGCTTGTCATTTTGCTTTCACTATATTTCTTTATACATAAACAGCAGTCCCATTTTTAATGTATTTGCATATAAATGTATTTTATTTCTCTTTCAGCTCTGTGGGCTAATGAATATATAAATATCTGTTATTGTAAATATAACTAATTTGAAATGCCTTATTGTTAAAATTATATTGTATTAAACAGTGGCAATTATTATACTTTTTTGTATAATTGAAACATAATAAAGGTTAATTTTTGAATCAATTTACCAACAAGTTCAATTTTGGATGAAAAAATAAATTCTTATTTTTTGTAAACATTAATTTAGAATGGTATTAACCTTGTTTATTCAGTTATGGTTTTCACCTTAAACATGCTTGCAGATCAAGCCACTGATCCTTGGACAATAAATTTGGTATATTTGTGAAATAATGGCTGTACATTATGCATATTTTTATACATGTCAAGGGCCTTCACAATAGCTAAACATTTTTTCAACTTTTTAAATGAATCAAACTGAAATGTTCCAAACCGGTAAGTGACATTTCCAACAGTAACGATTTCAAAATACTCCTTTGAACTGAAGAAAATATTTAAGTACATGAAATAACTTCAAGGTGTTGAATTATTTGAGCCAATGAAATGTTTATGGACAGTTGGCTTATGAAAATTCATAATGAAATTTACATCATTAAAGAGCATTAAACATGTACAATGAAACATTCTAGGGAGCAAAATGCTATCTACAAAATATATCATCAACATCAAGACTGAATTTTTATGAATAACCAATGAAACCTGTACAATTATCATATCACTGTTGCATTCAAAAGCAGCATATGTGAGAAGCATATAAATGGATTTAGTAAGGTTAAATTCTCAGAAATTTGAAGTCTTGTATTAAGTCATTCAATATTGGTGCCACTAGCAGAATCACCAGTTTAAAACTGCTGTATCTAGCAGCTGGATGATTTATGTTATATTACATATATTAACTGATTGAAAATATTTTGAAATAATATTTGTATTTTGTCACTTTTCTCTTAAACTGCTGCCTCAGCACCCTCTGCCTCCTGGCCTTCTGCTTTCTTGGCATCGGGCACCCAGAGCCCCGAATCTACACAGCGTTTAATGTGATATTCTGCCTCTTCTTTCGGCATTTCCATAACAGTCTTTTGCAGTAATGCTATATCTTTACTTTCAAAACATTCCTGCAGGGCCTAGAAAAGATTTTTGTGAGCATTACTCAAGTTTCAGGACACTATGCCACTGTACTGATTTTATTAAAGAGCACAGGCTTTCCTTTCTTTATTATTCATGTAAAATTTTGTAAATTAAAAAAAAACTTTTTCTGCGTGTATTGTTCAATATCCTCCTCCAATTAACTAGTATTGATATGTAGTATATCTAATCCAGATCTTTCTCGTGAAAATGTTACTATTTATCAACTATTTCTTTCACAGAAAAAAAAAATATTGCTTACTTTTGGCAATGACTCAAATACTTCTACTGGATCTAATCCTCCTGGTCCCAAGCGAGCTTGCCTTTCCTCCTGTAACAGATAAAGAAACAAAATTTTTTATTTCTTTGATGGTAAGAATATATATAAGACATACCACATTAATCTTATACATCAGAGAATTTAATTAAAATCACCACAGTTTTTTCTTTTGTTCACTTTGCCATCAGGACCTTCCTTTAAAGCTTTAACAATGCATTTATCTTCAAGCTAGGGTTTTCTAACTAATTCTTTTTTTACACACCATTTCCACCTCTTTCATTGCTGCTTCAATTCTTGCTTGTGCTCTCTCACGGACACGTTCTTTAAAAGACTCCAATTCATCATTAAAAGCTGCCATATATTGTCTTTCTGCCTCCACGGACTGTTTCTCTGCCAGCTTGATCCTGTGGATAAGTGAAAATGTAGCTCAATATACAAACTGGATAGAAAAAGTGCAGCATTCAAGTGACCCTATTTAATCATTTCACCCTGTTGTACTGTGAAAAAATATTACAAATATTTCAAGTTAAAAGAATGCAGTATAACAGTTTACATGCTTACCTTGAGAAGAAGGGTCTAACACAAGACTTGGGATCACGATCCAACTGCTTGGCCAATTCCAGAATAAACTGCATAACAATTGTCTGATGAGATACATGGTTCATCAGGTCTCTTTTCTATAATGGATATAAAATGAAATTTGTGAAAATAAAATAAATTTATGACCAAAATTTAATAAAAAAAATTATACAATTCAATACTTTAGAACATTCACAATTTTCTAATGAAGCAAAATTTCTTTATAATATTTTTTTGTTGTTGCAGAACCTTCTACGTGGATGACCTTTCTAATATAGCCCTGTTAATTTGGTATCAATGCACGCCTTATTGTACTGTATCAAATTTATTGCTGTCTATCATCAGTTATTCTCATACTGCATCTTAAAGTTGACTTGCCTCTTCAACTTCCAAGTTGATGCACCACAATACTAAGTAATTAGCTGTTTCTTCACACACCAAGAAAGGATGTTCCAACAAAAACTGCTCAGAATCCTCATATCTTCTAAACATTCCAAATTTTTTCAAGAGTTTTTCATTCTGTTTTGTGAATTCTGTTTGGCGTTTTGATCTCTCTTCATCTGTCAAGACTTCTTTTTTGGCTGGTGTTGACTTGTTGATAACCTAAAACAAAATACATTTTGGTCTAATTTTCTTTTGGTAAATAAAATACTACAAAGACATTTGAGTGACATCTCAACAACAAACAAAATATAAACATCTTTCAAAAATCGTTTCTGCCCCAAAAAAGTCAAAACATGATGAAAACATGCAACGTAACACTGACACTGCGTGCAAAATATTCATGAAGAGAATTGTTTAACAAGGATGACACTGGACTTTAGAAAGCACGTGTGTTGACCTGCACTATAATTTAACATTATTTTGGACCAAAATTTAAAACACATGGTAACTTACAGTTTTAGATTTTCCATCATGGCAAATTGTATCAATATTCCATGGAGTTTCCTAAAATGTGAACAATGCATTTAATAACAAAAATCACGGCTTGTTTAACGAAGAATGAGTTCAGTGAAATTCAAGGGTGTATAAAAAATTCATTAGACTAAGTGTGAAATTTTTAAAATATTTACATTAACTCGACATACATAAACTTCTTGATTCGCTTGCCCTCACCCAAAATCTACTTGCTTGAAAACATTGAATATTTTTTAAGGGTGTGTGTGTGTGTGTAACAGAAACTTAATTGTCCCACTCAAAAATTACATTTTGAACATTGCTTAAGCTTCTTTCTACAAGTTTAGGCAGGCCTCATAATACTTTTTTTTGAGACACTTTCCTTGTTGGGGGAAAGGGGGGAGTGTGTCTGTGTCTGTGTCTGGGGGGATCAAAATGTAGAAATAATGGGGGGGGGGATAGGCTTTCCAAATAAATCATATAAAATATTGTGTCACTGCTGTGTGTTTTGGGGTGGATCGACCTAACTCCCTGGGGAGTCTCACTAAATTGCTATCAAATAACCGGCTTTTATGTCTGTCATGCCTACCGAATAACCTAGGGGGTAAAGATAATTACCCCCTATCAGCTTTACTAGGCATGAGAGACATTTAAGCCGGTCAAGTTGACAGTAATTAGTGAGACTCCCCAGGAAGATAGATCAATCCAAATATCTGTGGGAATGGTCTCTAACTTACTTTCTCTTTCTTAGCAATTTCAGCTTCTTTCTTTTTCCATTCAGCTTCTTGCTTCTCTAATTCTGACAGTTCTAATTTCAACTTACTGAGGTCTTCTGCCACAGCATTGGACTGAAATTAGTATTGAAACAATATTAAACTTACTGGTAATATCAAAAAATATCTGAGTGAAATTTCTATGAAAAATAGATGGATGAATGCTCAATGTGCTGACTTCAGAGAATCATACTACATTTCAATAACCGACTTGCAGGAAGAATGCCTTTAGAGTTTACAAAATATGCTAATCAAGAAATTGTATATTTATGAACAAACAATTTTTGTACAATATCCCTCTTGTTGGGGTTAATGGTTGCCCTGGGCTCTAGGGTCATACTGTACCTCCTCGGCTTCACGCAGCTTCTTCTGAATTTCTGCTTTCTTCTGCTCACGTCTGAAGGGTGTAATGAATCAATTATCACAAATTGAAACACAATTCACATTGCTTGAATCAGTATAGACAAATACCACGATAGCAGTATAAACTTAATTTTTTTGGATACTTATATTGCAGAAACATTAATTTCCACTGCTCAATATACTGTTAGACAAATGGTTTGTAGTTTAATGTTTACATAATGTACAAGAAAGGGAAAAATGATACTAGGAACACTAATTTTCTAGCTGGTTTGTTGGCAATAAATTCTTAATAAGTAGCAGTGAGTTTTAAACATATTAATTTCACATAAAAATGCAACTTTTTAATGGATATAAAAATTTCATTATTTAGCAAGGATGACAAGGAGGCTTTTGGGATATAAGTGTTTAAGTGTATATACTGTCCCTTTGAATAAAGAGAAAACATTTGTTTAATTAACTATATGTTACCTCTGATATTCTTTTTCAACAGTTTGTTTTTCTTTCTCCAACTCTGCCATCTTCTCTAACCTGGCCTGATGTCGCCATCTGAACAAGCTAGGAGTGTCAATATTAGGATGTGTATCATCTTCATCATCTGAGATCTACAAAAATTATAATTTCCAAAAGTCTTAACATGGAAGTTCTATATTTACACTTCAAAGTGGCATATATACAATTGTGGACTAGATTAATTTCCCCATGTTTTTTGTTCTTCATTGCCCCATGCCAGTCTAGAAAAAGAATCAAATATTCATAATCAAACCATGCTATGGACAACATGGCTGTTGAGTATTCAACAAACATGTTTGTACCTAAAACTGGAGTCTTTCATGCACAAATATTGCTTGGATTTCCAAACGAATAATAGTATGTAGTCTGGGCTATTAAGGTTGGTGTTCTTGGTTTTAGGGCCATGTCTAATTTATTTGAATTTTTAATGCACATGGACCAATTTTTTGTTTCAGAAGTTAATATTAGTTTATGGTTTTTTATGGTGTAATGTTGTGGGACCTATTTTGGACGTTGGACACTTCGTTCCAATTTTCCTCGTTTTTCCTACTGCAAATGTTCTGTCTACCCCAATTAAGCTGTTGTTCTTCCCTCCTGAGCACACAGCATGCATCTCCTGTAGCTGATCTTTGGTGTAAAGGATGACTGATGGTGGCTTGTAAATATAACTAATTTGAAATGCCTTATTGTTAAAATTATATTGTATTACCTAGAGGTCTATATATCGGTCCATTTCTGTCCATTTCTATCCATTTCTATGTTTAGTAGGACCCGTTGATTGGGAGGACGGTTGTGGACGATGTTTAGGTACACTTTCAAATCAATAAATGGCTGCCTATGTGGGATCATATAAGGTTATATTTCTTTTTGATGCATGCCAAATTTCACATTCATACAACAATCCACTACTGGGCAAGACTAGAGAAAGTGTCAATTCTTGTCCAAAACGGATCCAGCGACGTTGTATATTGCGATTTTGTTGAATTCATTAAAAAATAATTAATTCCCTTTGATCCGTTTCCCCCAATATATATCTCTGTTTTATCAACACAATATGTCTTAAAAGCTAAGATATTTCATACATTAACGTATTTTTTTTTCAATATTATCCAATTCTTACTACGACATAAGTGCTAGTAGTTGAAGTCACACAGTCTCCAAAGTGAAAGAGATTCTAGAAACTTCCAGTCAAATGAGACGTATTTTAGACCAACCAAAAAATTATCAAGCCGTTTCATAAACGTTCTCGACATGTCGCTTAATTTAATTGCTGTTGAGGATTAATTCTAAAATGGATACTCACTTCAATATGATCCCATGCGCTGTAATCAATGCCTTTTGATGTAACGCTCTTGAATTTCGACATTGTCGGTCTGATTTTCTCCGTGACTGCATAATAAGGATTGCTGATATGCTTCCACGTTGATTGGGTATTTATTACAATGAGGTCATGCTTGACATTTTGTTTTTGTAAAATTATGTGCCAATTCAGAAGATTTAAGAAAACCTCATTAAGTTACACAAGCACAAAAATATGCAGTGTCTTAAAGATGTGCTCTTTTTTCTTTTCCAAATTATTATCAGAAACCTCATGCTACTTTGTTTACATCTGTCACGTGACAAGAAAACTGAAAGCAACTGGATTGAACCAGTTCAGAATATTATTAAATTCATACACACAGAGGTTGCAGATCACTCTGGTAGCGAAGTAAGTGTTGAAGTAGTTTGTTTTACACAGTGTATGTTAAGAAAATATCAATTCCATTCAGATTAACATTTACGTTCTGTGGAATAGTGTTTGACTACTGACTCTTCAAATGACAAGGCAGTCCTAATATATGTTTCCTATGGACATTGCGTCTTGGGTCCACAGACAGTTTTGTAATAATGCCAGAGACTGACAATTTGATAGACATGTAGCCATATATCCGAGTATGAATCACCGTTTGAATATTTGAGCCATCTCATTAAGGTCAAAATGTATGATTTAGTGACACCATGCTTGCTTTAAGTTTAATACATGTAAGACAAGCTTGATTCTCAGTCAGCTTGCATGCACTGTCCATAGCCATGCATGGCTGTTACCTTGTTTGTATAAAAAAAATACCGAATGAATAACAATACCACACTTGTCTTACAAATTTAAAAAATACCCAGATCAAAAATTGGTTTAGTATTTTAAAATTAATTTGTTAAAAATGCTATATATTACTCTATGCCAGATAAAGTATAGGTACTGGGACATGTATAAATACAGGCAGGCAACAAACCTCTGCATATGTACATTAGTGACTCTGGTTGTTTGAAAGAGGCAATGCTTACAAACTATTTGAAATACATCTAAATACCAAGTTATGGTACATGTACGTGTGTATGATATAATTTGCTCAACAGGGAAGGCTAAAAGTGGCATGGAGGTAATTACACCTGCTAAAACTTCCATTATTTGAGCATTTTTCTTTGAGAAGCAATATGCATGGTAAAAAATGGGAAGAAATCTGATATTCATGGTTGTAGGTTTATGAAAATGAGAGTAGTCTTGTTATTTTGAAAAGTTCTTTTTTCCTTTCTGAGTGACTGCCTCTCTTGAAATTTTATCACACATGGTAAAAATGGGAAGAAATCTGATATTCATGGGTTGAGGTTTGTGAAAATAAGAGAAGTCTCATTATTCTAAAAAGTTCTTTTTTCCTTTCTGAATAACTGCTTTTCTGGAAATTTTATCAAATTTTGTGAAGACCTTCTTGAAATATTGGCATTTTGTACACTTACAAAATTATGAACAGACAAGCCAGACAGACAACAAAAAATAACCTCCTTTGTCGACAGAGGAAATAACAAATGTTTAAACATATGAATTATAATTAATATTAAATTGACAGCAACTAAAGTATCAAATAGTCATCACCTGAAAGGAAAGATACATACGGATTTAGAATCCTGATTGTACTGGCTTATTTACCAACTGGTTTCTGTTGGGTCAGTAGTCTTCATCACAGTCGTACATATTAGATTAATATTTTAAACAGCCTGGCATTTACATAGTTAATAAACAAGCCACTTGCAAATAATGTTTTACTTTCAAAAATCAGGTATTTCTATGATATGCCATGAGATACCATACAACTACCCTCTACCAGGGCGAGTGATAGATTTTTCCAGATATTCACAGATATGTCTCTAGCTAGATACCGGTAGATGGTCATTTAGCTTTAAATGACCATCTATCTAGCTAGAGACATATCTGTGAATATCTGTAAAAAAATCTATCACTCGCCCTGGTAGAGGGTACCATACAACCAACATTATAAGAGTGATGTAATCAAATGTTATACATTAGGTTTTTTTATGGGTACTAATGGGGTTTGGTATGTTCGTTTTTTTTCTTTTCCACTTGGATAATTCAGCAATAAACATTGTCAAGTTATAGACTGTTGTCACATCAAAATATATCGGGACTTAAACCACGGCTAGCGCGTAGAACAAAAGACTCGGCCGTGCTGTATGCGACATACAAGCACGTCATGTACGAGTGCGTTCCACGGTCTGTTGCACTACTAGTGTAGTAGCCAATCAGAGGCCGTGGTTTAAGCCAGATACAACACTCGTCGCCGAGCTGTACGTGAAAATTACTCGTGTATTGTCTCGCCTGCGGCTCGCCAATACACTCGTAATATTTCACGTACAGCTCGGCGACTCGTATTGTATCTATCACAAATTTGCAAATTGGAGCTGATGATAATTTCAACATTTTTGGGTAAAAACTGATATATAAGTGTTTATTTTTGTGGTGCTGATATTAACATTCTGTTAGTATTTCACATAAAAGAATCAGGGGTACTAATTTGTCATATAGATATATAGATCTTTATAACATATCAAACCCTCTTAACTGGTGTTTTTTAGACCAAAACTAAAAAAAAAAAATCTTAAAAAGATAAAATAAGTATCAACTTGAATATTATTTTTATTTGTGTGATAATCTTTGGGTTAAGTATTAAAAGATACTACAGTTAAGTGTCACCATTTAGCAATATATCTCCAATTTACTGTAATTAATGGTACTAAATGTTGCATGGCAGGCTGAATTGAATGGATGTTTTTTAATGACAAATCCAGTTAGAACCAGTATAGACCTGATATAAACTATGCATGTGGTTTCTGCCTCAGTGTTAGCTCTTGGCAGGTACTGTAGTGGTTTTACAAAGGGTGGGTTTAACATTTGGTTTGCTGACCATTTCCAGAATTGTCCATGCCAATAATCACGTCAAGTCAGTTTGAATTATTACTTGCATAAAACACCCATAATTACCTTAATGCCCGCCTACATCTAGCTTCAGCTAGTTTATGTGGAATAAAAAGGTTGGCATTTTCTTTGCCCCACAAAGTTTTACTGACTCGGACTCGCTCTCAAAATGAGAGCAAGAATAGAGTTATTCAAGCTGGCAAAATGATTTTTATCTTACTGGCTTCCATGGATGATGTCAGTATTGTTTTAAGTTTCAGCTTATCAATCTATCAAGAATTGCAGTACAACTAAATAGGAAGTGGCACCTAGTTACCACCTGGATACGTTTTATCTTCACTTCTATATTTTGTAGGTGAGCTTTATACCCTCAGCTGAACCAGGTTGAACAAATAGTCTTTGGTGCCGGACTTGGCAGCAAAGTGATGGTGTTCAAGTTTATCTTATTCTAAAGGAGGATTAGTAATCTCTGTTTGTTTTGTGCCAAACTGTCTGTGAGAGAGAGAGAGAGAGAGAAAAGAGAGAGAGAGACTGAACAACTGCCATGACCATCTCCTACCAAGCTCAAGTTGCCAATCCCAAACTTTGGGGCTTCTCACGCCTTCTGTTTTACTGGAAGGGCAGTATTTACAAAATCATGTACAGGGAGATGATAATCTACCTATTGCTGTACACAACTGTTAGTCTCATATACAGAGTTATACTTCTGCAGGATCAGAAGAGGTATGTACATGTGTAGTGGTAACTTTACTCATTTTAGAACAGCATAATGAATAACTTGATTACCAATTTGTTGTCTATTGAATAAGCCAAAAACTTAATACAATATGTTTATTTTAACTGAAATAACTGGAAATGCCAAGGGTAATGTAAGTTTAATTTTTTGGGAAAGTTAATGAAATGATCTTTGTGTTTTAAAGTTTGCTTTAGAAATATCTTTTCAGATAAATATTTTTTGGTTTGTTCAGGTTTCATTTGTATTATTATTATTATTACTATGCAGCTAAGGTGGAATTAAATGATGCCTTTTCAGTCAGATGTCAAATATACTTGAAATATTAAAATTCCTGCCAGTAAGAAAAACATTTCCTTTAGCATTTGCCACAATGACTAACATGTTTTTCTAGTAAATTTATCCTGGTTGGCCAGATTTTTTGAAATTTTGATTGTAAAAATACCACACGGTGCACTTAACTCAGTGCAGTTATTCAACCTCACCTTGATCTTTAACCTTCCAACCTTCATTTTGGCAGGGATAAAAATGGATCTGTAGCATAGAAACCAGACATAGAAATTGACAATGTTTCATGTAGATTAAAGGATTTCGATTGCCCCAAACCTTAAAAGCATATGTGGAACATTTGTATATCTCTTATTATTTAATATTACATTTCTTACTGATTTTGTTTTGTTTTTTTGCAGGTTTTTTGAAAAGCTTGTGTTGTATTGCCAAGCCTTTACCAATTTGATTCCTGTTTCATTTGTTCTGGGTTTTTATGTGGCTATGGTTCTAGGAAGGTGGTGGAGCCAATTTTTAGCTATACCATGGCCTGATACGTAAGTAAAGAACATTTAGATGTGGTATTATTAATTTTAGGAAAAAAAGTTTTAATTTTATCAGTTATGCCCTCATCTCTCTTTTCTATAGATGTCTTTTTTTCTAGCAATTATCTTTCGATATTATTTAATGTAAGCCTTCTCTTGTTGTACAAAATATAAAATGATGGGAGGTTTAAAAGGCTCTTGTAGTAAATGTAAAATGCTTTTGCTGCAAATCATTCTTATTTCAGGATAATGATGTATGTTTCTTCCCTCATACATGGAAGTGATGAAAGAGGCCGTCTCATTCGCCGTACTCTTCTTCGCTACTTGAATCTTGCAATGGTACTATTATGCAGATCCATTAGTCCTTCTACTCTCAAACGCTTTCCTACTCTGGATTATATAGTTGATGCAGGTATGTAGAAGTGCTGATGTTTCATAGGTTACAAATCAGGGTTGATGTGAATTCAAACCTAATTTAGATGCTTCATGTTGGAATATGTGTCACAGCCTTTGTTTGGTCAATGCTCATGTGAATGTCAATGAACTGATAGGTGTGTGAAATTTTATTGCAGGTGGTCAGTGATAATGGAGACAAACTTTCCTATTTGTTAATATAAAGATTAAATGAATTTAGTAAATTTGAGGAATTTTGTTATCCGTGTTTGTAGTTTCCTTGTTTCAGGAATGTTTCTATAAACAGTGCACATTGGTTAAGGCAGGCTGAAGGTTAAATCAACAACGGGCCAATATTATAACAGTTAAATGCCTAAAACTCAGTTGTTTATTTTTCATTTATTGTGTTCTGGTTTACCTTTCATTATTTTGTGTTCTGGAAGATAAAGATTTCTGTTCCTTTATAAAAGCACCATTTTAGAAATGCTAGAATTTGAGATTTGCGTTACAAAGAATACACCAGAATATTTTTTACAAGCCACCCACTATTTGGTCTTGCTGCTACACCTTGGCTTTTCATCTGTACACGGGCATGGGTTATTTTTTCTTCAACTTTTCAGGGCCCCTTCTAACATAATTTACTCTTACATCTGGTTTGGTTTGCATTTACAGGATAAACTTGCAGTTATACCATAATGTTTGAAGGACTCAAGATAATTGGAAAGAAAGACTTGGCTCCAAGACTTCACTGTTAAGAACTTTGTTTCTGTATATGATGATGATGATGATGATGATCGATGATCAAATTGGAACAAATTGGAATAAAGTATAATAATCGGAGAGTTCTATTAAAGACCCAGACCCCGAGTGGTACCTTGGTGCTGAGGATACAATTACTCCTCTATTTTATATGCCACAGGGGTAATTGTAGAAGAAGAGGTAAGTGGGCAAGGCGTGGAATAAAACCCAAAGTGTTTGGTGATCAAATTTTCACATACCTTGGGATTCACTGAAAGTAGAATTTCCTTGAGTCAGAAGAAACAGAGGAAGACCATGAAAATATTGAAAACTGCATTTGAAAGCATATTTCACCGTGGAAAGATTGGTTTTTATTCCACCCATTGAAATTTTATATTTTGAGTTTTTGACATTGCTGTACCTGATTACAGCAATGATACAACATGCAGCTGCCATGCTGTATTATTGCGAACTTGATATTATTCCTTGCATTTCAATTGCTGCTATTTGGGTTTCCAGGGTTGATGACAGAAGATGAAAAGAAACTGTTTGAAGACCTTCCTTCTCCCCACAGCAAGTACTGGGTGCCATGCCACTGGGCCTGCACCCTTACATCCATAGCAAGGAATGAGGGAAGGATCAAGGATGACATCAGTCTTAAGACCTTATTACAGGTAGCTGAGACTGGGCTCCCATGCCTAGATCAATCTAACAGGATTGATCCATCTCCAAGGGGTTTCTCGCTCAATTGCTTTTAGCTGAAGCAGGTTAGATGTCTGTCACGCCTGCTGATTAAGCTGCTAAACGATAATTAATTACCCCCTAGCAGCTTCAGTAGACATGACAGCCATCTAAGCCACTTAAGTTGATGGCAATTTTAGCAAGAATCCCCTTGGAGATAAATCGATCCAAAGTTAGTACGAAAGGGTCTGGAAATGGTCCCTTTGTGTAATCACTTCAGTGGCAGATCAGTGACATGTTTTGGGGAGGTGAAAAATAGATAAATAGATAGATAGATGAGACCATGAAAGAGGTACCAGTAATGATTGAAATGGAAGTGAACAGTTAACTTAACTGAATGATGAAGGTTAGGGTGGATTCTGTTTCTTACTTATTTGTCTGCAGATTGTGTGTTTAGGTATTCCCTCTTACCTTAACTGCAAGTCCTATTTATTTTGCAGGAAATTAACAACTTCAGAGCTGGTCTTGGCAGCATGTACACGTTTGACTGGATCAGCATTCCTTTAGTTTATACACAGGTAAGTAATTTAATCTTCTTGTAGACAGCCTGGTTATTTCCTGAAATATATACATGCCATTTAGAGTTACTTTGGTGCCAATGTTAACATAATCAAATGTTTTGCTTCTTTATGAAGGGATTCTTCAAATAATAGTCGTAAGTTTTCAAAGATATTCACAAGAAACATCTGAAGTCAGTGACATTTATTCTGCTTCTCACAATTATCTAGTTGCATCTCATGGTGCTACTTAGTAAGTTTCTCTGTATTACTACCATATTTGAGTGCCAAAACCACCAATTCCAGTAAGGTGTTTTCTCTAAAGGTGTGCCAGTTAACATTTAAGGTGCTCCAATGTGTTTACAGCATAGTCCATTTAAGAAATATAATAATGAAATGTGTAATATTTAAATAAAGAAAAATTGGAGTAGTTGCTACAAAAGTTGAATTAGAATCCATGTGGAGACATAAACATAATTTTAATGATATCATATAATTTTAATTGGGTAAAAATCTCTGTCACAGATATTGTTCCTACTGAAGTTGAATAGGAACTCATGTGGAGACTTGAATGGATTTTTAATGATGTTGAATAAGAATATTATTTGGTAAAAATATTTTCCTCAGGTGACAACTTTGGCTATATACACTTACTTTCTGGCCACACTCCTAACTAGCCAGTTTCTGGACCCTTCCCAGGGTTACCCAGGCCACGATGTTGACCTCTACGTTCCAGCATTCAGTGTGCTGCAATTCTTCTTTTATATGGGCTGGATAAAGGTGAGCAGATATGAATAGAAGAGTAAAAAGGATAATGATTACAATTCTTACGATAATTGGTAAGCAGCATTTACATGTCTACAAATAATCTCTTTTCAGGTTGCAGAACAGTTGACCAATCCATTTGGAGAAGGTGATGATGACTTTGAAGTAAACTGGATGATTGACAGAAATTTACAGGTATGAAAGTACTGTTTGTCAGTTAAATGCTTTTCATTTCATACTTAAATGTGATTTAAATAATTGTAAGAATTGATTGAAGAATTCAATTTTGAGTTTTTAAAAGTAACCTATATAATACTGCCAAAATGAAATGATGTTCAAGATTGGCCTGTATCTTGTTCTAGGTCTCTCTGTTGGCTGTGGATGAAATGTACATGGTTCTTCCAAAGCTGGAAATTGATATGTATTGGGATGAGCTTGAGCCTATCATTCCATACACCAAGTCTTCTGTGAAAACCAGAATTGACCCATGGCTGGGCTCAACTGCTGATATGAGGTGGATATTAAATGGAAAAAGTGAAAGAATTTTCAAGAAAGAAAATTAAGAATTTTTTTGAAACAAAAAGAAAATGGTACACAATGTGCACTCACATCTTGTGTTTTACTTATATGATTTTCATGTGGCAAAGATGTTAGAAGTTTGTAATGTTTAGTCATTATTTGTTTTAAGCTCAACAAAGAATCCCTTATGAAAAAGGTAACATTGAGACACCTTTATTTAAAGACCTGTCATGATTGCTGTGGTTATTTCTTCAGAAAGAGCCTCTTGGATTTCATGCTTAATGAGCTGTAATGTTTTTTTCACTACAGTTTTTCTGACTGTGACATGAAGGTTGTGATGCCAATGGAAACCATTCCTGAAAATGAGAACTACAGTATGCCATCCCCACATCAACACAGGTACATACATTCTAACATAGAATTGGGGACATCCATAAATTCAGGAAATTTATCAAGTCACAAACCACGTCGCATTTCTGAATTGGTTGAAGGGCATGTGCAGCGCCCCTTGAGTCTCAATTCCTTGAGCCATAGTAGCCCTGGAACCCCAGTTTCAGAGAGACGAACCAGTCACTCACCAAGAAAAGGACATTTGAGTAGTAGTACTAGGAGTCCTGTTCCAATTCGAAGACCCAGAGGAGAGCGTACCAGTAAGCAAGAATCTGTTGCTTCTTCATATGTAGAAAGATGGCTTAATGGTCAGAGGAGTAGGATGAATTGCAGTATGTCCCCATCTGGTAATTTTACAGACATCACACCACCTCAGAGCACTGTCAACAGCCCAACTGCAGTTGACGCACCAAAGTATACCTCTATATCATCCAATGATGCCACCAGAGTAGTCCATGGGTTCACAGTTACAATGTGTGATGAACAAGATGAGGGAAGGTCCAGTTCAGCAAATGAGCCAAATGTTACAAATTGGGGAGATACCTCTGGGCAACCAACCAACAATGCAGAGGGCCCTTCTCCTTCTCTTGCCCCTATTGCTGAGTCTGTAACTGTTCCCATGCATGTTGGGACAGACTATGGCTATACCCCTTACACAAACCAGAGCACTGTAACCAGCCTTACTCCATTACTGGAAACTGGTGAATCTCAGGAATCAGCAAATAAAGATGAGGAACCAGTTGTGTAGGACTTCAATGGATAAATTTATGGATCTGGGAAAGTAAGCAAGCCATATGTAGGTTGTTTATTTCAGGAGTAAGTTGGCATCTTATAAATGAAATTGAATGCCTATTTTGAACATAAATGACTTTGGCTAATTACAGTTGGTGAAATCGTTATAGTCACAATGGAGATGACTTTAAAGTAATTTCATTATGTTTTCACTGTCTTCCTGATATAAATGAAGAGATAATGACAACCATGTCTGATTTCATGTTAAGTTTGTTATTGAGCCATCGTTTTGTATTGCAACAGTGCTATGGCTTTGTTGGATAAGAAATGAAAGGGATTAATGAAGACAAACTTTGTGTGTTATTGTATAGTACTGCTTGGAAGTCTTGAAACTTTTATCAGATAGGAAGAAAATACTAGTACTCAAAAACAAAACTGCACTCCTTTTCGTTTGTGAACTGGTAAAAATTGCCCATACTGGAAAATCTTTGCATATGCAAAAGCCTAACACCAGTGCTGGTTGGATGGGGAAATAGGATATCTGTTTCCCTTAATATTCCTTGTGTATTAGCTAAGAAACAAATTGTGTGAATATAATTAAACGTAACAGTTATTTATCTTCTGATTTTATTGTTCAAATATTAGTTAAAGGAATTTAGTTGCAATGAAAATTAATTTCATTGCTCATAATATATTTTTGTGTTTTATTATTTCTTTTTTTTTTTTTTTGTTTTGATTTTTACAGATTGCTGGATCTTAAGCACTGTTGATGCAGTGCAATCTGATGGACATAACATGCAATCTTTAATGTAATCAGAATGAGAATTAATCTCTGGAAAAATTGTATTGAAGAGATCTCATTGGTCAGGACAAAAGTCGTCAGGGACGGCACACAAACCACATATGTTTACATATTATATTTAAAATTGAGAATATAGTTTACTTGTTTTCTTTGCAGTTATATATGTTTATCATATGCTCTCTCAAAGACAAAATGCTCTTTTTTAAATTTTTAAACGTTGCATCTTCATCAGATGTTGTGATAATCTTGTTTTGAAATATTTGTAAAGATATTTTGTGTTGTATCTTAATTGTTGATCATATATGGTAAATAGCATAGATAAAGATTGATATATAGCAAGAATGAAGGATCCTGACCTACATACAAATTCTAGTAAATGATACACTTTCAGTTGAGTGTGGTAAAAGCACTTTTGTCTCACTTGTGTCTAGTGCAATGAAAGCGAGTGGTAATTTGTGCCAAGTAAGTGGAGATTGGGTAAAGTAATTAGTGGTCAAAACCAAAAGGTGTTGTTCAAGACCAAAAGGAGTTGGTTTACCTGCATTTCAGAATTTTTAAAGTGCCATTTGGTGTTCTTTTATTTTATAAATGTAATTTCCAAAGACTTCAGTTATTTTAGTTACATTACTTTTTGTTGTAATATCCAATTACTTTGGATATTTAGCATGCTGGTAGATTATGCTGTTACTATGTATTTATCAGCCTTATCATTTTTGAAAAGGCTTAAATAAGCTATGCCTCCCAATTCCGTTACCTGCCTGCCATTATTTCTATATTTGATATTTATTGTTAGATCTGAGCTGTTTTTATTAGCCACAGTAAAGACTGTCAGATTACTATAGTTGAACACGTGGGCCAGATGTGTTTAAAGAAAGTAAAAGCGGACATATTTATAGTATATTTGACATGCAATGGAGGAGTATCATGTTGTTGTTGATGTATTTATTAAAATAAAATCCATTGTTCAGAAGAGTGATTTGAAGTCCAATTGTTGAGCGTGTCATAACATTACTTCATACTCATTATGAATAAACACCCGGTTAACTAGCCCACCCATATAATTTCCAGGACTTGAACACAAGAACTGTTTCCATTAGAATGGAGCATACAGTATTTTTCCACAAATATTTAATCATGAATTTTGGGCTACAATACCTTGTTACTGTCCTAGTTACCTGGGTTATCGATTTAAGAAGCTGATGGATTTGACCAGATGTAGTATAGTACAAAGGTAGCAACTGCCTGTCATTCTATCAAACAGATATTGAATTTAAGAAGTTTTCTTGGGCTCTGAAAACCTGCAAGTGCTGGACTGGTCCAGGCTTTTTGTCAATATAAATTGCCCAAAAGAAAAAAAAAACAAGCTGTGTAATGTACCATCTGAGGTTTATTAAATTGAATCGACAGTACAAAATTGCATTGTAGTCTTCCTTCTGAATGTTGGTTTTTACAGAAATGAGTTTACTGAATTCTTGTTAACTATAGTTCAAAATCCTGATTAATTTCCTGAAAAATAAAGACTTTTTATTTCAAGCTATTTATGATGACGGTGCACCAAAGTTTTTGTCAATTCTGCTGCAATATTTAACAGAATAATCAACACCAATTTTTAATAATGCACTACTACAAGAGCACATCAGAAAATGTCACTAGCACAGGGATTCGGGCTTATGGGAGTTTAAAGACACACCTCCTTGAAAATGACAATGAACAAAAAACAAAAAAATTCATTAAAAATACACAATTTCTAAGAAAGGATGGTTTTCAAGCTTCTTCATGGTCCCAAAAATCATTCTTGTATTTATGAGAATAATAAGCAACAAGATTTTCTTTTGAAGGTGTTAAAGAAAGAGCACATTTACGGCATAGTGAACAAGTGATGGCTTTATGTCCATAAAAAGTGGTCTTAAAACTTATTGATAAGGTGTTTACAAAAAGTGGCTGTCTAGAATTAATTACCATAAACATTGTCCAGCTAGCTTCAAAATCAAACTTACAGTCTGTTTAGATTACAATCATATGATTATTCAGTTCTGCAGAGAGCATCCATTGCAACACTGGCATACCAAAAACAACAGTCATTATGTCATGTCAAAGGATTTATAACAAATGAGATAGTACCAGTAATGCACTTGTATTCAGGGTACTGTTTAAGGAGATCTTCAAAACTAGTTCACTGACAAAAAATGTCTCCCTCCATATGCACCTATGGTCCAAAATAACTTCAAAACCCAACAGCAAATCTCCCTTCGTGTTCTTCTCCGTGCCAAGCACCGTTGCTGAAGCATGGCACATTTGAACTATGTCACAGAAACGTGACTGAAAAACACTGAACACATTTTCAGGTTCTGTTGCCATCATATATTGCCATCTGTTCACCTAGTTAATGTCTAGCCTCTGCTAGTGAGCCACCATGGCAGCAGGACTAGGATTATGATGGAGAGTAGGTGGCAGATGAGGTCTCTCTTCTAGTTTGTCATATTCTAAGTGGAATTCTTTTGCCACTTTTCGCCAGTTCTGTGCATCAAAGAAATAGTATGTTCCTCGTTCGTAAGTATTAGTCTTGATAGCAGGTTCCATCCCTGGGGCCCTGGTTATCCAGACCCTTTCTTCTTTGTGATACCTCCAGTCTCGGTTGTATCTGAAATTGGTAAGATATGGACGCCATATTTTATACAGCTGACACATACTTGTTAAATGAAACCCAATAGTCTGTAATGAGATATACTATTTCTCAGTAGAAATAACAAATAGAAAAAAAAGGTTGCCATGACTGTCATGTACCATCAGCAACTTAGAAATTTTTTATATTTTACTTACATTTTTGTTGTATGCTCAGACATAATGCTCTCTTCTGGAGAAACAAGTATTTAATTGAAAAATAATGGGGATGATATGCTGTTTTGAAAGGCTGTGAAAAATTGACAATGAACAACATTTATCATAGATTTCCTAAAAAACTTACAACTCTGCTGCTGCTGCCAACTGAAGCATGTCCCCACCATTCATGTAGAACAGGAAAAATAGCAAGTCTTCCCCATAACGGTTAAGTTTTATAGGAGCAAGCTGAAAGGGGAAAACATTGGAAAATAAACAAAGAACTGAACATTTCACTCTGTATAAAATTTTTAAGGTTGATATATCTAGTAAAATCTGAGTCTTTCAACTGACTGATAATTAACAAAGAACTGTAGGTAAACTGAAATGTTATACCCTTTTGAAAAAAGTGAAGCTTACCTTGTCTCTTATAAATATATTTGTGAGATACTCTGAGGGTACGTGAAAATCTGAAATATAACATAGAGTTATCGTATCAGAAACTTTGCCTGCTGATATTTATGCTGAAATCATGCCATTTTTCATGTAATCAATGAATAATTCAAATTTATAGGCATAACAATGAATTTGAGGCAGTTACTTATAAATGAATGAAATGGTGTATTAAATCATTACATAAAATGGTTCATGGTAAGTAAAAATTATCTGTGGAAAAATACCCACACTTATGTCAAATTAATTGGCCAAATGGCCCCATAAATTTTCGCTGCATTTGGTTGATTGCAAATTCTTAAACCAAAGAACTATATTAAATTTATTCACCAAAATTCTTACCATCAAACTTTTGCTTTCTAGCAGCTAGACTAAAGTAATGCAAAAAATTAACATTCCTTTAAAGGACAGATAAAAAGCCACTGAAACCTGTGCACAAAAAAGCATTCAGGATCAATTGAAGCCCCTCACAAACAATTTAAACAAAAGCCATTATGGCCTCAAAGGCCATGTAAATAGAAGAAATATATATGTGGTGAAAGTTTCACCAAATCAATATAGCACCCTAGTGTAAGCTTATGCTATAATAAGGTATTACGCCACTGACCTATGTCTTGTGGTCTACAGGGAGCATCAGCCCAGGGGGACTGGAAGGTACTGTACAGGTTTCTGAAACATAAATACATGACCTACACACATGCGTCATAAACTTCTATAACATCACTTCCATTCCTTTTACCTTGCTTCTTTTTTATCATTAACTGTTAAAATGAAGTTACAGAAGTCACGAGTTTCAAACAATTAAAAAGATTCACCATCAATTGGTATATATTTTTGTTGCAAGTCTCACTTTTTGAAATTATTCACAATTCAAAATGTAGCCACATTAAGCCACTAATTGCTTACATTCAAAAAGTCAACTATTTACAACTTCAGTATGATGAGGTCAATTATCATTTGTCTGCTGGTTATTGTATATGAATGAACATAATCAATATTTTAACTTGGTCTTAATACATCATGATGCCCCATTCCCCACAATTGCCTATGGCCCATTTCTTACTCAGGAGAGTTAAGGTTTAGTCCCAGTGTTGTTAGATCAATGCCTGGGGCCAGTGCTACTAAGTTCGGGTCAGTCTCTGCTGCTCTGATGAAAGTGAGGAGGCCCACCATACCAAACTGGTCTGTCACCATACCACCAGGGATATTGGACACAGTTCCTGGATAGAAAGTCACAAATTAAATAAGGTGGATGTAGCATCAAAGGTGCTTTTTTTACAGGTGTCAACTAAACCCGTTCATTTCTGCCAGACAAAGAGTTCAACTCGGGGAACCTCCAAGGGGGCTTCTATTGCAAATCCAGTGTAAAGCAGTCAGGCAATTTGATGAAAACGGTTTGACTACTTCTGGAACATCCAAGTTTAATGCGTTTTCTTTGAGGATAAATATCAGTCATCTGTCACGACACTGCAGGTGTAATTTTGAAATAAATAAATAAATAGATAAATGACAGAACGCTTACTAAATGAACTTACATTATTTATACTCAACATCAAATATTTTACTTAACCATTCAAATATGCACAACACACTGGATATAGCAGTATGCTTAATCAATTTTTCACATGTTCAATGAAGATAAAATACACCTGTAATTTATTATTCAAACAAAATTCAGGGAAAAAAAGCAGGCATGATAAAAGCCACATCTGCAAAGTAAACTGAGTCTTATGTATACAAAAGATACATCATGGATCAATATAATCAAGTAACCAAGACAAGCAGATGCCTTGGGTCCTCACTCACCATCTTGGTGTGTCTGAATGCCCTTCTTTGGTTGCCCACTACTGGAATTCTTGTCTCCAGGAAACCGAATTCCTTCTTTTGGACCCTGGTCGAAAGCACCTCCCAGCGTGGCAGGTTGCTGTAGCCAACGAACACCACCATAATTCTGGAGGAAAAAAAAGACACATACAATATAATGTAATGGCTGATTGCAAATCTATGGTGTAAGTCTCTGAAAAAGTTTAAATCTGTTTTTATTGCATTAAATAAACATGGTTAAAAAACAGATGGCTGGTGTTCACCAAATGCAAAATTAGCTCATTGTTTTTTAGTTTAGTTTTAATGCAGAATAAAAACTTAATCAGCCTGTGCTATTTCTCAGTCCTCATGGCTAATTAAGTTAACTATCTATGTGTTTTGAATAAACATATAGCATTATGTAAAAGCTAATAGTGCAGATAGCCTGTAAAATGTAATTTGTAAACATTTTAGTGCTCAGTAAAGTAATTAATGTATCAACACATGAGGCTTACTAAAGTTCAGAATGCTTTAGAAAATAAGAACAAGGCATCTGGCAAGAGCTTGTTCCAACTTTTTATCTTTAATTTCAACCAGCATCAAATAGGGTTTATGAAGTTTTAAATGCTTTATAATAACTCAATATTCTTATATAATTCAAACAAACTCAATAGTACAAAGTTTGCAAAGAAGAATCTTTTGACAGTTACTGAACATAATCACAAAATAATCAACCAAGGTCTACTCACCACTTTGCTTCCACTATCAGTAGAACTGGAAGTTGGCAGATCTGGAAATAAAGAGATTTCCTCCTTAGCAACCCTCATTTAACATAATAATTATAGGAAGATACTCTTGAAAGTCTAGCCAATAATAACAACAAAGCAAAAGTCCAAGTATTCAGTCAAACTGCACAAGCATTCCCTCCATGAAATCTAAAGCAATAAGTAATTCCAGGAAAGACAGATATGGGATAATCCAGTTACTGTGGTATTGATTGTTCACTGTAAACTGTCTCAGATAATACCGTCCAAAGGGAACACAGCTCTAACTGAGCATGTCTATTGATAATTCACTTAGTATATGTATGTCTGAATAAATGACTAACTTGTTATTGTTGGTCAATAGATCTAGGGATATACTGAAGAAAAGCAGATGAACACTTATTGAAAAGATATAGATGCTTTTAATATTTATAAAAACAAGTCTGATTTGAACAAATTAACTTGTCTTCTAAGATTCTAATATTATTTTCCTCTTTTAATTCCACATCACCCCTTGATCAAAATTATCAGCCTGAAATTTGTTTTGCTGGATAAATTGTAGAATAAAGTCAATTAATCATCTGTATATTTCGAAAATGCACGGGTAAGCAAGATTATAATGGCATGAAAACAGCTGGTTAATCAAGCTGAACAACATTTATTCTCACCTCCTCCTTGCACTGTAGAATGCAAGGCTGGAAAGTCTTCTTGCTGGATCTGGAACTCTGGAGTTTGTTCTTGAGGTGGCTTGCTAACCATACCAACTAGAAAACATACAGAAAATGAAAAATAATGATGGGATCTTGCATTTTGTGGAAACATAAAGCTTGTTAAAAATGTAACAAAGTGGGAGTGTAAATTCAATATAAGTGAAAATGAATGCATGCAATGACTTATGAAAATCTTTTTACACTGACTCAAATTGATTTTTTTTTATTTAAAAAAAAACCCAATGCTTTAAATCACATTTAATCATAGAATTTCAAATGCAAGTAATATCATGTGGCATTTTTCCACAAGGTCTGAATTTCACAATGTTTTCTTACCATAGGTTCTGTTTGGCGGTTGTATTGTGGGGTTTGGACCAGGAGCCATACCAGACCGGTTGCCCAGTGTGGGGAATTCAGACAGATCTAGATTTGGTTGTGAATCTGAAGGGAAAACATCCTAATTTCAGGACTATTGATTAACTTTCAAGCATCATGTCTAGTTGTACGTAAAACCAGACAGGGACGTGGCCTACCCTGGTACCTCTGGGTCTTTAAAAACTAGACTTATCTCAATCATTCCACTATCATCTTTGTACCACAGGAACATGGCCTCTTACACGAAGCCCCCAAGGCTTGGTAGGGGATTCTACACTCCCCACCTATCAGTCAGTCATCAGATCTAGTTAACTTCAGCACTTGCCATATCAATTGACAATCATATCACATAATCTAATGGAAATGACAACATTTTTTTGCTAAAAAGTTGATAGGTCAGCTGGTTAATGCTGTTAACGTTGAGAACTGCAAATTTAACTTTCTTTTAATTTCATGGTTGAATGCCCTCCTGTCTGGCAAGAGCAGAGTATGTTCTAATCTTATTATTGCACAAATCAATGTCACTACATTCAGGCAGAGCCTTCTTAGGAGAATACAATTATTCATAAAATAATCACTACCAACCTCTAATTCCTGGCATCCCAGCAAAGCCACCCGCCAAATTTGTCATTACATTATTACCTGAACTGAAAACAAAATCATATACCATAAAATCATTACTATAAGAATAACCTTTAAATGAGGAACACTCACCCAGGACACTTGGCATGAACTGTGAAGTTAAAAAGATGAACAATTATTTCTTTTATCTTATCTGACCTAGTCCCATCAAATTCAAAATTGCACACTCCTGATAAAGTGCATGCCTTAGGGTTTGTAAAAAATAATGATCAAATTCAGAATAAAATGTAGACCAATTTTCCTTACAGAGCTCCACTTCAAATAAATGTTTGTTTGAACCTTTTACATATTACCCTATTGTATGTAAAATGAAATACCTACTCATCAAAATATACTAATTTTAATATATACTAATTTTGAATAATATTGTCTAAAGCTAGATATCGCTTGAAGAATAGTTTAATGGACAGATATGCAGCAAGATAGTTTTCTCAAGTATTTTGACAATGGACATTAAAGTCCATTAAACAGGTAAAAAATTATGACATTACATTTTGTGAAAATTGAAGACGTGTACTTATTTAAATTTTTACCATAGCCATTCTACATACACACAAACACTGCCACAGTCTCTTGGTTTATATGTAAAAAAGGAAGGAGGATATAGGAAAACCATCAAATGAACTGGGTATGATTTCCCTCGTTGATCTCCAGTTAATGTCAAGCCAGTGTCTAATTAAGTAGATCCCACCATGACCCGACACTGTCCTATCCTCTTATAAACAAGGCCTGATAAAAGGTTCAATAAACTGATATCCTGGTCTCAGTTACATTGATGCAAGGCAGCAACAACAATTAAGTATGAGCATGCATCTTTAGAGACAGCACAGGCTACATTATGGCCTTTTTAATCACAAGAAAAGAAAAAAAAAACATGCAAATGCTATTCAGTTGTTCACCATGTTGTGTCTATCAGGTTGAAAACCAATTAACAACCAGCTAACATGACATGTATCACTGAACAGGACAAAATCATAGACACGTAGAAAATACAGATCCCACAGAACAATGAACATATATATATATAATTATGGGTTGCCATGCTGAGTAAAAAAATGTATAAATGTATCCCTATGAAATAAAAAAGAAAAGGAAACAAAAACATTTTGCCGTTTTATTGTCCATCAAAGGTAAAAATCCAAATGAACAATTTTGATTTTGCTGTGCAATGTGTACATTGCTGTGACCTTACTATGTCCCTATAAAAATATATGTGCACTTAAAAACAATTCAAATATTCCTGATGCAGAGTAGTGTGACAGTCAATTAATACATGAATAAGCAGCAACGTATGCAACATAGGGGTGAAGAGTACGACAGCATGTCCAGGTTACCTTGCTGGTACACTTATGGACCTGGTGATTTGGGGAGGTGGAGGATGGTAACCCTGGTACAAATGTTGCTGTTGTTGCTGCTGTTGATGTTGCATTGTAGATTGAATGATTTGAGATAGATAGTTAGGACTACAAATAAAAAGATGGAGGGAGTTTAATCATTGGAAAAAAGAAAAAATCAATCCAAGTTCCATCATGTTCACATACAGATAACTACATTTTTGTTTTCAATTTTTAGCAGCATGGTTATTTCTAAAAAATCAGTACAGTAAATATATATATTGCAACAAAAACCACCCAATGTTAACCAAACCAAACTCAAATTAAAAGCAAAATACTGAAATAAATCCATTAGACAACCTTAATTATAGATACTAAATCAAATCCACGACTTAAAATACCAAGCCTTCCATGCCATTATTTCTGAGAGTTGGCTTTACCTTAATATGGCTGAGGAAATTGGATTATTCCTTTTCTGTATCGCAGTCAAAGCTTGTGATGCACTTGGTTGACCCACATTTGGGAAGCCACGCTGACTAAAACTGCTCATTAAATTCCTACAAAAAAATAAATAAAATAAAAAATAAAAAATACTGGCACTCATCAGATATTAATACAACAATATAAACTCAGCACAAGCAAGAATATATGCAATAGAAGAACAAATGAGGTTTAATTGTTCTAAATCTCATTCAAATGCTGCCTCTCATTTAAACCTTATCTTTACTGACCTTACTAAGAGTACTTCACAAATCTCAACACAAATTAAACACAAAGTACTCATGAGGTCATGCCAACCTAAACAGTATATTCAACTTAATAATTTACCGGTTAAAATTTGGTTATACAATATACATGGCTAAACAGGTAAAAGTGCAGGTAAAATTAAAAAGTCTGCAAATGTGGTCCCAGATTGCAGAAATGAGAGATATGAGCAACAAGTGGAGGTTAAATTATTACCTTACAAGAAGGAATTGCATGTAAATAACTTGCAAAACACAGTATTTAGCAGACAGGTTGATTTACATAACATTATCTCACAGCTGCAGAATAAAATTCTATGCACTCAGAGGTGTGATTATCAGTTAATGTATTTTAACTACCATTTCTAAAGGAGTACCAGACTGGATTTCTAGTATAAACTCTACTGTTTAATCAATAGGCATTAAATGAATACATAGCAACTCAAAACAGTAAATGAAAAATAAACATATGAATAAATAAATAAAATTCAAGCTATATATTCTCTTTTCTTGCCCACCTATTTGGCGAGGCTTGCTGTTGATGTTGCTGCTGAAGCCCTATGGGGAATGATGGTGCTAGACTGGTTGGTGTTAAGTGGCCTGAACTGTTCCTCTGAAACTGTGCCACTCCTGGCCCTCCTGTCATGCTGTTCCTCTGCTGCATTGCCATGTTTCCTACTGCAAAAGCCACAATGATAGCCTTTCCATATTAAAGAGAGTGAGAGAGTAACATACAAACAAGACTTTTGTGGTCAAGTACATTCTTTGAACTTATTAGACGATAGCATAGACCACAATTGAATATTTTTGCTTGAACTCCCCCCCCCCCAGCCCAAAGTAGAAGAAAAATTCACAAAAGGTCAATTTAACATGCAAAGAATCTCATGTTCTATAATAAATCATTTATAACCTAGAACTTTATCCTGAGGAAGTGAAGACTGCTAGTAATTGCAAATAAAGGAAATGAGGGATAAGCTATCTTCTACTAAGTGTTGAGGGCTAAGAGCAGGCTCCTGTGAATCACTTCCGTCCATCATATCAGTTCTTTATTCTACAGCAATAATCAAATGACTTAAGCCCCATTCCCATAAACATCATTGGTCTACGTAAATCGATCCAACTCTGCAGGGGCTCTCGCTGAGTGCAATCAGCTTAACTGAATGACGCCTCTTCTTTGCATTGAGTAGAATAAGGAAAAGCGGCAATCATCTGAGTACCTTGGTAACAAAAGCCTCATTCAGTTAATCAGAGTCCCTGCAGAGTTGGATCGATCTATGTAGACCGCTGGTGTCTGGTGGAATGGGGTCTTGGAATCACTCACTGACATCAATTTTGAAAACTTGAATTTGATAAAATATGGTTGTATTAAAGCCAACTTACACCAAACAATTAATCAAAGTCAACATTAATTCTATGTATGTTGTAATGGTTTTGATTTGCAACTGCCATAACATACATGAGTGACCTTATAAAATACTGCCATAAACTTTATGAAACATTATGAACATGAACAGACTTACTTGCTGGTTGGCCACCAAAATAGTTTGTGCCAAATGCAGAAGACAGTTGGGATGGTGAAGGAGAATTCAAGATCTGAAATAATTGTTCACAAACAGATCGGTTAAATTCAGGTATATTGACTTATTTAATAAAAAAATATTATGTTGACAAAATTTAAACCTCTGCAATTCCAGTAAAACCTGTGTTTTCACTGAAGCATGTCATATGGGATTTCCAGGGTTTATACTAAAGAAGACTTTACAGAAAGGCGTGTAAATGCTCCATAAGTAATATAAAACAATCTGCCTCATAAATCCAAATTAATAACAGCAATACTAAGAATTCTAGGATAAATCCCCCACCTCTTTGTCAGGCCTGAAAACAGACTGTGTATTAAAATACATGCTTGGTTCTGCCTCCTCCTCTTCCCCAAAGTAGCCCTATGTGACAAAACAAAAACACCACTTAAAATATGCATCAAAATAACATTAACACTATCATCCATGTCTGGAACTGCCGTTAACACTGTTGTTAGATTAACTGAATATGATTAATTTAAAGCTGAATATCAGTTCTATTGCTTCACTGAGTATTAATTCCTGGAGCAATAGTGAGAAATAATCATCTGAAAGAATGCTAGGATAGAATAATTAGATGAAAATTTTGCAGCCATCAAATAGTAGAGTGTTTGTGAAAATTTACAAGTGAAAACAAAAATAATTTAACAAATCAATAGCCCAGTTATTTCCATTAAGTAAAAAATACTGCTTCTTAACTTACAGGCTTTTTGTTCTTTGCCTGCTGCATGTTTACAAGGTTTCAAATTGCTTTTCTAGGTCCTTTCTGGAATGGAGTTTGATCTTGATTTTAGGTTAAATCTGAAAAGTTAACAAAATTGATAAACTTACACACATTATAGGTCACAAATATTTAAATTATTGTTATAACAGAAATCATAATAATTTCAATCCAATTCTTGGGTTACAGACAATTTGTTCTATCTTCAATCACTGTCTGTCATTAATCAATACTACTAGGCACCTGTCCAACACTTCAAGAAAGCCTAGATGCAAGGTGTTCATGACTTAGGCCCCATTCAGAATAGATGTTCTGAGTACTAACTGATCCGCTGACTTAATATCGCCGACCACATTTCAAAAGAGATGCCGCTGATTTTTAATGGTCTCCCCTGCTCTTTTGAAGTGTGGTTGGCCATATTTGGTCAGCAGATAAGTTTGTACCCATCTATTCTGAATGGGGCCTTACACTATCTTTATCACACAAATTATCCTGCATTCCTTAAATGTCTTAATTAAACCTGTGCAAAATCAGCAATTGTCAAAATCATTAAGTTATTATCATGAAAAAAATAACAAAATCAAAGCTCGTTTGCATATGTTAACCTCAGTTGCTGTTGAGTTATGTAACAATGACTACAACCCAAACTTAAATAAAAGAAAAAGTGAAGAAAGTGATTTTATAACGCCCCCTCCAAACTTAAGATGAAGTATTCGAATAGAAATTTTATCTCCATTATGGTAAAAGCACATGCAACTTGCATGTGAGACTTCCAAGTAACTTTATTTAGAATTGAGCAATAACCTGTTTCACAAAATAGTTGAAGTTTATTACTTTACCATAACCTGCATGCCATACAATTATTTAAAAACAGCATACAGTTCAATTATAGATCTGTGTCAGCATTAAAACAATAGGAAAGAGTAAAAGAGATATGTAAAAAAAATGCTAAAAAATGCATTAATACTTAAAAAATGGACATGGTTTTAAGTGTGAGATAATACACTGTCACCCGAGCGATATATGCCATAACACCTCGAGCGTTAGCTAATTCTACGTTTTGGTGACATTTTTTACTACGAGGCGGTTTCGGAATATACGTGTGCTGGTTTCAGAGCATGGAGCATGCTACATGTAATTACAAGTTCAAAGGGGGAAATATTTGATTTTTACCCTAGGTATGTATGGCAAAGAAGGCCCTATTTAGATTAACTGAGAATGGATATATCTAGTCCAAACGACATGAACAAATCTTGTCAGTTTAACATACAGTAAAGTCTTGAAAATTTCGTCGCTTAAAAATTAATTAATATTTTTAATTGTGTAAATCCGACTAATTTTTCAAAATTACCTCTCCCCGACTCCTGGGTATGACGAAATTTTCAAAAATCCGGCCTTTGTGCTTTTATCCTTAGCGGCTGTTATCTTTGACCCTCTTATATTGTGGGATATTTATTACTACTTCCTAAGTCATTTTCTGGTGGTAAATAATAATCTATTTATTTGTGCATCTCTTTTAAGTTATATTTAAAGACAGTCTCAGCGCGTTAAACCCTTAAAATAGCACGAAAATGAATTTTCCTGAAAATCTCACCAATTTCCCCATAATGACCAAGGTATATCCTATCCAAAACCGTTCAGAAAATGAAGCTACCTAATACCGTTTTTAAGTTCCATTAAATAATAAAAGACGACTCGTCTTAAATACTCAGCTACCACCTCACAGTACGGCTTCAGAACGCGCAATTTCTCGCTAAGTCTCGCGGTTTACTATGAATGAAGTACTACGGCTGAGACCCGGATGTTACTATTTGGCACCAAAACAGCAAACATGGAGACGCGCGTCAAGTCTGAAGAGGAGAGCGACAAAAGGGGACGAAAGAAAATAGCCACTCCAGTTCGAAAGATACGAAAGAAAATTAGAGACAGACGAAGAAGCACTCAGACTGTGTATGTTGGGAGGGAGGTGGGGCGGTGGAGGACACTTAAAGCTGAGTTAGGAGGCAATGGCGAAACTACTCCTCGACACGTGAGTATGCGCTTCACAGGTCTCAAGTGTGTCTCATTATCATATTATCCTGTTCACAATAAATGACAATATTTGTGCTCATACAAAGTTGGTTACGTGTATAAGAGCGTTTTGGGCTTTACGTTTTCTGTTTTTGATCGGTACATGTACCGAAAAGGTGGACAGGCGGCATTTACATGTCTGA